ACAAAACAAAATAATCTAAGGAAATGATAGAGATGGGGGGGTTTGAAAATGGAGATTAAAGATGCATAGGAACGTTTAAAATGAGTAAAAAGCCAAAAGACAAGGAAATGAGATTAGAATTGGTATGGGTGGTAATGCCCCACATGCACTATTTTTTCTTAACCCACGTGGAGTTGATAGGTTATTTTATTTCATATTGTAATCAATCATGACGAGTCACTTTCCTTCTCTCAGGCATGTATTCTGTCGATACGAAACCAGAAGCTTCCGCAGTTTTTGTTCAAAAGTCGCCACCGCTTAAAGCATTAATCAAACTTCAACATCAACTTAATTATTGTCATTTCTTGAAGCTTATCACCAATTTGGTATCCTATGTTTTTTTCTTCCAATTTCTGCCCTCATGATCACTAACCCAATAGTGCTTAATTTCAAAACAGTTAAAAATAGAAGAAGTGACAATATAAATTTTCTTAAAATTAAGCTAATTAAAAATTCTATTCATTGAAACTTCTATTCATAAAAATGAAAACACTGTTTTAATAAGATAGAGTGTAAATAAACTGCAATTTCTTGTTTTAATAGCATTATACTTTATTATAATCTTGCACCTTTACTTTTGCACTCACGTTCCTGTGGGCAGCTAGCTACTTAATTATACAAGACCACATTTCTTGTTTGCGAGTGCAGAGAATAGGACACCAATCAATTTATGAATTTTGTTTAAAAAACAAAATGTTTGGTGGTGCCTAAGATTATCACATTCTCGTTATTCCATACAAACGATGAATTGACTACACTTTAAACATCCTTGTCTCGGGTAATACATGCTTAAATAAACCACTTTAATAAAGTTACAACTTGATTGTATAAACATGACGATTTTTTTTTACGTATAGAAAACAACATTTGGTGATGTTATCAAATTTTCATATTGATTTGCTGTAAAAGTAACGTACAGCAATGCCGGGAACAATATTATTGCACAAACAGAGGTTCTTTCAGGGAAAGTAAGAAATATTTGCTAGATCTACATAGACCTTTTATATTAATTACTCAAATTACATTAAAAGGTCAAATTGACATCACGCAGTAATTAATGCTTGTTGGAACAGGTTAACAAGAGAAATGAGGAAAAATGAAGAGAATTTTTATATATAAAAAATTATTATTTTTAATGAGTAAAACAATAAAGAAAGGACTCTAATTTTTGTTGGAACTCAACTTTTCCCTCCATTTCTCTCTTTATCAAACAACAGAAAATGCAATCTTCCTTTGCATGTTTCTTCACCCGTTTAAACCCTCAATCATACAAAAGCCTTAGGAGAAAATTTTTATCATCAAGATTATGGTAAAGTTTATAATTGAATAATATTAACCTGAAGTGGATTAAATTGAAGACAAATTTAACAGTACAACTACAACCGACATAAATGCTTGTGAGTACAAGAAAAGAAGTGCTTTAAACATATAAAATATTAAAATATCATGTTCATAACCCCACAAGATTAATATATGGTATAGTACGTAGCAAAAGTCTTAAATAAAATTAGTAAGGCAGTAAATCGCTGGAAAAGGAAGGGAAAAAGCAATAAAGAGAAAAGTCATCCATGCGAGAGGCTGCAAGTGGCAACGTTATCCATAGTTCGACCAATTCGTCCTCCTGTCCAATCCTACATTTATTGGGTTCCTCTAAAATATTTCATTTTTCTTCACGGTCATCTTTTGAACCATTGCCATTTCTTCTTCTTCTTCAAAATTGTAGTTAGATTTTATGAGAAATAATTTTATTTTAGTAAAAATATACAAAATATGATAACTCTGTGATCAAGATTGTTTTACATAAAAAAAAACCATACTAAAACTTATTTTGAAGCCCACCTAACTATGCTGAAATCAATCAGCATCAGCAAAGACCATTATTGGCCATGTATTGACTATCGTTTTTATTATGGGCCCCTGCTTGCTAAGGCAGGAATCTGTAGCAGACACGTTATTCTTTCATCTAAACAATAACATTTATTCTACGAAGTTTCTCGTGTCTCAATATTCTCTCTTACCTTAGTTTTCCCCTCAAAGAGCAACTTACAGTATATAGAATTCACCGTCCCGTGATAAAAACAACAGAATTGATATATAGAGTTGAACAAGACAAGAACACATGGCATTATGCTGTTTGCTACATCGTTGAAAATGATGGCTTCTCACTCTACGCGTGGCTGCGTCCTCCAAAACAGACGAATTCAATGAGCTTTTCATCGGCAGAAACCTTTATTGGCAGGGCAGGCACAAACCTCTTTGTCACGTTTACGGTCTTTAACTATGCTTTTTATTATTTTATCAGAATTATTTTTAAATAAAATAAGTATTCATTTGATATGGGGCTCTAATATTTTGTGTAGCATTTGAATAATAGTTCCAAATTTGACCAATGAACATACAAATAAAATCGTAACATGGGCAGGGTTGATCAAATTATGTGCAGATCCACCGAAAAGAGAATGGGATGGATTGTTAAGTAACATATATATATATATATATATATATATACTTCCATCTTCGATTTTCTTTTTCTTCAAACTGTTTCGATTGTGAATCCCTCCCCAATAAAAAATAATATAGTCATGACAGTATTTCCTTACCGACAAAATTTATGGCATTTTTTAAAATTTACAAGTCTTGAGGTGATAACTAATGTCAACTCCAGACTAATAAAAACAAAAAACATGGAAGATATTTCACGTAAGTTTTGTTTGTCCTTACATAGCCTCTACCACCACTTTTACTGCCACTAATCACTGGTTGCTACCATAATGGAACTCGAAATTTGCGAGCAGACATCATCTTAAGCTCTATGTCTGCTCCTCAATTAGAAGACATCATCTTGGTATCTGAGCACAAAGGAATCATCATGCATTCGTGCTTTGCCAAAACCCCACGATGCCTCTCGAGTTGGGCTCACGACAAATTTGAATAGTTCGTTTCCACTGAACCAAGCTTTGACCTTTTTTCATTGACCAATCATGACAATTGAAAGGAGGTGGCAATAAACATGGGCATGCTCAATTCTCTAATGCCCAAGTACTCGAGCTCATCAATAAACATGGGTATTGTTGCATGTCAAAGTCTCATTCAGGAAACTTTCACACCAGAAAACCGAACATTATAAAACGAGTGTCAAGATGCATGATAGGCCAACACCCATCACATATGAATCTTAAAATGTCTAGTGTCTGTATATGGATTTAGAAAGATTCACATTTTCTCAGGTTAAACATTATTAAAAAAAATGCTGAGTGCTGACACTAAAGTGACAATATTGCAACCTAATACTTCTCTTTATAGAGAACTAAAGTAGTAAAAACCAGCAGTGTGTTCTATACAAATCATTATATGCATGTGACAAAGGCTAATCATGCCACCTACATAGTCCCAGAGGAGTGTTAGAAAGTTAACTAGTTCAATTTGATCGTATGCATTATGTATCGGAAATAGAATATGAGAAGACAGACTCAGAGCATGTTTGTTTTTATTTTTAAAGAGTTTTTTTAAAACAAAAAAAAAACAATTTTTTTTTTATTTTTTAAAAATAAAAACAAACATGCTCTATATTACCAACTTTAGACATTCATCGTCAAAGTGGTTCCAGGAAGAATGAAGATGTAGTTATCTAAGTTTAATGGTTGAGGAAATAAATCAACCACGTTTCTATTAGCAACATTGCAGAGTGTAAAGCATCTAACAAAAAAAAAAGGAGGTCATGCCATGCCATGTATGTCAAAAACGAATTAACCCTATGTTAAACGACTAAACATTGAATTAAGAATGCAATTCTTGCTTACTCTTTCTTCATCAAATCCAATTTTAATGACTTCGAGTTCAAAAAGCCACAAGTAACTAGGAATGTTAATGCCCACTTCAATAGCTGCTTGCTAACACTCTCAAGTTCGCCTATCCAGGTAGAAAATGTATTAACTAACTTTTCATAATTGTAAAATCTAATTTATTTTTATTAAAGTTAATCGATACAAATTATTGTTCTACCAAGAATTAAATTAATATTTATTTTTTCACTACGATATCCACTCTGCCAAGGTAAATAGCCCGTTGGGTGCTGCAGCTGATAAATATGCCTCCAATGGATAAAGTTCATTTAAAATGAGTTTATTTGAACAGTGAGAAAGTAAGAGACTATTTATTATTAATTTAATTTAAAGCATATAATGATACTAATTCATAAAAATTTAAGGGTAAATAACCCCCTTTACTTTTTTAATTTGCAAACAAACTTATTTTAAAGGAATTGTTTTTCGGTTTGAATAGATTTTGGTCATGTCAATTAAGAAATTCTGCATGTTTGATTCAATTAATTTTGAAATATTTTTATAAAGATCTTTTACTAATTACTTTTAAAAAGTTTTCCGGCATGTACAAATCTACTTCGCAAATTGTAAAAGCACTTGTCTTTTTACTAATTATTTTCTAAATTAAAACAGAAGAATGACCAGTTAGACCATGAGGTAATAGAAACGCTATCATTTCACTAGGAAAAGCTACAAATATTAAGATTCGGTTCTCAGTTGTTCTAGAGATTTTATACGATTAATTTTGAATCATTGAACATAATTAGGATATATATCTAAATTAATTTGTCAAAAATTTTGCATTGACACATGTACAGGGTGAGAATTGATTCTAAAGATTAAAAAAACTCTTGGCTCGTAGCACCAGATATATCATCAGTGCACTTCAAATTTTAACATGAGCTCATGTTTAAAAGAATGATTTTCTTCTAGTGGCTGAAACATTTCAATGCTAACCAATATCTTAACTTAAAAAAAAAAAATCATCTCTATTAATTTTTTTAAAATTAAATATTTTACCACTGTTCTTTGGACACTCATTAGGAACTCTTTAAAATATAAGTAAACTTAGCAATCATACATAGATCCTCAAAATTTAAAGTTAAACTATTTAAAAAAATCATGTACATTTATCATTTAATCTTAATCATTCAAATATTATCTAATGATTTATATTTACTGTTCTCATTTCTTATGATAATAAAATATTCTCACCTTAGTGTATATTAATGGTAATACACTCTTCATAGGAGAGGGAACAAGTCAAAACTCAAAAGGATCATTCTTTGTCATAGTTCCTCATCTCACAAAAAAAATTAATCCACAGTTCATGTCACGTTCAATGCCAAAATACGCACTAAACTTGTCCAACTTGATCATTAGCAAATTGAGCTTTTAATATCTTCTGCAAGGCATCATGACATCTGAAAGTTGAACAATTGACCAAAAGAAGTAGCTTCTATAAGCACTTATCAAGCATTTAGGTTAAGAAATGAGGAAAAGACCTGGTAGTAATTTGCCATTACCTCCAAGGGAGATGGTCAAGGAACATGGATGGTGAAACAATAATATCTTTGAAGCTTTCTCTATTTGCTAAGTAAGCTCTATAACATTTTCTTCTCTCCTGCATTCTCCATGACGTCTGAAGATCAGTTTGAGGCTGAGGGCTTTTCTGCTCTGGTACAACATGGATTACAAGTCCTGGCAGATACATCTCCGGGGGATCATCAGCAGATGGATTTTCAGAATTTGGAACAGTATCTATGAACTGAGACACAGGATCATCAATTGAGCGTGCATCTATAGCAAAAGGATTTGTAAATTCAGCATTATCAATTTCAACAATATGGTCCCTTGCCCTAGTGTCAGACCAGAGCGAAAATTCTTCATGCTTGTTATTGAGGCAATCTTCACTATCATCAAAAGGGTTCATATATTCACCACAGTTAGCTGGAACAAGAAGATCCCTTTTAATGGACTGAGTCTCAGCCCAGAGAGGAACTTCTGGAACCTCTTGTTTGTTGCTTCCTGCTCCATTAGTGGAATCTTTTTAGAAAAAACACCTTTGAAAAACCAGTCTGATGAATCATGGAAGAAAACGTGATTTTCTCACTCATATAATAGCAACAATGTGTATTCTCCAACATAACTACTATGTAATTAAAGATGGCCAACCTTTATTATCAGCCTCACAATGGCTTCCACAGATTTGATGGTTCAGATCTTCCGGGACAATGGTCCCTGAGGCCTCGGGCTTATTCCTCTGATATTTGCTTAAATATAGAAACCGACGAGCAAGTCTGAAGATCATGGCACTATCTGTTTTAGGATCTTGTGATAGTGATGTGATTGCAGCTGCCCTTAGTCGCATAACAGATCCAATTGAAAGACGTGATGAAAATTCATTTCCAAATATAATACTGCATCATAAAGAATGAAAGCAAACAGAAAGGAAACTGAAAATGTTACCAACAGAGCATCAACCACAATAAAAAATTTTACTAGTACAATTACCTTGTTACAAATTCTGAACATGCATTTGCCACAACTAAATCCAGACATGGGAGTGGCCCATATGAGTAAACATGCAGATTAGGGTAGCGGTTATAAAGCTGTGGAAAAGCTCAGCAATTTATTTAAAAATAAAATCACATGCTTAAAATGCTATGTAGGATGTAAACAAACCAAAAAAAGGCAGGAAAATGATGTCCAAAATCACTTCCGTAACCGTGTTAAATTTCAGTGATGAAAAAGTAAGCATTGAACTTATATGAAAAAGTTCTCTCTTTAAATGCTGAAAGTATAGTTGTATGCTGCATATAATATTTGACTTATAAGTTGCACCTGATTTATAGGTTTCACCCTAGATTTTTGGCTCAGAAGTTACAAACCTAATACAATTGAGATGCATATATATTTTGTTGAGTCAAGTCTCTCATGTATTCTGCATTTTCTAAGGAAGCAGGGATTATTTGTTCTCTGTATACAATTTTTTCAGAATAGCCTTTTAATCAGTACCTAGTTCTAGATGCAATCAAAATATGGAAGTCGTGTTTACTAAAGAAGCAAAATTAGAAAATAATCCTTTTTAAGGAAGAAATACCGTACTTGCAGTCCAAGCAATGCAGCTATAGCACCCCCAAGTGAATGCCCCACTATACGGACATTATACCCAAAGCATTCACAACCAAATCCCAGTAAATTAGAAAGAAGCCCATATGATTCCGAGTCTGCATTTCCATTTCAAAAAGCAATTATTGTCAAAAAGCAAAGGGGATTAAAAAACAATTTGACAGGGTCAACTCTCTAGAACAAAGAACCTTGTGTCTAAAGAATCTCAAGTATTTCTTACCAGGTTCTTCAGGATTTCCTTCAATCTGCATAAAAAGCTCTCGTGAAGCCTCAACTATGCCTGAATGCCCATAGTGGGGGAATGTTGAAGTTACCTTTTTCTTTATATCAGAAGGAATGTAGTTGCAGCTGCAAACAGGAACATAAAATATTGAAGTCAGGAACCAAGATATTATGTTGGAACTAAAGATCTATACAGTTTGGGGCATATAATCAATTACACATTGGAGCTGAAACTGTAAGATATCATATATAGAAGATGAGGAAGTTCCCCATGATGCTTTCTGCAGATATAAAGAACTTGATAGTATGTCATTTGCCTTTGTTTAGAACCCACTAGCATAAAAAACCCTTTTTACAACAAGATTCTACATTAATTCTTTTTTAATCAATGTAGAAAAAAATGCAGTGACATTTTTAAAATTTACACGAACTTTTCTATGTTGGTTGTTAAAAGAACTGATGTGAAAAATACTTTCTACATCCGTTCTAAAAACAACCGATGTAAAAAAAATACGATGACATTTTTGAAATTTGTGAGAACTTTTTTATATCAGTTGTCAAAAGAATCAATGTAGAAAGTTCTGCAATTTTTCGCATTCATAGTTATAAATTTTGAATGGACATAACTTTTAGTACAAGACTCCGATTTATGCAAATTATATATCTATTTCATATAACTTTTTGAGATCTATTTAATCCAAGCTCCCAAAAAGAGTTTGAACAAACTATTTTTTCAAAATTTCAATGTTTTCTCCAATTTTTTTATTTTTCAGTGTTTTTTTTCGATTTTTTAAAATTATAAAACTTTTTATATCAATTAAATAAACAACGGATGTAAAAAAAAAATTAGTGTAAAAAATATTTTCTACATCAATTATTTTTAGGAACTGATATAAAATCAATCGAAATTTAAAATTTATATACACGCCAATGAAATAGCATAAATTAGACAGCGAACACGATAATAGTTATTATGAACACGAACATGAACAAAAAGAACATTTTTTATATTAGTTATTATGAACAATTGATATAGAAAGTGACACATTTTATATCGGTTATTAACAACCGATAGACTTTCTACATTGCCTGTATCTACACCGGTTGTAGAACCAACGTAAAAAACTTTTTTTTAATCGACGTAGAAAGTCTTTTTTCCACTAGTTATCTGACCAAATGTAGAGTTCATTCGAAAACCATATTCCTGATCTGACTACAATACCCAAAATATGCAAGCAGACTCAAGTATTGTCCTACAGCACTGTCTTGTCAATAGGCTTGGGATTTGTTATGTTAGTATAAAGGTAATAACCATGTAATTCTAACACAATTTTGTATTTCCAATTAGTGAAATTTCTTGTTCTCTATATATATTCTTAGTAACTTGTCGACTACAGGTTCTACACCTAAAGTTATCTATCTGTTTGTCAAAGTGTTTCAAAGGGATAAAAAGAGGGAGAATGAAAAATACTTAATCAAGCCAGCCAAATCATCTGCAGAAAGGGTGCATTCCTTGCATAACCCATCAGTTATTAGGTCCTCTGGAGTTTCAGTTCCACGTATAGCAATTACTACAGATTGTAGATGATGTAGAACCACGATAAAATATGCAGCTTGACACTTGACCTGGCATGAGTATCAAACAAAAAACAAGCCCTTTAACTGCATATAAAATTGGCCAGTATAATATAAAAACTGAAATATTCATAATATCATGCACAAATCATGTTTATTATCATCTCCAGTAGAAAAGATCTGAGTTTCCCCACTTTTAAAATTAACTATCAAATGGAATTAAAATATTCGGACACCTATACTGATTAGCCAAATAAAAAAGGCAGCAGTTAGTCGGTTTACATTACACAGTAAATTAGCCCCTTGAAGAAACCAAAGCATTGTAGACCAGATTTGGGTATTTAAATCCTTTCACCTGGCTGACTCGCCCATGTCTGAGCACTTCTGGAGGCAAATCGACATAATTTAGAAAGGCCGCAGCATGACCTCGCCACCAGTTGTCACCATCCAATGCAGGTCGTCTAAGAAGATGAAAATAGAACATAAATTTACAATGTTGAAGATAAAGTTCTTAGAATTTGTATAGTGAAAAAGACATAATGTAGAGAGAGAATGGAGAGGCAGAGAGAATGTACAAAAATCAACAAGATATAAGAATGCCTGAAAGCTAATACGTCCTAATAAAAATGCGGGCACAACTATTCAGATGACATCTACTGATCACCAGATTTAAAATCAACAGAGAGAAGGGAAAAAAGCTACAAACTACAACAATGGGGGAAAGAACTGGAAAAGTAGAGCCCTCCAACCATGTTGCATATCTTTCATAAACAACATACTTTTTGGAGTTCCTAGAGCATTTCAAGTTGTGAAGAACAAGAATTGAGATCACATTGACCATAAAGGTGTTTTTAATATTCAACTAAACAAATTTCACATAAAATAAAAAGTTAAAACTACTGACAAATGACAATTCAGTTATATAGGACAAAAAATTGAATATCCAACAAACTACCACCTATTGCGTGTCCAAGGAGACAGAATCCCTTGTCTATACAGCCATGCACAAGGAAAGATAAAGGGATTTCGTCCAACATCAAGTAAGGGGCCCTGCATCATAAAAACAGGATAAATGTTCAAAGCAAGTTAGTACAAACAAAAACATCAATTTGGAATAAAGTTTACAGCAATAATACTGTGTATGCAGCTTCAGCAAATTTATGAAGAGCTGCAGCCTCCCTAATTTGCATCTCTGGCAGTTCAATGGATTCTTCATAGGATTCTGAAGATTTCCCATGGCTTTGAAGCAAAGCTAAAGCTGAACAACAAAAACTCCAATGTCATTAACTACAAACAGGTGACATGAAACTGAAATTAAATTAGTTCTTTCCATATTCCAAACAAAAAATGGTGAGGTCAACGTTATCATAATAATGCATGCTAGATCATCCATCTAAAATAAGACCCATTGACTCAAATATTCCTATTCAGATAACAGCATAAATCCTGCAACAGCTACACCCCTGAACTCAGCCACATGTTCTTCTGATCCTAATCATCGAGGAACCGGAGCACATAACAGCAGGCAGCTGATATATTAGTATTTGGCAAGTCAGGTAATTTATTGTGTTCATGATGAAAAGAAAAGAAGAAAGAAAAACACAAAAGACTAGTAACAAGTGAGTGGCGTCCCCAATTCCTCCTGTCTAAAAGACAAAAGCGAAAAATAGAGAAACATATGTTGATTTTAGCTTATGGAAAGAACTTAATTCATTTTACAACTTAATTTTTTACTCCTATAAGTACTTAGTGAAAATTTTATCCACACCGGACCATATTCATTTTCTTGATAGATAATTAGACTTTGGTGTATGTAGTGTAGTTTGATTACCCTTTGGGACAACATTATGTGACATACAGCAACGAGAAAAGTGCAACAAGTTACAAATAAAGATTTGAAGAAACCTGCCAAGAGTTCCATGTGGCCAGTTCCAGAAGCACGATAAGCAACAAGATCGCCTAATAATCGTGCAACCGAATAGACTTCATCTTCTTCCAATGCACGCCTGCAGAAGCAATTAAAGAAGAAGAGATGAGAGTTGTAAAATGGTGAGAAGTTTTGCAAGAAAAGAAATATTGGGTGCATACAAGTATTTGACGCGGCCAAGACAACATAAGGTCTCGCGTATGCCATTGTCAAAGACCTCACTATAATGGCATTTCCAAGCATTATCATGGGTTTCATAGAAAGATCTCCATTTGAGAACATCAGAGCCGGCAAAGCACTGCATAATAGCAAGGAAAGAGACGAGGATCATGAAGAAAAACAGTAAGTCGTGGTCCCATTTGGATTCTGCATTTCAAAGATTTGAAACGTGTTAAGAGTAACAATCAAGGCATGCATTCCGTCTAAAGAAGCATAGATGGATGAACACACAGCCACTCACCTACCTAAAAGACAACCGTGTGTAGAGAAATAGTCAGCAGACTTGAGTACAAGGAAAGTTGCAGAGCAAAACTGGAGCACTATAACGACCGCGGAACAGCGACTCCACCAGAGCCATTTCTTATACCTGGCCTATTTCTTGAAACACGTTCAGTTAATTGAATCATGTTGAGTTAATTAAATACATAAATGCAATGAATTGAAAGAAAGAAAGAAAGAATGAGTGAATGAAATACCCGTCTTTGAAGGCGCGTGAGTAGGTCGTTGGAGTCGTCAAGAATGAGGGTGGCAGCGGCTTCTTGTGCAATGGCGGAATGAAACATGACAAGAACCCTAAGAAGAGCGGTGACAGAAACAGCGAGGAAAGGGTGCAAGAAGCGGCGATCGCAGAAGCGGTGAGTTCGGAAAATGAGGAAGGCACCCATCAGCACCACCAAGATGTTCAATACTCCCAATACCAAACTCATCCATCTCAGGTTTCTCAACCCCACTGCCATTTCTCTTCCACCGCCTCATTCGTCACCTTTCTTTTCTTCTTTCCTATTCTTAACCATACAATTGCTTCCTCCTATCCTATTCGCACAACCCTTTCTTCTTTCCTCCACCATTCGCTTTTATTAAATAAATAATAAACATTTTTCTAACATTTGTCTCACACCTTAAAAAGTTATACTAGTTACATTTTTATAGCATTTAGCACGATATAAATATTATTTAAAATATATAACAATTATTTATTATATCAAATATGGAACATTTGGATTAAATTGTTGGAACTGTTTATCTAGTTAAATTATTGGAAAGTTATGGAGGTATCATCATGCAATTAATATTCTCCTATATGCAAAAAGTTTGAAAAAATAAAATAAAATAAGCCATGACTAGTGTTTTAATTTTTTATAAAAATTTGTTAAAGATATCACATCGGATTATCTATATAAAGTTGATAGAATTTTTAATATAATGTTTTTAACTTCCTTGGTCTATTTCCCACATGATATAACTTAGATAAACGCTCTTAATAATTCATATTAGTTGTTATTCGACACTTGACCAGTAATTCAATTAATATGTATTTTCTATTTGTAACTTAACCCCAACTTAATAAAAGAAAGGATCTATTATCTGGTAAGAATGCACGTTCAAAACTAATTGAAGACGTTGTTTGAAATGAAAATTTTATTACATTAATAATCCAACGCATTCAACGACCATTTTCACAAAAATAATAAATACTGCATCCACGAGTGCACAGTTAATGACAGTGTGATCAAGAACAGATTCAGAAAATATTTAAGAACCATAAAGTGAACAAACTTCGATGCGCATAATTGAAACAGTATATTATACAATGCTATCAAACTTTGTTAAAATAAATAACATATAAAAATCTTTAAGAAGATTGAGAAGGGACAATCCTAACCCATGCATCCATGTAATCCAATTTTCAATACCAATAAAATGTATATAAAAATTATATAAAGACTCCACATATGTTGTTACCTTGAACGGTGTATTGATCTTAAGCGTAATTGAACACCTCAAACTCGTAACGGTGATTAAATTTCTTTGGCATAAAAAGTTGTGAGAAGTCATTTTATCCACCGCTTTTGACGACGCAGACAAAAAAATAGCCATTGGTAGCGTAAAGAAATTATTTGTTTCAGATATATTTGTGCACACTTTTATTGGTTATAATTATCCATAATAATTCAGCAAACAAAAAAACAGGATGAGACAAAACAAAACAGAATTCACTAATTAATCCCATTCTTATTTCTATTATTGTTCTGATTTCATAAATATTCATCGTAACAGCCTTACCCAAACAACAAAATAAACAATCTCAAGAGAGAAGCAATCTCGACTTTGGAAGGCAATTCTTGATTCTAGAAGAAAACAAACAAATTTTTCTGGACTACCATATCATACACTGTACAACTGTAGAATTGACATCCTAGAATCATTTGGCTCCGTCATTGTCCATTTAAGTAAGACGGTACAAAATCAGTTTTCGTTCTTTGCCATCAAAACCTTGACTTCTATGCACGTTGCCATAAATCTAGTAAAACAAAATAAGCTATTTGCTTTGTTTGCATCCGCAAGTGCAATTCTCAAGTTCTTTGTGAAGCTTCTGAAAAAGGGGCCAAAAAAAAAAAAAGAAATCAAGATCAACAGATGTATTAAAAATTAACTAGAGCTTCAATTTATTCTTTGTGAGTTGTGCCTGAAGATATTTAAAATTCATTACTTTACAATGTCACACCAGCTTTACTAAAGCTATGCCAACAAGAATACATTTGAAAAAATGACATTACTAACGAACAGACTAAGAGTCGAGGTCTTCAGCATGTTTGGTTTATTTTTCAGTATATTACAAATAAAACCTATTAATGAAGACATTTAATTTAAGAATACTGTACCGATACGAAGCATTAAAAAAAAATGTGAATATGCATAGAAATCACAACTATTCTACATAATGTACCTGAACCTGACTTTGAAGACCTTTAATATGTTGAACGGCCAAATCCAGCATGTCTGCATAGCTTGTTTGCTACAATGACATTTTGAAACAACATCAGGATACCCACAACATATACTTCAGACACTGATTTGATATATAAAATATTAATGAAGATATTTCTTTGTCTCCGATTCAATTGAAGATACTCTCATATCAAACTAATTTATAGAAAGAATTTGTATTTCTGAAATAGTGGCCCCAGGGCATAGGCCACACATACCTACGCTCTGTAATTATAAACTACTGTAACTTGAATTTCTAAGTTACGATTCACCTAAGTGTATTCTTTTTGCTAGGTTTTGTAAGAAATAATAATTGGTAACTTCATTTTGACTAACCGCTATGCAGCTTCATCTTAATTGAATGAAAAGTGACAGTAAGCAGCAGATTGAATTGATAGGGAAAAGAGCTTCACCTTATCCATATTAGGCACAAGGTCCTGTAATTTCTTGAGCTTGCCACTTATTCTTGTTCTTCTCTCCTGCGTATGTTAAAAAAAGAGGAGCGTTGCAAAAGGATTCCTAGAAAAGAAAAGAAAAATGAAGAAAGCAAGTTTGACGAACCCTCTCTGCAATGCTACGCGGATGAGTAGCGCAACCTCGCTTGGCGCGGATTTTACAAGGGACGGAATCTTCAGGAATATGCAATAGCTTCTCCACTGTTGCCATCTCCAGAGTCGTTTGTGGGAGACTAAACTGAAGAGAGGAATCCAAAGGAAACTCACTTGTAACGTGAAACAAACTATATTACTCTTATCGTCATCTGATTGGACCAGATCAAGGTTACCTGAGATTCCAAGGCAGTGAGACAATGCAGAATGTCGGAGGGATCGTTGCCATTTTTGGAACGCTTGGTTGGGGGGGCAGAAAAGGCAATGGAAGTGGAACTGTCCCACGCGAAGGCGGCGGGGTCCCCAACCCCAACGACGACATTGTTGCTGTTCTCAGATTCTTGGCAATGACCCGTGAAGCTCAATTGAGACTTCAACCTTGCGGAATGAGAGCTGCCCCGGGTGATCGTGAAGCCCGCTGCGCCAAAAGAGAAAGAAAAGAGAAGAAAGGCAATTGGGCCCGGGCCCGGGCAAGTGGGGCGTTACAAAATTAGATGAAAAGCCGAAAGTGCCCCCCAGGGGGAGGGGAAATGCAATAAAAAAAAGAAAAAAGAAAAAAAGGTTAATACCGTTGTGGCTGTGGCTGTGGCTGTGATTGGGAGTGGTGGCGGCGAGATGAGAGAGAAAAGCGGCGGGAGTGCTTTTCTGACGGAGCAAGGCGGATCCGAAGGCGTGGTTGTCGTAAGAGGAAGATCCATGCCCCTGGTCCTTGCAGTTTGACTCGGAAGAGTCTCCCGAATAGTAAGGGCCAATAACGGCCTCGACCGTGCTGGTGAGGAGAGAGCCCGGAGCAGAGCCGTAGCGGGTGAGGCCAACCCCCACTCCGGCACCCGCCTGGCTGACGGAGGTGTGGGAGTGGGAGGAGGAGGAGGAAGAGGGGTACATGGTCTTGAATTTTTGAAAGCTTGAGATTGATAGATATTAGAAATTGGAATTAGATGGCAATGGAGAGTGGAAGATGCCACTTGTAGAATAGTTTAAGGCTGCTTATTACATCACTGCCCCGTGATTGGATGCCATTTCCCTCACGTGCCCCTTTATCCAATACACGGCCCCATTCACCGTATCAAATGAAAGTCGCCCCCTGTTTCCATTTTCTATTATTCTCTCTTCTCTGCTTTTCCCATTCACCTTCCAACAATCTATAAATGAAAGTCGCCCCCTGTCCCTGTGCTGTCACTCTTCCGCCACCACTTTCCTGTGCCCCTCAACCACCAAAACCGCTACACCACTTCCTTTCTTTCCTACTCTTCCTTGTCGGAATATTCTATAAGAGGACCATCTCAGATATTTTCACTTCACCTATTAAAAAGGAGATGCCTGTTTTGTTTGCTCGACACACAAGGACCAAATTAAATTAATTAAGATTTACCATTATGTTAAAGAAATTTGCTATGACTTGAAGAATGGGCATCCAAGAAATCAGATTCAAGAAATTTCAGACATGTCTGTTTTTTTATGGGTGCTATCAAACTCTGCTACGTCTCTCTCTCTTTCCTTTGTCTCTCCCTCTCTCATATTTATTATATAGTAGGACTAGCGTTCTCTTGTTCTGTAAAAGGATATACTAGTGCTCTTCTAGTATTAACATTTTGAAATGTAATTAAATATTTAACTAGGTAAAGCTATGCCATACAACTAGATAATACAAGTCCCACGTTGAAGCATAGGTCCTTATTACAGGAGTATCACTGCTCAACGTTGACTATTAGGTGTTGGACGTGTTTTTTTCGTATTCAAGGTGGTTGACAACAAGTAGTCCCCATGATCCGTGGCAAATAAAATAGATGGAAGTGAATACAGCAATTTCTCGCAAACAATGCTAATATGATTTAGTGTATGTTTGCTACGTTGATAATGAAATTAATGTCTATACGAGCAACATAACAAAAATAAATCACACAAGGTGAAAATGTAGTGTCCTATAGTATAGTGCATGAATGCAAATGAAACACATGCACAAGTATGGTACAAGAGCATCCACAGTGTATCACTGTATTTGATAAAATTAATTATAAATTTTCACTATTTTGTTAGGATTTAAAATTATTTAATTTTAGTTTATTAAAATTCTCTCTACTAAAATTCGTATAATTTTAAATTCTTTAAAATTATATTATTTATTTAAACAACAAATTTTAACTCAAAAAATTGTAATTTGAAAAAAAATGAATTATTCATTTGAAATAACTCATTTAAACACACTCTCAGAGATAGAATCAGTGATATTAATTTCTGTAATAATATATTAAAAATATAATTAAAATATTATTAGTTGTAAGTAAAACAGAGGTTGGTTTAGTTGGTAAGTATCGAATTTGTATCACATAAAAATGTAAATTCAAATTCGATGGTAGGTGATCTCTAATTACTTTTATAGACACTCTGAATTTGAACTTTGAGACATGTTTTTAATCCCAGTGAGCTTTTGAGACCCAACTTCCTTAAATTATTGGTAATAAAAAAAATGAAAGATGATGCATAAAAAAAAGTTTAAGTATGAAGACATGTTAACAATAGTAAGGCTTGGTATCTTAAGGGGTTTCTCTGGTATCTTGATTATACAATCAATATTTTGATGACCCTGAAGGACAAATAAAATTAATCGAGAAGGTTCCTTTTGTTTTATTTATTTTTTTCTATTTGATGATTGATCGTGGGAAAATGACAGGCACGATAAAATAAGAAAAGAAAAGAAAAAGTATGGCTCATAAAATCTTAAAAAATAAAATTGATGGCCATCAGAAGTTGTGGTCACGATTCATGAATCCTGTCCCTTTGGCCAGAATTTTCTCGATGATTTTGGTAATAGCCAAGTAGACAAGGTGCCATCGTTCATCTCAACCTATTTTTATGGTTTTTGCACCAAAGAAAGACAACTTATTTAGTAGCCAACCTTAAAAAACAAGATGGTGACGTCTTCTTTTTTTTATGAATTACATTTTTTTCTTATAAGATATTTATATAAAGTATATTGTCCTTACTATAAGCTTCTCTTTATTCAGAAAAAAAAAATACTTTTTTTTATTTTTATTAGTTTTTAAAAGTTTTTATTATAACGTAATTGTTTGCAGTGTATATGAATTTTCAAAGTAATTGGGATAAAAAATATTCATAAAATGGGAGAAATATAAAGTTAACAGCAGAGCATGATGTTATTTGTGAAAGATTAAAAGGGTTTGCATATTTTGTGGTGACGGCTTACGATATTCTTAGACGCAGCGAGAAGTTGACGAGCGAGGAAGGTACCGTCATTCATCGTTCATCCAAACCTCTGGTGAATAACCCTCTCCCAATCCCTCATCTCCACGTTTCCTTACTTTTTATCTCATAATAGTTTATCATCATTTCATCTTCTAAATACAAATATATTTCACATTTTTCTTTTAAGAAAAAACCATTTTATTATCATACAAATATAAATAAATCATACCTTCCTTTTTTTCACAACAATTATTCAACTTTTATTTCACAACACAGTTAATATGTGCCCACACACGCTTAAACATATTTAAGGTTTTATTTACTCAAATAATATTATTTAATAAATCAGTTGCGCCTGAAATATTAGTGTAATATGCTGCTATAAATTATGGATTTTGTAAAGAAATTACCACTGTGAATCTTAAGTGGCTTCCTCCCCCTCAGGATTGGCTGTTCTTAAATTAATGGTACCTCCAACAAAGATGAGTTGATAACTTCTTTGTGGAAGTTCTTTATTAGAGCGCGCGTTGATGGTCAAAGAGTGAATGGTTTCTCTACTAATATTGACATTGTCTCTCCTTGTGTTGCTGAGTTATGGAGGCTTTTCCTTGGTTTGGATCTTGCACGGCTGCTGTCGATTAAAAGAATTTAGCTTCAAATGGATTCTTATGCTACTGCATGCATGTCAAAGACATTCAGGGTCGACCATGTTGAAATTCAATTGCTGACCAGGATCAACAAGCTTTTCGCTATGAATTGGGAGGTCCAAATCATTCACATCTATAGAGAGCAGAATGCTTATGCTAATTGTTTGACAACTTTGAGATCTAAATTTCAATTTGAGACTATATATTACCCCAACCTCCTTCTGAAGTTTCCCTTTGCCTTTTTTCTTTTATTATTATAAGAGAGTTGTTACTCCTTGAAGTATTTCTGTGAAGTTTTCTTTGGGCTTTTTATTCCCTTAACATTACAAAAATAAAAAATAAAAAATCACCATAATGTTAAAAATGAAATAAAAAATAAATTTTTATATGAGAATATACAATTTTTGTTTACCTATAAAAACTAAATTACAAAAGAGGATATTGTATATATAGACTAAAACAATAAAAATAAATTTTCGTATAAAGAGTAATATTCAAATTTTTTATTTATAAAAACTAAATTTAAAAAAAATTATTGTACATGAATTAAAAATTTCCTTTATGCCTCCTAATTATTTAGGACTTTACATACAAAAATCTAGCAATTTTTTACTAGATTTGAAGTACAAATAGTTGTATATCCACCAATAGCATTTACGAAAGATTTAATGCATTAATTTCCTTATTTTGATTTATGCCGCCACAGAAAAATTTTGTGGCCACCGTACACAATTGTGCAAGAAATTTGACAAGCAAACAATATATCATCATTGATCTAAACTTATGGTGATTTATTGTACCAGCTCAACAATACTTTTGTGTTTTATTTGTGTCCCGTATATGCTTCCATGGATCCCCCATTCCTATATAAAGGGAGCACATGCATTCCAGTTTAGACAAGAAAACTTGTATAACAGGTGTTAGAGATTTTAGAGTAACCACAACACATATCATCACAAAATCATGGCAACTGATCTTATATGCTTGTCTAGACAATTCTCGTCCTCCACACCAACACTAACAACTAGATTTCCACAAGGTAGAAACTACACCCAAAAAACATCACTTGCCAATCCCAAACCATGGCAAGTTTTTTGTGCAGTGAGCACCCAAACAACAGAAGATAGTACTCGACGATCAGCCAATTACCAACCAAACCTTTGGAATTTTGAATTTCTGCAATCTCTCGAAAATGATCTTAAGGTGATCATAGTATAACATATATTATTCTAGTTGATTTTTCGTTTTCTATTCCTTTGGCACTTCAAAAAGAAGTAATTGATTAATAATATTTATAATAAGCACAGGTGGAGAAATTGCAAGAGAGAGCAATAAAGCTGGAAGAAGAGGTGCGACACATGATCAACAGAGTAGACATGGAGCCACTAAGCTTACTCGAATTGATTGACAACGTCCAGCGACTAGGATTGACCTACAAGTTTGAAGAGGACATAATCAAAGCCCTTCAGAACATTGTTTCGTTGGATGAGAACCAGAAACACAAAATTAGTGGCCTGCACGCTACTGCTCTCAGCTTCCGTTTACTGAGACAACATGGCTTTCAGGTTTCCCAAGGTATATATATTATATGCTACCCTTACCCTTAACCTAGAAAATTTGTAGAACAAAAAATGGATAAGAATCAGTCAAAATCGGTGTACTTTTTTTAAAAAACTATTCTAAAAAAATAATAAGTTATGATATTGACATATATATTATTATTATTTAATTATTTATTGTGATTTTTATCTTATAAATTATTTAATATAATTATTTTTATTTAAAAAATTTATTTAATTATTTAATTATTATAATTATTATAATTTTATGTTATTTTATTATTTAATATATTATATAATATTAAAAATATATTTTTCATTATTATCATCGATTTGACTCTGACTTAATCAGAAGGGAACCAATAAACCCTAAATCAGTGCTTCCACCGAGTAGTCAAGTTTTAAAAATGTCGATATTTTGTGGTTCTCTGCTTGACTTAAACATAATCATATGGCATGCAGATGTGTTCGAGAGATTTAAGGAGAAGGAGGGAAGTTTCAGTGCTGAACTTAAAGGTGATGTGCGAGGGTTGCTGAGTCTATATGAAGCATCATATCTTGGGTTTGAGGGAGAAAATCTCTTGGACGAGGCAAGGGCATTTTCAATAACACATCTCAAGAACCTAAACGAAGGAGTAGACACCAAATTGGCAGAACAAGTTAGTCATGCGCTGGAACTTCCCTATCACCGAAGAGTGCATAGATTGGAAGCACGATGGTTCATTGACAAATTTGAAGTAAAGGAACCCCACGATGGTATACTACTCGAGCTTGCCAAGCTAGATTTCAATACGGTGCAATCGTTGCAGCAGAAAGAACTCCGAGAACTGTCAAGGTTTGACAAATTAATTTTATATTGTATAATATATGGGAAATGAAATAATAAATTGATATTTAGAATTAGTTAATTGTAATTTGTGTTAGGTGGTGGAGGGAGATTGGGCTGGCAAGCAAGCTGGATTTTGTCCGAGACAGATTAATGGAGGTGTATTTCTGGGCTCTAGGAATGGCACCTGATCCTCAATTCAGTGAGTGCCGTAAAGCTGTCACTAAAATGTTTGGACTAGTCACCATAATCGATGATGTATACGACGTGTATGGTACTTTGGACGAGTTACAACTCTTCACGGAAGCTGTTGAGAGGTACGTTATTTTATTGACGTAATAAATCTCAGTTTGAAGCTCAAAAAAGTTTAATAATAACTTGTTTATGCAGATGGGACGTGGAAGCCGTAAATACACTTCCAGATTACATGAAGCTGTGCTTCTTAGCCCTTTATAATACCGTGAATGACACCGCTTACAGCATCCTTAAAGAAAAGGGGCACAACAACCTTTCCTATCTCTCAAAATCAGTACGTATTGAACATTAATTAGTAATTGGTACACATGCATGTATACAATGAACAAATTAAGTAGTAGTTGTTTATGGATGGTGACAGTGGAGTGAGTTGTGCAAAGCGTTTCTCCAAGAAGCAAAATGGTCCAACAACAAGATAATTCCGGCGTTCAAAAAGTACCTTGACAATGCATCAGTGTCGTCTTCTGGCATGGCTTTGCTTGTTCCATGCTACTTCTCAGTGAGCCAAGACATCGCAGACCAAGCTCTTCATACATTAAATAATTTCAATGGCCTTGTGCGATCCTCGTGCGCAATTTTCAGGCTATGCAATGATCTTGCCACCTCAGCGGTACGTAATTATGATTAATCAAATAAAACGATGACTTGATTATGTTAATTAATTGGGACGCGGGTTGCAGGCTGAGCTGGAGAGGGGTGAAACGACAAATTCAATAACGTCGTACATGAACGAGAATGGCACGAGCGAGGAGGAAGCGCGTGAGGAGTTGAGAAAATTGATAGACACAGAGTGGAAGAAGATGAACCGAGAGAGAGTTGTGGATCGTACAATCTTCTCCATAGATTTTATAGAAATAGCAATAAACATGGCTAGGGTTTCCCATTGCACTTACCAATACGGAGACGGGCTTGGAAGGCCCGACGACACCGCAGAGAACAGAATCAAGTTGCTACTCATAGACCCCATTCCAACTTCCTATTAATTCTATTATTACGTTACCTTTTTAATTTCATCATGTAAGTAATATTGTATTTGATGAATACAATCTTAACTTTTCCGAATTTTATGTTTTATTTATTGCTTTTATTTTAATTACATTTTGGTAAGATACAAGAGGTCTAAACCATTACACAACTTCAACAAGTTCTTTAGAGTGAATTAATTAAAAATTTATGTTGAGAAATAAAATCTCTTTAACAACTAACTGCTTGAAAATTAAATATTATCACAGATTGTCAAGATAAAATTTTATTTTTGATTGATAAATAACACCTAAATTTTATCCAATAAAGATAACTTATGTGTAATTGGTATTATTTATTAATTCAATAATTTATGATAACATGAAATATAAATATTTTAATAAAATAAAATGTTAATTTTAATTAATAATAAAAACCAAGGATACTTGAAAAATAACATAAACTCATTCGAATTTAAATTTGTGTTAATGGAATAGAAATGGGCTTACCGCAGGCCCAATCCGTTGAAAGGGGCGGGTTGTGTTTATTTGAGTTGTTGGTGCGAACGATGAAGAGAAGGACTGAGAATGGGAATGGCGGTTGAGAAGGGAAAGCGAAAACGAAGCAGCGATGTTCAAAGAAAAGAGAAGAAGAAGAAAAGTTTGAGGAAGGAGAATGAGTCATCAATTGAAAAGAAAACAAGTGAGCAATTACGTTTCTTCGTGGAAGAATTTGAGGCGGCGAAGGGTGTTGAGCTTTCATCACTGGAGTTGGAATCCCTCAATAGAGAGAGCAATTGCATTTTGGAGGTATTAGAAGAAGCAGATTCAGATGTGAAAGTATTAGGCAAAAGTATCAAAGCAGCTTTTGGGGCGTCATGGAGAGAGGCACTGTGCGAAGGCGATGGAGATGGCGGAAAAGTCGATAGTGGGAGTCCTTCAGTCCTTATTCTAACTTCCTCTGCCTTAAGATCCATACATCTTTTGAGGTCTCTTTTCTTATACTCTTTTTCAGGTTCAAACCAAACCACGATTATATGTTTCATCAAAACCCTAACCTATTTTTCTCTCTCTGCAGAGGCTTTCGCTCTATGACTAAAGAATGCCATGCTGTAAAGTTGTTCTCTAAGCATATGAAACTCAACGAACAGGTACCTTCTCTTCCCAACTTTATCATTCCCAATGGATTTCAATGGACTATATATGCTGAAAAGGGATTTCTTGAGAAAGTCGCTCAGTACATGTTCAAAGTTATTTTCAAATATTGTCCAACAAATTTCATCTTATTTATAGTTATTTTAAATTTTTATCTGTTAAGTTTTAATTCCAATTTTCCGTGGAGTCTGAAAAGGAATTTTGAGTTTGCTTCTTCACATTTAAATGCATGTGTTCTTCACTTCTACAGTGCACGGTTTTCATTTTCATTTTATTTCCCTTCATTTGCATGACGTAAAAATCTGTGATCCTGCTTCATGGAAACATTGTCCGTTGATTTTGCTTTATGCTCAATGCAGATTGCTTTGTTAAAAAAACGTGTTAACATTGCCAGCGGCACACCAAGCAGGTTGATCGTCTCGAATCCTTTCATTAAATATAGCTTTTGTTGCTAATGCGATTAGATTGTTCAATATATTGACGCTGTTAACGTAGTTAGTGCCTTGTAATTATACTTAATTACTCTCCATCAAATTCAGGATTAAGAAGCTAATTGACGCTGAGGCGTTAAGCCTTTCAAGGTTACAAGTACTTGTGCTTGACATGCATCCTGATGTAAAGGGCTATTCGTTGTTTACCCTTCCACAAGTCAGGTCTGTTAATATCTATCTATCTATCTATTGAAATCGCCTTTTTCTTGAAGCTAGTCTTATTAATGTTACATTTATATATGGCTGAATGGCAGAGATGAATTCTGGGACCTGTTCAAGAATTATTTTTATCAACCGATGATACGGGGTGATATGCGTGTTTGTCTCTATGGTTACCGGGTGGCTGTTAGTTTAAAGGGCAAACATAAACGAGGACACACTGTTCCTGATACGTGATAATCATCCATGTTTTGACTTAGGCTTGTATTCTTCCGATTAATTATTTCATTATAATACGTTTATCATCGAATGGCATCTGTGTTTTGATGAAATGACTAGTCTAGTCTTACTACTGTTGAGCTTTTCTATCGTGATAAGTGAAATTGAAATTATTGTAACGCAGGAAATGGAATCTATTTTGTTTAACGTATGTCCTAATGAATTGCGTAGCATACGCTGATCTCATCATAGATAATTTCAATTGAAGGTATAACTAATTTGAAGTTTGCATTTTGCGATGTGATATGACAACAGGATAAAAAAAATAGTAAGATCTAGAGCTTTCGTCAATAGAAAATTTTAACAAAAACAACGTTAAAATTCATTAAAATGAAAAGATGTATTTTTACGTTATTAATAACATTTCAATTTTTAATTCTTTAACTTAGCATTTTCCATATTTCCATTATAAAAAAATAATTAAATCTAACAAGCCAAAATATATAATAAAAAAGCATCTCCATTATCAATAATAAAAATTCTATTTTATTAAATAATAAAGCTAAAACATTAACAAATTATGAATATAAATTATTTTCATAATTTAAAATTTTAATTGTGATTGATTAAATTTAAGTATTAATATTAGAAAAAAAAATATATCTAAAAAAATGAGATTTTTTCATTAAAGAGTAAATTTTACACACACCCGCACCTGTGCTAGAAGATCTCGCCCATTCAACTCAATCGAAAATGGAGTTGAAATCTTTATACTGTTTTCCTCTTTTGTTTCTTTGACGGCACGGTGGTTTCTTCGAATAAACTATCCCTACATGTCTAGAGATTCAACAGAAACTTGAATACAAAGAGGGCTATATATTTCGCAAAGATACCGAATGATACAGATAAAGCATACCACGTGTATCTAATAATATATCATATTATGCCGTAGTTTATTGGTCTAATATCAATAACTAATCTTAATAACTATTTTTTTTAAGGACAAATACGAAGAGGGAAATCCCATTAGTGATTTTTTTAGTCACTCCGCACGAGATGGCGAAATCTAAATCAAGCATGAGCTGTTTGCCTCATCCACTTAGTGGCTGACCACTTCTCCCCAGAGATTACCTCACATCCACCATGCACACTATTTGGATCTGACTGTCCATCCAGTCCCTGAGAAGACCAAGAAGACAATTTTCCACTCGTTAAGGTTTGATTTATAAATGCATAACACAACTACAACTGTCAATGATTCAATACTGAGCATTGACATTTTCTATCACAAGAATAGTAGCGATGCCCTATTGCTGAACTAACTAAAGTCTACAGCATCATAATGAGTATATATCGAAACCAAAAAAAATATATATATATATATATAAAGAACAATAGTGAATCAGAACATGTTATATCACTAAACCTCAATAGTAACTCATAATCATAAAAGTTCTCAAAATTACAGCAGATTTTAAGTTCCAAATGAATATGACACGAGCCCGAATTTTATTGTATTTGTAAGGGATTAGTTTGCCAATTGATAACTCCGAGAAACTGGAGTTATTTAAACCTCACTTTGTTTTTTGTTTTGTTTTGTTTAGGAGAGGAAATTCTAGAGACAAGCATGAAGATCCTAAAGATCAATATTAAGACTCTTCAACTAGTTCTTCTTAACTGTTTTCCTCTCGTATTTCCTTGATTAATGATGTATCTTGATCAAGAGTTTTTGTATTTGATCTTTATGGATTACTAAACTCTTAACTGGGGGATCCTTTGGATACCATCATGTAGCTTGACTCTTCTTGTAAAATCTTTCTGAATCAATGAATTTTAATTTGTTCATTCATACCTACGCTTCATACTCTTAATTGCTTAACCAACAATTATGTTGACATGGGTAAATCCTAAGATTCTAGGCATAGATGATAGATTAGGACCATAATTGTGAACAATGTTTATTTAACTTCACCTTGATGTTGAATGTGTTCATTAGCCAATGGGATAGACACATAACCGTTGGCCTTGCATAGGGGGGTCATTTGACGTTAAGTAAATTAATGGGGAAGAGGAGTGAACGTACACTTCAACTCTCTGATTCTACGAAGAAAAACTGGATTTATTGTTGCATTCTTGAATTTTCCACTTCATACCTTTCGGTTACTCTTTGCTCCTTATACTAATTTGTTTGGATAAGAATTTTTGCAGTAATTCGTTGATAGATAATATCGTTTCTTTATCAATCTTTTTGGGAAACAGTATTCTGCTCATCATTGCATGACTCATGCACTAGCAGAAAGCTCAAAGGCACAATCTTCAAAACATAGAAAAGTTCTAGATCAATTAAGAAAATAGAAGCTCCTGTTTTAATTCCCATACATGATATCCTTAATAAGCAAAAACTAACCATACTCCAGAAAAGCACTGCATTTCCTTTAATCGGTTTCACAGATAGCCCTTTGGCAAGTTTCCCACCACAGCTACATTCCCCCGAACCAGCCTGAATCATATTACTATATTATCAATAGCAGCTTTAGTTCAGTCAAAAAGTTGAACTAGAATGTCAGATAGAACACACTAGCACCTTACCACGAATTAGATAGTTAATATTTGCTCTAGAGTCAGGCCATTCATATGCTGCTTAATAACAATACAGAAACTACCATGCTAAATGACAAATTTCGGAAAACAAGCTTACCATTGGGAAATATGTTTCGCCTCCTTCAATATTATCACTTAAATACATAAGCATTGTAGCTATTCGCTGCCCACCACGCTTCAAGTTGAACTGTCTCCAAAAAAAAAAAAAAAAAAGGCACAAAGGGTTGCAGATGGGGTTTCATCGCAGTCACTTCAAGGCTAGTCTTATGTTTACTATAATGTGAAATTTACCAAAGATAAAATTACAACTTACAGTATCAGAAAAATAGTCATGATGGGGTTTGTAATATTGATTCTTCTCATACCTGTGCTGCTGCAGATGTTAGCTTTGATACTAGCAAAACGCAACATGTTCAGATATAACATAAAAAAAAATAAGTCATATCCTCACCTCAGGACTTGCATAAGCTCTCCATTTTCAACTGGTATTTGAGAATAGACAGAAATTCTTTTTTCAATTGCCTAGTTGTGCAAGGTGAACATATTTTATCAGACTGTACCATTGATGCTATCCAAGAAAAAATGGTTTTGTATTAAAATAATGGGCCAAAAGAAATAAACATAAGGCTTTTTCAAGGAATCTGAAAGTTTCATATAATGATGAAAAACAGAGTAAATAATATTATACATTTGCAGAATCAGATTTATTAGGATGACCTGGTGCAAGACAACTAGCATCAAGAAAGCATGAGCTTAAATATCAAATCATCAAGTATTTTGGTTGTTCTATCTTGGGGTTGATTGCATTATCCCACAAGGTTGCTAGATCACTACTATTTAGGATTACTAGCCTTAATGAGTGGTCATTTATTATTTTTGAACTCCAATCCTAAGGGTATTTAAGTAATTACATTTACTGGTTTGGGGCTTGGGTCTATGCTTTATTGGATTTTCTTGTAATTCTCAAGTTTAATTAATCAGATTAGTAACTATAGAATCTGAATCCTTGTAGAACTAGGATTCCATAGCTAATTCTTGCAGGATAAGTTATAGAACAAGGTCAATTTAAAACAGTGGTAACGGCTTCCAATTTTTTTATGATTAGATTTATGAATTAAGGGATCACATTGTTGTCTTCGTGATTGTGATGCAACCAAACCCAAATTGTGAATCCTACAGGACTGTATGGGTGGCACGATATTCCAACTTTCAGAAACCAAACTGGTCACTGATAAACCACCCAACAAGAACTCTTAGTGAACCAGCTGATTTCATGCAAAAAGGATTCTTAGTGTCTATTGGACCACAAAAACTGCTCCAATTTATGGTCACACCAGATTGTGCAGTCCAGGTTTTTTAACACAGATTTAAAGACTAAAGTAAGAGGGGGAAGGCAATTCGTTAACTTACTTGTACCATAGGATATTTTCTCTCTTCAGGACTCAAAAACATGCCAGAGCTTGTCCTGACATCACTCTTGATTCCCTGTAGAAGATAGAAATGTTTGTTTTGTTAATGAAATACATGTTTGTATATGCAAATGACCCATATCCTACTACTTTACTACATTTCCATGTTTGTTAACTTTGTTTTGATATGGATTTACACGGTTGGCTCAAAATTGTCTGAATGACCTCAAGGCTAGAACTGCGCTTTAGTAGAAGCACAAATTTGCCACTTCTGCCCAACAATAGCAGTTCTTTTAAAATGGTATTCAGTTCTTCCTTCAAGCATGGTATTCTTCTTTTAAGTTTGAAAACTTCTCATTCATCTTTTTAAATTGTCCTAGGTTAGGTATTTTCCAGGAGAAGGGTCCACTCACAGTTGGATTAAGCCATTTAGTAGTTTTCAAAAATGTAATTTATTAGAAAAGAGAATACAGAAATAAAAAGCAGAGTAATAAATTGAATTAGTTTGGTAGTTGCATAAAGAATGGAAACAACACAGAAGGTTCAATTATAAACAACCAGCTGCTGTCTAAGTATATATGCTTGGTCTTTCTTCCTAGTTCTTAAAAGGTGTTTAGTATCTTATGTCAAATTCATGCATACTAAAATTGGGAATTCCCATGGTGGATCTGACAATGCTTCACTGGAGTAAATGAAATGTAAACCCAATCTCACCACCTAACATCTATTGATGATTATGACCAATCAAAGTGAATTTTCATGAGAAAATAAAATTGTCAATGTACCTTTCCAGTTTTTGTATCCACCACTGTTGATATTTGCAGGCGAGGGAGAGCTATAGCCCTGAGATAATCACATTCCTGTAAAGATAAAACACTTTATTATGTGACCCTCTTCTGCAAAGATTTTATTCAGCAGATGAATTTTTTAAACCAGGTTTAAGATTTGTTTTTGATCCACTTTCACAGGATAGGAAGATCTTATATGCATAAGCATATCACACATTAGAGGTAGCAGCAGCCTAGTGCTTCATGAGGAAACTTCTTTTTTTGGTTTCCCATAGTATCTTTCCACACAAATAGGTGAGACTAATCTTCCAGGGTCCAGTCAAACACTAAAGTGCGGACCCTCCCAACAGTGTTTTTTTCTAAACACGAGTCTTGGAATCAAACCAAAGACCACTTGTTTAAGGGATATGAGCCCCCTCCCACTTGTACCAACACATGTTAGTACCTTGTCAGGAAACTTCTTCCCCCAAATAGGTGTTAAAAAATATTAGTTGGCGCTTCAATCTTCACTGATGAAACATCAAAACAGATCCACTAAATGGTACTTTGCAAAGAGAAGTTGAAGAATATGCAATTAGGTGGAAAAGGTACAAGATGGCAACAATAAATACTTAATACCAATCGACACCACTACATAAAATGATAAAAATTATGTGCAGAAATAGGTCATATAAAATGATAGTCTGGAGGGTGTTTTTCTTTTTTTTTTTTTTGGGGGGGGGGGGGGGGGAGGGGAGATAATGGTTGATTTGCCTTTTGCAGTTTCTAGTTTTCCCATAAATAACAGCACAGAATATAATCACTATTACAGATTGATATTACTGTTGAATTTAATACCTTTACAACCAAATTAATAGGTATGTTTTGTGTTAATAAAAGTTTATCATAATATGGTTGTAATTCAGGGATGACAAATATTTCTGATTTAACCTACAAGGTGCCAACAATACAATCATCAAACTAGTAAGAAATTAAGAATGATTATTTTCAAAATTATGTACTGCAGAGAATTCATTGTGGATTTTATTTTCATAATTTCATCTACAAGTCATCTTATATTAGGCTGTGTTATTTTAACTTCCCCCATCCCATATTTTAATAAGAAAACTCATGAATCTCGTCCAAAACACCTCAAGAATGTCATAACTACAACTTTTTTTTGCCATTCATAAATAAAACTAAATACAACAAATCTGAGAACATCAAACTTGTGTGGTAAGCCGTAAGCCATTTAAAACTATACAACCGATTTTAGAAGATAAAGAACATAATACTTTTCCATGCACTATCATGCATAATTTGGTCCAAAAGAACATAAACTTGAGCCTATCTGTGTCTTAAAAGAAAAAAAAATACTACAAAGAGGGAATGAGTTCATGAGTCCATAAACTATATAAATAAATAAGCTCAAGAAACATTATTTTAATAATGAAAATTAGATTTCAGAAGGGAGGGCATACCTCCATGCTCAAGAAGTTATGAAGTAAAATAATTCGTGGAGACCAGCTAAGCACTTCAGGTTTGACCTACAATTGAGGATCAGATGAAAAGAATAAAAAAAAGCTTAAGCATGCAAATCAATGGTTAAATTAATGAGTCCAATGAAAGATGGAATAGCATGATAACATCAAGGCTTTAAATTTAAAGCACAAGACACAGAATCATGTATCATAACAGAACTATTGGTCCTTCAGAGAGCAGTCAAGTATTCTTCAACCATGCATTTAATTTTACATAGAACTAGCAGAGAACTTTACTCTGGTTTGTTTCTTTCTGATGAGAAATTCAAATTTTATACTTTTGAACACCAAATGTATAGGCAATAAAATTTTATTCATTTTATTTTACCTGGAGTCTGTGATTCGATGGAAAGGGTGAGACAGAAAAAATGTAAATATAAAAATTTAGCAGAAAACAGGGGGACAACAGACTTACATATCCAATTCGTAAGATTTCTGCCTCCTTGTCATTATTCCAATAAGGAATACCTGAAAATATAAGGAATAGTTGAAAAAGAAGTTTCAATCATGGAAAATGGCATGTCATTAAAATTTTTTTAAGTAAGTTAAACAAATAATGGAATAAAGATTAACAAAGATAATTTTGTCTGACAAAAAGTTAAAAACAAATACAGTACCTAGAAGACACAGCAATGAAAAGTTTGAAATTCAGTAGAGGATAAAAAAAAGCAAAGATTGATACACTTGTAAATTTAGTTTTAGGTAAAGTATTGCACATGACAGAAATACATAGAATTAAATATATCCTACATTTGAAAAATAATGTTAACAGTCATGGAACTAACTCCGGCATGCACCTAGATCACACTTTAAAGAAATGAAATTAGGCACAAAATGATAAAAAAGAATTACACTGAAAATTCGCAAAAGAAAAACTCTTGTACTGTAAACAAAACTACAATAATACTGACCTCTCGGCAACTGAAGGGAACCATCATTATCAAGTCCACTCAATCTTCTAAATGACAGAGAATCATTGCCTAAATGGACAAGTTAGGCTAACAGAACATAAGAATAATAATCAAATATATAAAATTCTAGGTCAAATATTCCCCAACGATAAATTCCCTACATGATTTCACCCTGTTAAAGACCGAAAACATTCTTCCAAACAAGTTTTATTGTTATTTTATTTTAGAAACAGTCGATTGCTCTTGTCTTCTTGAAGATAAAAACCAAACACCCTGAAACATTAATAAGTCATAATAGCAAGAAAAAGGGTACCACTCTATACCATATGAGTCTTCCAATTTTCGTATGATTGCCAATTGAGAGAGAGCACCTGTTAGTCCAGAAAAGATAATGAAAAGCTCTGTCAATGCTGTCCCTCGTTAATAATTTAAAAATCATAAACAGTGTAGTTAATGGATTTCCCCAGAAGACTTAAAGATCAATGTACACATAATGATCCATAATAAATCCAATCAAAAGGAGTAGTTGAATTGCAGGAGATCAGAATCTTCGTAGAAAAATAATAATGTATAATTTGATATTTGTGAATTAATATTAACAATAGGAAACAAAATGAAATGTAGATCACATGGGAATGGGATGTATGGAAATACCTATAATCATTCCGACGGTGACAAATGTGAGAAGTCCGAAAACGATCCTCATCGCGGGCGCCATGAGAGAAGAAAGAAAGAAAGAAAGAAAGTGAAGGAACAGTCAAAGTCTTGAAATGTGATGTGAATGTCAAATTCGTTGTACTCCAAACCGCTCTCTGTCGCTGCTTGCCAGAACTCACTCCTTTCCCCCGTTTTTCCTCTATACTTCCTATTATGTATTTTACCGCTGTTTTACAATTAAAATTATTTTTTTATTTTGCTAAAAAATTATTATTTAATGTAAAATATATTTTTAATCAATAAAATAATACAAAATTTACTTAAGAAATTATCCTAATTTTTTATCCTTTTCTAATACCTGACATATACTCACGAACCTAACCATTTTTACATCATTTTTATGAACCAATATAATTTTTAATTATTTCCTTAATTTGTTTCGTAGTATAAAATATACTAAAATTAATGTGTTACTAAAATTTTTCATATAACTAGTATTTTTTAAGAATTTTCTAAAAAAATAAATTTTTAATAAAAATAATTATTAACAAATAAACTAAAATCTTATTTTAGTGAGACATTTATAATTCAGAATATAATTTTAATATGGAAAGAAAGGTTGATAAGGTCTATTATAAGAGTCAAAATTTTCATTTTAAATATTTAATACATAGGCATTATTTATAATCTAAACTCAATACGACATATTATTCTACATCAATTATTTCGTACATTTAGTAATTTTTTAATCTTATTTTAATAAAATATTCATCATAAGTTATTAAATAAACCTTTTTTAAACTCCTTTAGTACAAAAATTATATATTTTATATTATTATTTTATGGAAACAATTATTTAATTACCTTTTATATCTTTTTACTTTTTATTGAATGAATATTTTTTTATTTTAAGTTAAGGATACAATTGTTTGACATTGTATTAAATTTTTAAAAGTGGTAGATAAATAAAAACAAAAACTTCCTTAAAAATACGACAAGTGAAAGCAATGGATAGATGATAATTTATGCAAAAGAAGAATTAGTATGATCTTGTTTGACCAATTTTAAGAGCTTGGATATAAATCACTTAGGTTTGACTGTTTTACTACTGAAAAAAAGTGAAATAAAAACTTAAATAGAATAAAATTGAAAAACCTAAACCTAAAAAATAAATAAATTATAAAACACTTAACTTATGATTTTTTTGGCATTAGAAGAAATGTTTAGTTTGGTAAAAAAGAAAAGCGTGATTTTGTTGGAATGAAGAGACAGAGTATAGTATTCATAAAAGGAATGAAATGGTTTTGGATGGATCTATAATTAATGGTGCAGAGTAAAGAGTGGTAATTTTGATTTGATGGGGGAAATTAAATATAGTTATAGAGGGAGTGGAAACGGTTGGCCTGTACAAAGGGAGAGAGTATTTTGAAATGCACAATGCAATCCAATAATAATGAATGTGCGTTTGTTGGCGCCACGAATTTCCCGTCGATGAGAGGGAGAGGGAGCAAACAAATGCCATTCCCATTGTCATAGCAAAGAGAGAGAAAAGAAATAAACAAATAAGCAAAACAAAACAAACTGCGTCTTCCTCTCTCTCTCTCTCTCTCCCTCCTCACCTGAATTCTCAACAACAGCAATGGCGTCCTCCTCTTCTCTGCCGGTGGCCGTCGTTCTTCTCTTCTTCGTGTTCGCAGCTGCCGCCGACGATGCTTCCTGCAATCACGACTTGCAATTGGTATTCAATTCATCATCAATCCCTATATAATAATATGTTTAATTCATTATTCATGTCATGTCGTGTATATATTATATTTTCTGCAGATCAAGGTGAAGAGTTGGGTTGATGGTAAGAAAGATGAAATGTATAACGGTATGACCGCAAAATTTGGCTCTAGTTTGCCTGAGAATGCTGATCAAAGTGTCAGAACTACTGCGGTTTTGCCTAATCCTATAGACTGTTGTTCCTCTTCAACTTCAAAGGTCTCACATGCTCTCCTTTTCACAATTTAGCCTATTCACGTGTATCATTTTCTCACTTAACTTCTTGCGTCTTCGTATTTGCAAGTCTTTTTAGTAACGTATTGTCCAGCAGCATGCTCAACGTGGTTGTGCATTATCCTTTTGCAGTTATCTGGATCAGTTGCTGTTTGCGTACGCGGTAATTGTGACTTCACAACTAAAGCTGAATTCGCGCAGTCAGGAGGCGCTACTGCCATGTTGATGATAAACGAGTCAGATGGTATATTTTAGCATTTCACACATGGCGTTTTCATTCTATGTTTATGTATTAGCACTACAATTTAGTAATTGAAACTTACCTTTACCTCAATTTTTATTTATTTTGTTCTTTGAAGTTTTTAATCTGTTTTAGTCAATAAAGTTTTGTATGATCATATTGTCTGAAATCTTCTGTTTATTTTCTCTCAGATCTCTTTGAGATGGAGTGCTCCAATGGCACTACGGTAAATATTTCAATTCCAGTTGTGCTGGTAACAAAGTCAACAGGAGAAGCTCTCAACAAATATTTAACGTCTAAGAAAGGTCAGTCCTTCAATTTTTGAGACTTCTATTCTTGCAACTGCATTTGAGAAAGAGATTTGCATTTAATGAACATAGACCTAAGATGCATGTCATAATAATATTATAGAGCACAAGAGATCAACTAAAAAAAATATAATACTGAACATAGTAAGCATACACAATACACCAGTACTGTTGATGTTGCCTACCTTCATGTCCTACAATGAATTATATATCCAGTAAATAGTAAAATCACTCAATTGGTAACACTACAAGGAATTAATGCGATGAGAATGTGTTCTTCCATCCTTTCTCCCACATAATGACCTGTAAATAAGATAAAAGTGCTTATTTCTACTAGATGCCAACTTTGTTCCCACATGATTTACAGATGGTTAATTCTGAGTTATTCATTGCAGTGGAAGTTTTGCTATATGCTCCAACTCGACCAATTATAGACTACTCAGTTGCATTTTTGTGGTTGATGGCTGTTGGAACAGTTATATGTGCTTCGCTATGGTCAGATATAACTGCTCCTGATGAATTTAACGAACGCTATAATGAATTGTCTCCCAAGGTTTTTCCTTGCAACCCCATATCTCTTGAATTTTATGATACATGCTCAAATGTGTTCTCACGTACTTTTCTCATTGTTTGACGTGACTGTAAAGTAATAAAAGTTACCTCTTGATGTGAAAGCATGCTTCCACTATTAATAACTGAATACATCAAAACAATAATGATCAAATGGCACTGACTGACCTTTGGATTGTGTTCCAATCTACATGTCCTTTTATCTTTAACTGCCTTTTGTACAATTAACCACTTATCATTTCAGTCAGTTAACTATTAGAAAGGAGCTATGGAGCATTACTTCTTCCATTCATTTTGTTAACTAATTAGTCATTACAATTACAATTTTAATACATCTTCAAGCATACTGGTCTTTGCATATAAGTTTATTTTATTGTGCTAGGGATCTTCTAAGGCTGGAACCGGGAAAAATGATTCTGAGAAGGAAATTGTTCACATAGATACAAAGGGTGCTATTGTCTTTGTCATTACGGCCTCTACTTTTCTTGTGTTACTGTTCTTCTTCATGTCATCTTGGTTTATCTGGGTGCTGATTATACTTTTCTGCATTGGTGGTATTGAGGTAATGTAGCTCGATTTTATGGATTTTATTCCTAACCTTTGTGGATTGAAAAAGTATCATATTTCATTATGTGCTGAACGTGTTGGTTACTTAAGCCGCTAGAAAGGCTTTACAAACCCAAATACCTATACCATCGTATCATCAACATACACAACCAAAAGAATATGACCCACACAAGATGGCTAATAGAAACAGGATGTCAACTACTCCCCTGTAGGATAAACTCTTGAACTACTTGACATAAATGTTGAATCCAGTTGCATGGAAACTGCTTTAATTCATAAAATAAAGGAGTGTTTGGCTTAGTATTCTTGTTTCTATTTTCCTTAAAAGAAGAAGCTAGGTCAAACATAAACCTAGAAAACCTCTGGAGAATAGATGTAGCATTTTTCAAATAAAGAAAGCATAAAAAGAAGAGCTTTTAGATAAGCTAATTTTGAGAGTTTCTACTTCTCTTTCTCTTTCGTTATTCCATATCCCGAGACCCAGTAACACTACCCAAGAATTTTTCATTTCGGAGTAAACTTTAAGCTAAAACAAAATAAAATTTGTCGCTTAGATTAAGAATTTGAGCCCTCTAACTGTCTGTTGTGACGTGATTTTCCCAAGGTTCTTATCATTGAATAATGGTAAGATTAACAGGGAGTGAAAAAGTCTCGGAATAGTCTGTTCCGTAAGTTTTTGCATAGACCTTGGAATTAACTAGGCAATGTACTCATCCAGATTTACTTCTGTAAAATAAACCTGCTTATCTGCTCATGCTTGTTTCTGAAAATTGATGTTTCCCCACATACAGAGAGATTGGGCTTGCTACATTCAGGAGTCTGTTTCTCGTTATATATATATTTTGTGCTATGGAGGATATTTAGTCTGCCCATTCGTATTTTACCTCATCTGTCTAATATAATTTACTTATTCTATTAAAAACATGAGAGAGTACCTAGTCTTGTCTGTTAACTGATATGTTGATCTATTTGAAACCATAATATGTATAACATGCAAGCATTGGATTCTTATTTTTTTTCTTATTTGCTTAAAATTCCTCTTCTCATTAATTGAAGTCTGCTTTTGTTTTCAGGGGATGCACAATTGTATTGTAAGCCTCGCTTTAAGGTACAAAAATGTATTCCTTCTTCTAATAAAAAGGGAAATCGGCATTCTTTCTGCATCTCTTAATGTCTCATTTTTTTTTTCAAATATGTGAGCAGAAAGCGTCCAAGTTATAGTCAGAAGACTGTTAATGTACCTCTGTTTGGGGAGGTTTCCATTTTCTCGCTGGTAGTGTTACTATTCTGTGTGATATTTGCGGTTATATGGGTTGCTACTCGGCATACAACATTTTCATGGTTTGGCCAAGATGTTCTAGTAAGTTCCTTTTTCTAGTACCTGCACAAATGGTTTCTTTACTATCATTACTGTTTCTGAATTTATAAGGCAAACATAGAATTGTATTGTTTATGATGCTTACTATATGAGTGTCAGTCTCTTTTCTGGAAACTTCTCCTTGAATACTGACTGTTATTGGAGGAGCTGAGAGCCTGAGAGGAACCCATGAATTTGGTTTTTAGAACAACGGCAGATGTTGCAACGGTTTCTACTTTCTAGTTCTAGATCGGCCCAGTGTTGATATTTTTGTAGTTCCTGAAATTTTTTTGCATATATTTAATTGCACCCACTTTTCTACACATATACATACAAATGCACAGTTGCACACATGAGCTCATATGTACAGGCACAGACCTATGCATGCATATATTTTTCAACTTAATCGTTGTGTCAATGATTAGTTGTTTAGTTAATGTTTAAGTTTATGCAATTCACTTGAACATATGGCTTTATTCTTAATAGGGCATATGCTTGATGATAACAGTCTTGCAATTGGCTCAATTGCCTAATATTAAGGTACTTAATGAGTTTCTTATTATTATTTTCTCACTCATCTAGTTTTTTATATCAATTGCAACGTTTCTCACAATTTGCTTATGCGTCTGATATCATAGGTTGCAACTGTACTCCTATGTTGTGCGTTTGTGTACGATATCTTTTGGGTATTCATATCTCCAGTGATATTCCGCAAGAGTGTTATGATTACAGTAAGTCTGTTTTTACTATTATAGTTCTTGGATTGTTTCGTCACAGTTTGGATACGTCTTTCATTTTGCTATAAATATTTAGACTATGTTTTTTTTCCTTTTTCATTCTCATTTGCTGAGTTGAACTTCTTGTATTTCTTTTTAAATTTACCTCGTATTTTCTGAGTTATTTTATTACACCAAAGAAAAAGGTCTCCTATGGTTAGTTTTCTTTTCTAGGTTGCTCGTGGTGACAAGGCTGGTGGTGAAGCAATTCCCATGCTTTTGAGATTTCCTCGTCCTTCTGATCCTTGGGGTGGCTATGATATGATTGGATTTGGAGATATTCTCTTTCCTGGTTTGCTTGTTTCCTTTGCTCGTAGGTATTGAATGTCTTATTTTGTCAACAACTTAAATAAATGGAAGATTTATAACTTGAATATATAAATTCGTTTATAACGTTCGCACTAGCTTTTTTTAATTTGACAAGATGATTTGTTTTCAACGTATTTGTTATGGCTTTTGATTGTCGCAGATTCGACAAAGACAATAAGAAGGGGGTCTTAAGTGGATATTTTCTTTGGTTGGTAATTGGCTATGGCTTTGGTAAGTTCATCAGTAGTATGTTTATGTTGATAGTTTGGTTGATTTTCCTCCTGTTATAGGAACCGTGGTATCTGAAAACGAGTTGTTTTCTTTGTTTCTGTATATATGTACATTTAATGCCGAGTATTAATAGGCGTTTTTAACTAAACATTGTTTGATTATAGTTGCTAACAATAACCCTATTCTAATACCCTCATGTTTGAACATGCAATAAACAATAACTCACTGCTTAAGAACTGAAGCAGATCTGCGTGATGTTTGATTCCATGCAAATGATTGCGTTGTTCATGACTTCAGAAACGCCAACAACATTCTTGTTAACACTCTTCAGTACACTATCATTGGGTGAATCACATGTGGACCCAACAAAATGAGTGGGACTCACATGTAATTTACCTAATAATGAATAATATGTTAAAAGGAATGTTGAAATTGTTAACATTACTTTTTAGTCTGCTTAAAAATTTCTCCTCCACTTTGAGTTAACAATATCCACAATGTCTAAATCCAATCAGTTATGCTGATGCTGCTAGTCCATGTTGATTGGTCATTTATTTAAACTTGTATTTTATATGTAACACTATTATACTATAAGCCTTGACAAAGGATCGTTTCCTGTTTCAGGCCTCTTCTTCACATATCTAGGCCTTTATATGATGAACGGTCATGGACAACCTGCACTCCTATACCTTGTTCCGTGTACACTAGGTAACTAGTTTTGTGCTTTAGATCATGTGTGCAGTGGTTATCATCATTTAGCTTGTCTCATGCCCAATTGTTGTCAAATTAAATCGACAGGAGTCACTGTGGTATTGGGATCCATAAGAGGTGAGCTAAGTAGCCTCTGGAATTATGATGCAGACTCGTCTTCGTCCAAAGAACCTTCTGAAGTTTAATCATTACAATATTCCACGCAACTGCGAAATGATATCAGGTACCATCGATATCAGCTCATGGGATGCAATCTATATAGAGGTTAGGAAAGATACCTGGTGTACAGACAACTCATTCTTGGGCCTCCCTAACTATCTCTTGTATTTTTTGATTCATCAACAATGCGTGAATGTTCTTTCCTGCTTCATAGTTAAAATGGGCGGAAGATTAATGCTCTGTTTGTATAGAAGGAAAAGAATGCAAAACACATGATATATCTTTTGTTTGGTTGAAGGTATAGCGAAAGGAAAGTAAAAAAAATTAACTTTAAAAATAAAAATTCAAAAAATTCTTTCTTTTCATGTTCTAATTATTTTTATTTTTATTTTTTTCTTCTATTTACTTTCGTTTCACTCTATTAGACTGAGCGTGTATATATATATATATATATATATATATATATATATATATATATATATATATAATTTTTGAAATAAAATTTAATTTTAAATTTTTATAATGTATTGTTAAACTTTAAAAGATTATCTCTTTAATTTATTTTATATAATAAAATATTTATTGTTAGTAATAAAAATAATAATTTTTTTAATTTATCAAAAATAATTAATAATAATCATTATTTATATTTTTAATTTTTTTCAAAAATATATTTTAATTTAACAATAACCGTTTAATGCATGAGAGATTCACCAGTTAAAATTACTTTGTTAAATTTAAATATCAACCATTTATTTTAATTCTATGACTGAGACTTGTTCTTCTCTCTCTCTCTTACTATCATTTCTCACCTTATATATTTCATATATATTATTTATGGAAAAAAAAATTAGTATTCTTTTTGCATCTCTGTTTAAGTATAATTCAATAATGTTAACATGATTCAATTTTAATTTTATACTCTCTAAACTATAAAGTAATAAAGTAAAATAATGATATGTCTCAAAAATTCTTCATTAACACTTTAAAAGAATTATTTTTTAACAAATTATTATTTTATATTTTAATTCATTTAAACACCGTTTAGATAAGTTTAGATGAAAAAGTTTTAGGGATGAGAATAGCTTCTAAATCACCTTATTATTTGATGCTAAAAAACTTATAATTGATTTATTAATATTTTTAAAAGTTGAAAACTTAAGATTTGTGTGACGTTTACTTTTAGATCAAAACCCAGATTCCTACAATGTTTAATTATTAGGATGGTATTATTTTTTTTGGTACAAAAATTTTGAGAGCGATATTATTTCACCGCATCTGTGGTTAATTACTTTTTATTTGGTATATTGCAGTAATTTACTTTAGACATTCACCTATTTAGATATAGTTGAATTGAGTAATCAGGTCTTAAAAAATTATATAAAATATTATACTCAAAATGATTCAGTATATAATTTTAATTTAAAATAATTTAGAGTGGCTATAGGATGATAAACCCGATTCCTAACCCGAACTTTAGTTCGAATGAATCAAGTATATGATACAACAGACAGTTAAGGACTGAGTATAATCTGCCCAATTTCTTGCATGCACTGATCAAGAATGTCAAGCTAAGTGTGTACTATTTAGGATGCGGATCCTTTCATATTCTGGCGCAAACATGAGTTCTTGTCCAAATTCGCTTAAGTGGCTTTTGAATGGCTTAAGTGAATTTAAGTGAAATTTCTCTTAAAGCCAAACTTTTTAGCTTAAGTGACACATTTATGGAATCCTGACTTCAAAGCGAGGCCAAGCGAGGATCCAAGAATCTCCACTTAAGCGGTTATGGAATCATTTTATTCCGCTCAAGCAAATATTGTTTCATCTTAAGCGAATTTGGGACAGAGAGCCATGTATTTCAGGGTAGCTATTTGCTTAAGCTATTTTATATTCGATTAAGCGAAACGTTATTGGCTTTAGCGAAGGCAAGCAAATTTAATTAAAATGAAGTGAATCTGAGACAGAGAGCACTGATGCACAAACCCATAATTCGCTTAAGCCAAATAGGAATCGCTTAAGCGAAAATTAAGGCTTAAGCGAATTATGTAGAAATTGAGAAGATTATGCAAAAACTGACAGCATGTCAAAATTTTACAAAATTTATTATCAAAGTCAAATCCACTCGTCCAGAAATAGTTAATTGTGGCAAAAAAAAAATATGGATAAAAAGTCTATTCCATTAATGGTCCACAATTGTTCATAATGAAATATACACAAAAATATAAGCTTTAGTACATAGGTTATTCAAAAACAAAAGAGGTTGAGCCATTCTAGAACATTCTAGAAATTCTAATCAAATATCATCCAGGCCAGAATCATTGATATCATGAAGTTGTCCCTACAAGATAAGAAGATATATTAGGAACCAGCATCAATGATTAGACAATGTAAAGTTAAGCTGAAAATTATTACTCTCAACATATCCATGAAACTTAATTAAGTAAGTAATGTGGGAAGGGAATCATAACATGGAGGTGCCAAACAATTTACTTCAACTGGATCACAAACCATTGGTTGATATTCCTATAACATATTAACACCTATATTATTATATTATATGGTTATAATATGGAAGTTAACTGAATTGTATATATTTGGTATTCAAAATCATTATATAAAAGAACCTGAGATGTTGATTGATCTAAAATTAAAGTTCTGCACTTCTTTCTATTTGCTTGTAACTCAACTCAACTTTTGAAACGTTTATTCCCTTTTCTCTTAGTGCTTGGTTGGAGCTTGAATCCCTTAGGTTTTGTACCATTATTATTGGCCATAATTTGTGCATCATCTTTATCATTACCCGTAAGACTATTTGTTTGCAGTCAAAATTTTGTAATTTTGCTGATTAAGCTGTTAATATTGTCATCAACTAGTTGACAATATTCTTCTGAAGTAGAAACGTTATAGGCCAACCTAATCATTTTACATGCTAGGTAACGGTATTGACGTGAGGTACTAAGTTTAGGATCTCCTTCTACCTCTGTTCCTTTGACATTATGAATAATCTCACTATGATCCTGTGTTGTCCATCTCTTAAGTATGTATTTATCAAGGGTAACTTTCACATCATTAGCTACAAATACTTTCAATGCATGACAACAAAGTATGCCAAATATTTCAAACTTCTTACAAGAGCAATATATAGTATTTGAGGAAGGTTCAAATGTAACTGTCCATGATCTTTGTTGATGGACTTTAGTAATCACATATTCAATCAGTTTCAATCCATTGTAATATACTACAAGCTAAGAATTGAGCAAACTGGTGTTGGAATAAGTTAAATATTGTATGTGTGTAAACCTTGACCATTTGTATTAAGATTGGTGAAACCTCATACCACAACATAGCTAGCTTATGGCAGCAGTCATAGTCATGTTTCAGCTCATTGTAACGTTTGTCTTCAACAACTCGTTCAAAGTGAGCAAAGAATTGTTTGATGCCAACACCAGGTTTCATACTTGCCTTAAAATCAGAGTTTAGACTTTCACTTAATTGAGTACTTTGCATTCTAAGGGTGAACAAATCCTTGAGATAACATAATGCCCATTTTTCCTTTATGGAATAAAGTGAAGTAATCCATGAATTTTCTTCAACATTGTATTCTGTTATGAGACTTCTCCATGCATCCTCAAACTCAATTGAAGTATCAAAATCATACATGAATTTTTTAAAATATCTTGAAAAATGACTTTCTCCTTTCATTAAATTGTCAAGGTGTTTTATGCCATTTTGTATTAAAAAACAATGTAGAAAGAGATTTTTAGGTTTTGTAGACTAGGGGATAGCTAAGATCTTATGCATTCCCAGGAAAACCTTCGAGACAAATGCTGTTGGAAAGACAATGAGGTTCAAGAGGCAAAGTTTAAACACTTTGGCACAAATCTGGACATCGTTTCTCTTTGCCAACATAGCCCGTAGACACACCTCAAATGTTCGCATGTCTCGAGCATATTTGATTTATAGCTTCATGGAGAAGTTAACTGTGGACATACCAGCAATCATTTTAGATGAAATTCACCAATTTGTCATGTCCAATACCTCCACTACTGCAGCAGTGACGAAGCTTTTGGGTTTCCTTGCTTTGATTATTGCTCTATGTGCTTCACAAGGTGTTAGCATTCCTGACTGCTCCAACCAAATAGTTAAATTGAAGAAATCTATAAATTCTTAGTTCATCAGAAATTATTGCATTAATCCAGAGCATCTAATTCTAGCTTTTTCTTAGCTGACCTCATCTGCAGCACCTGCAGCGACACCACCACCAACTGCACCATCTATGCCTCACATGCAAAATACAAATTCTGCTATCATACGCCATTTTACTCATATAGAACAACAAAACGCAACAAACAACCAAGCGTACACGCAATTGAATGAGACTTTTTACAAGTTAACTTCATTTAAATAATTTCTTTTACATAATATTTAGATACGTCCAATTTCTTTAACATAACCCTCATTTTGTCAATTCACAGATTTACATTCACATCAATATCATGGAGAGATTTCTGTTTTTCTTAGTTTTGATTTCTGTTTTTCTTAGTTGTATCCTGACCTGGAGAAAGCCCAAGTTGGGATACACTAATTTGCAAAAGATGATATCGTCCACCTAAAAATTTGTCTGTAAATAATCACATGAAAAATCGCTTAAAAAAGATAATATTTACAGATAAATTTTTCTGTCTTAAAATAATAATATTTACAGACAAAGTTTTTCATCTACAACTCCCGTTTCCAATTTTTTTCCATTTATCCGTCTATAAAATATTACATACAGATAATTTAAGCAAATAGCTACCTTAAAATACATATCTCTTTGTCTTAAATTCATTTAAAATGAAATAATGTTTGCTTGAGCGGAATAAAACGATTCCATAACTGCTTAAGCAATAATTTATCACTTAAGTGGAGATTCTCGGATCCTCTGGCCTCGCTTTGAAGGCAGAAATCTATAAATGTGTCGCTTTAAGTTAAAAAAAATTTCATGTTCGAGAGATCGGGGTAAGTACTATTTAATACTTGAAATTGATTGACCCATTAAAGACAGCAAATAGAGAGAGAGAGAAGAGTGCGTTGGTGTGACGAGTTAATTTAGCAAGAATTAATCAAAAGTGAAGCTAGCAATGATGCCAATATTTTTATTTCTTAATAAATATGTAACATTAGAATTATTGGCATTATGATATGAATACTTAATGAACAACTAGCAATGGGGAGGGAGAGAAAGGCTGCACTTGACAGGGAGTTGGGTGGCGAGGTCTGGATCAATTCCGAGAGAAGGCAACAATGGGGAGGTTCTGTAAGAGCAAAGACACTGCAAGTCAGCATGTGAGAGTGTAGAACAACAATCGGGGGTGGGTGGTATCGGGTTTGGAAGTGTCACCGATGGCCTGCATGCTATTAGTCCTGTTAATGGCACATTGCATATAGATTGCCCATTGGTGCCATTAGCTGCAAGCAGTAGCACCAATGCCACAACCACTATCACTCTCTTTCTCTCATCCCAACCCATCTCCAATCTCCAAAGTATATATCTTTCTTTAATCGTTTGGTGCTATTGGGATTGTGTGGGCTGCAAATGTGGCTTTATATGGGGAATGGGACCAATTATCATGATCGTCGATTTCAAGCCTCGCCCGTGAATGGAGGATAAATTGACACTTCTTTACGGTGAGTCACTGCATGGTTACGGGTGTGTGACATCTGGTTCACAGGTGTCCATAACACACACTCAAGTGACACCCAATCCATTCCTTGTTTCACTCCACCTTTATGCATCCAACCCTGCACCTTTCAGTGCGTTTGGTGTAATATATAATATCATCTAATATTAAATATTATCATTTTTCATAAATAAAATACTAGGTAATTATTTCTCATTAAATACATACTATAAAATTATTTAATATATGATATATTTTTAATCATAAACATTTATTATAAAATCATATACTATTTTTCTTACTAAAAATACAAATTTTAATATATTAATGACATTAAATACAACAATTTTTTAATTAAAAGTTTTTATTTATTCATTTTTATTATTTTTTGTTAAAATATATATATTAAAAATTATTAATTTCAAAATATATATATATATATATATATATATATATATATATATATATATATGAAAGATTATTTCATGATAACTATTGTTTAGAATATTTTATATGAGAAAGAATTTTTAATCTCAACAATTATCTTAAATTTATATTTTTAAGTTTTTAAATTTGAGATATTTTTTATTAATTATATTTTTTCTCTCTCTACTTCTTTTCTTTCTTTCTTGTTTTAAAAGATTATCTTAAACTCATTTCTTATAAATTTTTAATTAAATTATAATGCTTTATTGAATCATTTATAAATATTTTTGGTAAAAAATTAAAAAATAAAAACGTATTCTCTAAAATAATAAAAATGTCTCTGGTAGGAAATATATTTTCATAAATGTATTTTCAAAAAGTAATGCTTATTAGAAGATGTTCAGAAATATTAAAATTTGTTTTAAAATTTTTATATAAAATATTAAAAATTTAAGAAATATGAAAAAAATCGTATCACGATAATTTATAAATTATCGCTCTCTTAGTGATAAAAATTTAAACTATTACAATAAAATATGACAACTTTATCAAACAAGTTATTGTGTAATATTTTTATAATAAATATTATAAATATAATATAATAAATTATTTTATTTAAATAAATAAATAATTTATAAAAGTAATATTTTTCAGTAAAAATAAAATATTTATCACTCTAAAACTAAAACTACAATGAATGTTATATTTATTTAATAAAATTATATTTTTAATACTTCAATTAATTTTTAAGAGCTGTAATTGATAAAATTATATATATATATATATATATATATATATATATATATATATATATAATAGTTTAAAAACAACGTACTTATGCGGTATAAAGTATAACTTTCATTATTTTAATATATTAAATTTGATTTTTTGTTATAGATTAGAAAAGATTTTAAAAATTACTTTTATTCTCGTTACTTGAACTAAAATAATTTATATAATTTATATTAAGTAATTTATTTTTATTAGATTTTATTTATTTAAAATACTAATTTTGTTTTAATTTTAAATTTGAAAACTTAAAATTTAAATCTGAAACCTCCACTTACCTCTTTTAAGCGGGATAAGTACAAATCTTTTTAAATGAGGTGGAATTTAAATAAAGTTGCTTGTAATAAGTGTTCATCAAACTTTACAACTTTCCTAACTAGGCATCATTCTTCATTTTTGTATTTTTTATTTAATTTTATCTCTTTAATATGGTCTTATTTAGTATAAAAAATTTACTATTAATAATAAATATATTATTCTTTATAATTTGTAAATTTTTGAAATTTCAAAATAGGCATGTAATAATTTTTTTCCAAATTTTGAATTTAAGAATTTTTATTCAATGCACATAAAACTTAATAATTAATAAAAAGCAGGATTTCTAATTTGCGCTCAATAACACATATCAAGAAGCTTTAAATACACCTTATTAAATACTTTAAACTTTTATAAACAGATAAATATTAAATATTTGTTTCTAATTACGAAATAATACATATCCTATTTTTGATGCAAACTTAGTATTTTCAAATATATTTAGAAATGTTGTATTTTTAACGATTTATCATAAATTTTTTAAAAAACTAAAAATATGTCACAGCACTTAAGAAATGAGTTTCAGAAAAAAAAAATGACGTATTGAAAATGGTTTGAAAAATGAAAAAAAAAGTCCATCGAAATTTGAATTGAAAATGAAAATAGTTAAAACGAAGTGAAAGGCTAAAGAAGAGGAAAGGCATAAACCCTGTGATGTAAAAATAAAAATAGCAGTGGGGTGGCAAAGGAATAGGAGAACTAGTGTGAGTTGTTTGTTTCTAAAATCTAAACCCTAGAGAGAGAGAGAGAGAGAGAGAGAGAGAGAGAGAGAGAGAGGGTGAGAGTGTTACTGTGTTTGTGCATAGCAGAAGAGAAGAGCAGAGAAGAGATGGATCTGGGCGTTGTGCTGCAAGCTGCTCTGAGTCCCAACCCGCAAGAGAGGAAGGCGGCGGAGCAGAGGTTGGATGAGCTGCAGCAATCCCCACAGCATCCGGTGAACCTCTTCCAAATCATCGTTGACAACAACGTTGACATCTCACTCCGCCAAGCCGCTTCCATTCATTTCAAAAACTTCATTGCTAAGAATTGGTCTCCCATTAACGATATCAACAACAACAACAACAACATCAATATCAACATCGTCACTGTCGACAAAGACCTTCTCAGGAATCACATTCTCCTTTTTCTCGCTCAGCTCCCTCCTCTCCTGCGAGTTCAGATTGGCGAATGCCTCAAAACAATCATTCACAATGACTATCCCGATCAGTGTCCTCATCTCCTCCATTGGATCAAGCACAATTTACAAGACCAACAAGTCTACGCCGCCTTGTTTGTGCTTCGGATTCTTTCTAGAAAATACGAGTAAGTTCTCTTTCACCCTTCTAAAATCTATTCTCTACAACATACAAACGCGTCACCACTGTCTCTTGCTTCCCAGGTTCAAGTCAGACGAGGAGAGGACCCCCGTTTATCACATTGTTGATGAGACGTTCCCTCACCTTCTCAATATTTTTAACGGTCTTCTCCAAATTGCTAATCCATCAATTGAAGTAGCCGAGTTGATCAAGCTTATCTGTAAAATATTCTGGTCTTCCATTTATGTGCGTCCTCTTTTCTCTCCCTTCGTCACGTGTCCTCCGTTTCTTGTTTTCAGTTGTCTCACTTACCACTTCAGTTCTCAAAACTGACATGTGCAACTGTGTGTATTCAGTTGGAGATCCCGAAGCTTTTGTTTGATCAAAATGTATTCAATGCTTGGATGCTTCTGTTTTTGAATGTGTTGGAGAGGCCTGTTCCCTTGGAGGGTCAGCCTGCTGATCCCGAGGTTCGAAAATCGTGGGGTTGGTGGAAGGTTAAAAAATGGACGGTTCACATTCTCAATAGGCTCTACACTCGGTATGTATGAGCTGAAGATTTCTCTGTTTAACAGTTATGAAGTTTTTTTGTTGAGTGATTGATTAATTTCTCTATTTCTCTCCGTGATTATACTATATTGTCACAGTTTCGGTGATTTGAAGATGCAAAACCTCGAAAACAAAGCCTTTGCTCAAATGTTTCAGAAACATTATGCTGGGAAGATCTTGGACTGCCACTTAAATCTGTTGAATGTCATTCGGGTTGGTGGCTATTTACCTGACAGAGTCATCAACCTGGTTCTTCAATATCTAAGCAACAGGTGAGTATTCTTATTTATGAAGGAATATATTTATTCACACGAGGCAATCTTGTCTCTTAAGCTTGCAGGTTTAGTTTATGAGTTTCTAATTGTTATGTCCTTAATTAATTCTCTTATCTTTTGATAGCAGCTACACCATATTTGCCAATCATTGTTAGAAGAGAAATACTAATCTGATCATTTTTCTTGTTTTACCCTTATTAATGTTCTGTCCAATGGTCATTATTCTGTATGATGATACTTCATTTGAAAGCCAAAAGCAAGCATTACTGGGCTTTAGTATGTAAGGATAGTTGAGCGAAGCTTCCTTACTAAATATGAAACACTTAATATGTCAATCCAAGCCCAATAACAGCCCGAGCCTAGTCTTCCAAAATAAAATCCTAGGACTCAAAATATATAACCAAAAAAGTATCAACTTACTAATGCTAGTAGACCTAAATTAATTGTCACTTGGAAAAACCTGATTCTGTATATTATCAAGGGCTCATGGGCCATGGCCATATTGTTCCATTTCCAAATTTCCAATCACCCTGGACAACTTTCTGTTGTATGGAGAATTGGAGCAAATTTAAATTGAGAATATTAGTATCTCTGTTTAATGCTGTTATTTGCCAATGCTGAGATTTTGGAAATTAATTATTTTTTCTCTGAACTTCTTTTTTTAAACATATGCAGTATTTCAAAGAATAGCATGTATGCTGCACTGCAACCTCGGCTTGATGTTCTTCTTTTTGAAATAGTTTTCCCTCTTATGTGCTTTAATGATAATGACCAAAAACTTTGGGATGAAGATCCACACGAATACATAAGGAAAGGCTATGGTAAGTCTTATTGTTGTGTAAACAATAAACATGGACCCTGAAGTTCAAGGCATTTCATTGGTATGTGCTTATAGGCTATAGCTTTTAATTCTTTATCACAGACATTATTGAAGACTTGTATAGTCCTAAAACTGCCTCCATGGATTTTGTGAGTGAGTTGGTTCGAAAACGTGGGAAAGATAATCTTCCCAAGTTTATTCAATTCATAGTTGAAATTTTCAAAAGGTAAATATCTCACTTTCTGTTAGAATAGATGATTTATGGATCAGGTGCTCTATTTAGGTTTTTGCTTTGCTAGGTATGATGAAGCACCTGCAGAATACAAGCCCTATAGACAGAAAGATGGTGCGCTTCTTGCTATTGGGACACTTTGTGACAAATTAAAGCAAACTGAGCCTTACAAATCTGAACTTGAGCGTATGCTAGTGCAACATGTCTTTCCTGAGTTTGGCAGTCCTGTTGGCCACCTTAGAGCAAAGGTACTGTCTCCTTCATATTCATAGTTTACATTTGCATCTTTTCACATGCAGGCCAGATTCACTTATCTTTCTTTTTCTCCTTCTTCTGGGGTGTAAAAAGACTTTTAAAATAGACATAGTTTGAATAATTGCATCGGTTGGACAACACCCATATTTGGTAGTGTTTTAATTGTAAAAAGATCTGCAAAAATTTGGAGTGGTAAGACATTTCTTCATGAACATAGTTAAATTTTTTCAGTGTGCATGGTCTAATGCACATTTCTCTTGGAAGAAAAGAGTGGAATGGAGTAGGCTTTTAATTCAAGAACGGAACAAAAAGGATTGAGAAGTTATTATCTTTTCATTGTTTTATTTTGTGTAAAAAACAAGGAAAGGGTTGGGTTATATAATTTTATAAATTCAAAATATACTGTTTTAGATAAAGATAATGCATATGACATTTATTGGCTGGAAAGTATGCGTTTATATGTGGGCGTGTATCCAATCATTAATTCTTGTAAAGATAATCATGAAAATCATGTATACAAAATTTTATACAATTTAGAAATTTATAAATTTGTAACCTAATAGTAACTATTCACTTATATTTTAAATAATATATGTATATAAGACGATAAGATATAGTGGGGCAACAAAGTATCAATTAATATTTAAATAGTGGAAAATTTTGTAAACTTGATCTATTATGAACTGTTGAATTTGGGTTTTAAGCTTAATTCAACTCCAAAAGCTAGCTTGCAAGGTGAGGATTACTTTAACTTTTCTAAGCTCTTATTTAGCTATATTTATAGTTGATGTGGGGACTTCAACAAGAACATTAAATTGAACTGTTGGATTGATAAAATTCAGTTTTGATAAAAGGTTATTTCATTCTCTTTCATTTCTCTTTCCCCCTGTATACCTAAAATCCCGTAATCTCAACACACACACTATTTGTCCTATTGTTACTTTCCTTGCAATCCTCCCATAGCTATGGGTTTTGCCAAAGCTTTACCTCCATTGAAGTAGAACTAATCCTCTTCTCTTTGTTTCCCTATCATATTAATATGCATTGAATCCAGGAAATGATGCTATACTTTCTAAATTGCTTTCCTCTATAAGCAAATAAAAGACACCAATGTTGCAATTTAATATTTTAATTTGACTTGGTGTAAATTTATTAAATTCAGACATTGATTATGAAAATTTCATTCACTATTCTTGAGAATTTGCGCTATCCCAATTTTCTTGTGAAAAATAGGCAGCATGGGTTGCAGGACAATATGCCCATATTAGCTTCTCAGATCAGAACAATTTCCGAAAGGCATTGCAATGTGTTGTATGTGGAATGCATGATCCTGAACTTCCTGTCCGCATTGATTCTGTTTTTGCATTGCGTTCTTTTGTTGAAGCTTGCAAAGGTGGTTAATAACCTTTGTTTCTATTTTGATTTGAATAATTTTTCTGAACTTTAATGCTGGTTATGCTTAGTTTGTTTCTGTGTTTATGCAGATTTGAACGAAATTCGACCCATTCTACCTCAACTCCTTGATGGTACGTGAATGTGAAAAAAATTGTTTGTACATTACATTTCTTATTCGGCTTGGCAAAAGAGTATAACTAACAAAAATATATTCAGAGTTTTTCAAACTTATGAATGAAGTTGAGAATGAGGACCTTGTATTTACTTTGGAGACTATTGTGGACAAGTTTGGGGAAGAAATGGCACCTTATGCACTTGGGCTGTGCCAAAATTTGGTAATACATATTTTTAAAACATTTGTATCTGCCAATAAAGTTGTGCTTTCTTTAGAGAGCTAGTATTTTTCTGTATAATAACATTGCAATTTTCTTTCTTAACACCAGGCAGCTGCATTTTGGAGGTGTATGAACACTGCTGAAGTTGATGATGAAGCCGATGATCCGGGTGCTCTGGCTGCTGTTGGTTGTCTGCGTGCTATTAGCACAATACTTGAATCAGTGAGCAGTCTTCCTCAACTTTTTGTTCAAATTGAGCCAACTTTGCTTCCCATAATGCGTAGAATGTTAACAACCGATGGTCAAGGTATTTTACCCTATGTCATGTTTATCTAGATGGATTTGAGACTATTGTTAATATCACCTCTTGTTTGCATTGTCATCGTGTGTGATGTTTTCCAATCTACTTTGTGGTTTGGATCACTCTGTTACTCACTTAACCCATTCTATAATTGTATGCATGAGAGTATTTTAGATGGAGTCCTCTAGATTTGAAGAATATATCCGGTGATCATTATCATCCCATGCTCTTGATAGTTTATCGTAAGCAGTTTTTTGGACAGCTGTTAACTGTGTAGCTTTAATATGGAATAGTATGCTTCAGTTTGTGTCAAAATAATGCAATGGTGATAACAGCTTTAGTTGGTTTGGTTTGCACCTTCCACTTGGATTTTCTAATGGGTGTGCTTTCTGTGTGTTGTTGTTAGTTGGATAGTGTTAGGAAGACCGGTTCTGAAGTTTTAGTTTCACTTACATCCAGTTGTGTATTTATTTCCATTATCTCCTGGGCATGCCTGCAGAGGTTTTTGAAGAAATTTTGGAGATTGTATCATACATGACTTTTTTCTCTCCAACAATATCATTGGACATGTGGAGTCTTTGGCCATTGATGATGGAAGCACTAGCAGATTGGGCAATTGATTTCTTTCCAAGTATGGTTCTCAACTACATTTTGGATAAAATTCATCTAAATTTTTCTATGCTCTACAAAAGTTTAGTCTAGCTCATAGTTTAGATCATCTCTTGATCTACCTTATTTTACAAGTTAATATAAAGCTAGAAATGTGTTGGTATCTTCCAGTGAGCCTCTTTTTGGCTTTTTCCTTTGTGCATTTCTTGGTCGGTTATGTAATAAAATGGGTTCTATGTGTGGAGCTGATGAGCATACTATTCAAAGACAGTGAATGTCTTTAGTTTCAATTATATACCTTGTTTGTTTTTTGCAGATATGGCACCCCAACATTTAAATTGATATACATATTCTGCATATAATTATGCATTTAATTTTATACGGTGTTGTGTGATCCATTATTCATGTAGCTGACTTCACCTAGTAAGATAAGACTTGATTGTTGTTGTTGTCTATGTATTTGTTTTGCTACTTTCTTCTGCAGATATTCTGGTTCCTTTGGACAATTATATTTCAAGGGGAACTGCCCATTTTCTTACTTGCAAAGAACCTGACTACCAACAGAGTCTATGGAATATGATTTCATCTGTAAGTTATATTTGGATTATTAGAATTAGTTCAGCTACCACCTTTTAGTTGTGGTGTCTGGGACTGAAAATATTGTGTTATTGTTATTTCTATCTTTTTGCTGATGTCTTTGATCTGGACATCACATTGAAGGTTATGGCAGACAAAAATATGGAGGACAGTGATATTGAGCCAGCTCCAAAGCTCATTGAAGTTGTCTTTCTGAACTGCAAAGGGCAGGTGGATCACTGGGTTGAGCCATATCTCAGAATTACTGTTGAACGCTTGCATCGAACTGAAAAATCATATTTGAAATGTCTTCTCATGCAAGTGGTAAGGGTTATTTATTAGAATCCATGTTGACATGCCAGGATGAGATAATTGGCTTCTGTTGCTTTGTTAGTTATAATGTTTTGACATATTCAGCAGTTGGGTTTCTGTGCTCCATTCGTAGTTGTCAATCCTGAGTAGTGACATGGAGTGGCTGCCCCGACACTTCTTTAGTGAGATGACTGCTATTCTAAAGTTTACTATGCAAATTAGACAGTTTATATCACACACATAAATGTTTAAAAATTACCCAAAATTAAATAATTCATAATTAATAAACAAAAGGCATAATTTTTAAGCTAAAGGCAAGTGAATAACAACAAAAGTCAAGGAACATGGAACGAAAAAAGTATAGCAAGACACAGCAACTTTAGGCTACCTATCTGAATGCAATAGTGAAAATTTTGAGAAAAAAGAAAACTGAGACATGGTAAAAGAAATAAAATAGAACAGAGATCTCTGTCAGATGTGAACAGCACAGAGACCTCAGAATCTGGTGCCAGAATGCCATGGGTTGGAAGAAAAGGCACCTCAGAGCTTTGGGTCAGATGGCTAGGATCAAATATAGGAGGTGCCTGTCAGAGCACTGTGTGACTGTTTGATAGGTTTTCATACTCTATAATGAAAAGAAGGGGGAGACATTTCAAAATTATTCCCTAGGGATGGACAACTAACAATCGGGGGCAAAGGTCTTAACTCCTACACCAGTTGTGGTGGTGACTGGTGACGGCAACAAATTTGTTTTATTTGGGGCATGAAAGTGTAAGGTAGTCAGAATCAAGATTCTACTTAGAATTTCATAGGGATGTAAATATTATAAATCGTGGGATTGTAACATGGATGTAAGATCCTACAGAATTCAAATATGTGCATATAAATTTATATATATATATATATACACGTTTAAAATAGAATACAAAATAAGTAAAAAATATATATTAGAAATTTGTATACAACTTCTAAGTCACTAAATAACAACTTAAGCTAGAATAGGAACCATTACAAGTACAAAACAGCAAGTTTTGACGTGATGAAACAGAAAGAGAATCTGGGTCAAACAGGACTGAGAACACTAAAACTGAAAAAACAGAAGATGGAAGCTTCTCCTTTACTTTCCAAAACCCAGTGAACCAACACCCAGAAACAGAAGAACCATAATGCCTCTGAACTGGCCTTCTGATGCTGCAGTAGAACTGAATCAGAAAAAACAACGCTGTTGCAGTGAAGGAGATTGGTGATGCCAGAACAAATGGACAATGTGGGCATAGAAGAGGTATGAGTCGTATGACAGAGTTGTTTTGTTGAAAGGGAAGAGCCAACAGTGTCATTTAGGGTTGAGACTAGAGAGGAAAAATATTGTGTTTCATTCAATTGGGTATCATGTTAAAACCAAAAACCTGTTTTTGGCCCTGTTTGATGGATTGCGCAATGACACTGTTTTTACATGTAAATGTGGGAACCCTACACAATCTCACCAGATTGCAATTGAGAGCATGTTCAGGGTCATACAGACTGCAAAAAATAGTAGAATTGTGTGATCTTACGAGAATTGTGATTTTCACTATGAGATGCTCCATGAAAACATGATCCAACAACTTTCCTGTAGCAGCCTCCAGCCATGACGCAGTGGGGGTAGCATGCACTGTTAATAACTCTGGGTCATTTTATACTTCTGTTCATTTCAAAACCCTTGTCTTCTGGAGCTTTATTGAAACTTCACAGAATTACCCTTGCCTTCTGGAGTTTATTGACCTTCCAATCTTTAACTTTCATGAAGTGCTTGATTTATAAAAAGTGGAATGTGTATAATTTGTACAGTAGTTGTCTGTGCTTGCCTTGTTCTCCTCATCCACAATTGTGCTTCCTTTAGTGAATAATTTACTATGTTAAATTTATGAAGAATAAATACAATGCAAGGGATTATTTGTTTAATGTGATTAATTCTTTTTCTGATTTATTACTATAAGAATAACTTAGTTTGTCTATTTTGTTTTTTTCCAACCTTCTCAAAGATGGCAGAGAAAGATATCATAATTAAACTTCCTTCTAAGAAGAAATAATTTTTGCAGATTGCAGATGGTCTATACTACAATGCAGCACTGACTCTAAGCATATTGCATAAGTTAGGCGTTGCATCAGAAATCTTCAATCTTTGGTTTCATATGTTGCAAGAAGTCAAAAAGAGTGGTGTGCGTGCTAATTTTAAAAGGTCCATTTTTCCTGCATCTTCACTATCATCTCTCTTGCTTTGCTTTCTTTTTTATGCTTTAATATAAAATAAGATGTGTGACAATTTCAAGGTCTAATGCAACCTTATGATAATCTTTATGCAGGGAACATGACAAAAAAGTTTGTTGCCTTGGTTTAACATCATTGCTTGCACTTCCAGCTGATCAATTGCCAGGAGAGGCATTAGGCCAGGTGTTCCGAGCCACTCTTAATCTTCTGGTTGCATACAAGGATCAAGTTGCAGGTCTATATGTCATATTTTCTCTGTAACTGAGATATTGCAGACATGCAATTATATGTTCATTGGGTGTAGAGTGACAATTTGCTTTAATAAAAGATTTATGATTGTCTAATTCTCAGCTTGTGTTTTTTCTGTGCAGAAGCTGCAAAAGAGGAAGAAGCTGAAGAAGATGATGATGATATGGATGGCTTTCAAACTGATGATGAAGATGAAGATGGCAATGGTTCTGACAAGGAAATGGGAGTTGATGCTGAGGATGGGGATGAACATGAAGCTCACAGTGGTAAACTTAGAAAGTTGGCTGAACAGGTTTGTGGATATGAAAACCTACAAAACACTTGTTTCCCATATTAATTTAACATAGGATATGGAGTTCATTAGTTTACTTGCAATAAAGGAATTTGTGGTTTACATGCTTACGAGCTTTAATATAGGAAACTCCAGTAGTTCACAATTTGCTAAGTTAATTATCTTGCTCTTGAAGTTTTATTCGATTCTGAAAACTTGATTACAACATTATTGTTTGAAAAATGAACTAGTTATTGAACCAAAAAATGGGAGGAGTTCACATTCAATAGGTAAGAAATTTAAGTTTAGATATTATCATGTGTAGGCAACAAAATTAGACATAGAATGCAAAATATTTTGTAACTTTTCATAATGTGAAATGTAAAATATATTAATTTTTAATCACATCTAGTGTTTCTATTTTTATCAATTTAGTTTTGTTAACATATTGATTAGTTTTAAAATAGATATTTTTCAGTAATTTGATATAAGTATATGTTTAGTTTTGCTTATTCTTATTAGCTTATTTTTTGCAGCTTTATGAGAGAACTTTTGAGAAACAAGTGATTTTATTTTATTTTTCTGAAGAAAAAGCTAATCCTAGCACAGATATATCTGAATTCAAGTATGATTTATAAATAAATATTGAGTTAAGTGAATTGTATACGATTTCTTTTATTAGTAATTAATATTCTATTTTATTAGATAGGAATAAATTAGATAGATATGACTATTAAAATTGGGAGGAAATAATTGAAATAAATAATTTGAGTCAAGATACAACATTTTTATTGATATATGTGTATAAATTTAAAAGTTTGATTCAGTTCTAGATTGAATAAGATTACATATATAATTTTAAAATTCAATTTATCTAATAAAAGAAAGATAACTTCGATTTGATAATATGGTGTATCAAGTTTCAATATTTAAAATCCAAAAATCATATTTAAATTGAAATTAAATTTAAGTAATAGTGTTTAGAAGGAGTAAAATTTATAATAAAAAATAAATACTCATGTATGAAAAGCCATGTGGGTAATAAAGAAAGGAGTGATTCGGAGAAACATTTTCGTTCACAAGTGAGAACTTGTTTTAATAAGGATGGATAACTTTAACTGATATGTCAGCGTCATTCTACAGCTGATTATTCACAGTACCCATGCAATTTGGGGGTTGAACTGCTGGTCTATCCCATCCCATGTTTTCGATTGTTTTTGAAAAAAATTATATAATTATATCTTCAGAATTATACATTTATCATTTATTTATTTGTTTTATTTATATATTTTATATCATTTTTAAATCTTAAATTGTTATTCTTCTTTTATAATGTCCTACAGGCAAAATCCTTCAGGCCCAACGATGAGTATGACGACGACTCTGACGATGACTTTAGTGATGATGAAGAGTTGCAGTCCCCAATTGATGAGGTGGATCCATTTATTTTCTTTGTAGATACGATGAAAGGTAATCTCCTACTGTCCTTTGAAACAAGTTAGAATTATTTTTATTATTATTATTGTTTTGACATTCCTGTCTTTCAATATAAATTTGCCTGTAGTTATACAAGCAGATTCATTGAAGTTTCAGAACCTCACTCAGACACTTGAGTTTTCTTATCAAGCTATTGCGAATGGTGTTGCCCAGCATGCTGAACTAAGAAGAAGAGAGATTGAAAATGAAAAATTAGAGAAGTCATCAGCTGTCACAGATTCTTGAGATTTTTACATGTACATTCTTGTTTCTTTTTTTATTTTATTTTATATTCTTAATTACTTGCTTTTATCCCTTACTGACAAGGGGGTATTTGAGGCATTTGTTGGTCCTGGTTAGTCTTGTTATGATCTTCGAAGAGTTTGCCGTTTTAAATTACCGAGTTAGTGTGCGGTCAAGTTCCCGTTGATTTCAGAGGATGTGGATTGAGAACAGTGGAGTTTGTTGTTTTAGGTTATCCTTTGGATGAGGGTGGCCATTTTTGCGATAATTTGAGGGCCTCTTAGGTACCCATGTTACCAATGGGTTTGGTTTGTTTCCAATACGTGAAATCTGTCTATTGTTTATTTAGCAACGGTGGTAGTTTCTCTTCGTCACGTAGACGGGTAAACTAGGGCCACCATACTTGCTTTTGGTAATTTTTGGATGAGGATAGATGCCTATTCTTTGTAATTTTCTTAATCTGATTTTTGTTCCAATTTTTGTGGCTTAAGAATATGCGAACGAAATGATCAATTTCTAAGTTTCTTCGATATTTATTTATGTAAATGGTAGAATATAAGTTACTCTGTGAAGCTTAACTGAGTTTGTATACTTCTGTGTATTAACACACGTTATTATTTATCGCACAAAATTATTTTGTATGAAGTTAAAGTGTTTAACGATGTTTTTAAGTTAATAACCGTACAGTATAACAATATTTTCAAAATAAATATATAATAATAATGTTAAAATTAAATATTATAAATTTAAAATAAAATGTGCAGAAGTGAAGAATACATTAATTTATTACTTCAAATTGTTAAAATAAACATGTATGATGATTTTTTTTATATGATATTATACTTGTAATCTAGAAATAAATGGTAACAAAATTTGAAGGAAATAAGTTAAGAAAAGTTAAAAATTGTTTGGACATCACAGTAGACCAAAATTTCTTTATACCTCATTGACGTGTTAACTATTCATGCAACGACTCCCCTATAATATTTTTTTTTATTATTTTTACCAATTATAATAATTTTGTTATTTTAAAAATTTTCATTGCAATAATACTACTTTTGTGTTTAGCTAAGTATCGAGATTAACCAAAAAATATATAATTAATTTATACACAAAACGTTGTGTATGTAGTTAAAATTTAAAACTTTATAATATATATATAGATATCATTAAACAAATGAAAACAATAAATATGATGTTGAAAAATCTCATGATTTATTGATATATGAGATACATCCCAAGTTGATACGTAAAATGGCTAGTTTTGTGTACCTTTTTATCTAATGTTAACATTATTTCTTCAATCATTTATAAATTTGAAATATCTTTTTTTTTTTTTTTTTTTGCAACTCATATAATTTCTATCTTCCATGAAACGAGCAATTTATCATTAAATTTTTGAATAATATTAAATATTCAATACTTCTTAATCATAACGCTAGTTTATCCTGAATGAGGTAAAAAGGAAAGTCTTAAAAAAATGAAGAAAAAGAAATGTTGGAACGCACCGCCACAGGGATCATAGATAAAATGTTTGGAACAACATTGACTGTTACCAACGTCAGAAAAGTTTGGGCGCGCGGGTTTGTACTTGGTCCTTGTAGAGTACGCTACTCGAAGCCTTTCCCTCTTGTAAGTGGGAGATGGAGTTTGACCCTGACGATGTTTTCAGAGACGACGACGACGATCTTGATCCTCAACTCTCTCTCTTTGTATGCTTCTTTACCCTAATAAATAATCATTCTCTCTCTCTCTCTCTCTCTCTCTTTAATAGGACAAGTTTTTCAGGATAACGAGTCGAGCAAAGAATACGTGGTTTATCTGGTCGATGCTTCCCCTAAAATGTTCAACGCTGTGGTTAGTTTTCTTCTTCTGAAATGGTTTGGCCTCTGACTTAATTGATTATTAAGTGGGCAATGGGCATGACCTTGCAGGGAGAAGGCCAAAAGGATGAAACTCACTTCCACATTGCCATCTCTTGCATCTCTCACTCACTAAAGACTCAGATCATTAACAGATCCTATGACCAAGTTGCCATTTGCTTCTTTAACACTGTATCCATTTCTCTCACCTTTTCTAGTTTCTTCACTTTTATTTTATTTGTCCCACAATAGTCTTGTAAAATACAGTTTCTGTATTCCAAACTACTTTCAAAACCAACCTTTGTTTTCTTTTCAAATATGACTTTTGCTCCCCTTAGTCTTTTATGTCTTGGCCAACTAAAAGAAGAAAGGTTTCCCTGTCTTGGAAAAAAAAAAGGGGTTTTACTTTTCTGCTAAAAAGTGAAATGCAGAGAGACTCTTTTCTTATGCATAAAGAAAGGTTTTCAGTTGAAAAAATTTGCATTACTACTGTAAGACAATAAAGTGTGGAAAAACCAAAGCAAATGAGGCTTCTTGTAAGGCAGCATTGCTGCAAAAACTTTGCTTTATGTGTCGTGTGTGGTAGGAATTAGAAAGTCAGATTCAGACTTTCACTTGTATAATATTCTTTCTTACTTAACTTTCTTTTTTACTTTATCTTTGCAGAGGGAGAGGAAGAACTTGCAAGACTTGAGTGGTGTTTTTGTATTTAATGTTGCTGAAAGAGAGTTTCTAGACAGGCCCACAGCGAGGCTCATAAAAGAATTTGATCTTTTGGAGGGTATTGTCTCCTATTATTTATATGAGATTGCATATAAACTGGTGATGTCTTGTTTTTAGATCTGTCATTTACTGGTCATATCAACAGCTGACAAGACTATGAAATTTTGGTTTACTGGCTGACCGACATGCATCCTTAAGTTGCTTAAATTAACTGCAAGATTGCATATAAACTTCTTTTTTAATACTAATATATTGTTTGGAGAACCATAATCAACAAGATTAACATTTGAGAGACAGAGAATCTGTCTTGTTGTGTATGTTATGCACTTCTTTATTTTGAGATTACTAGTCATATGTTTTTAATCTTCTCTAGAATCTTTTTCTAAAAACATTGGAAGCCAACATGGTGTCGTGTCTGGGACTCAAGAAAATTCTCTCTACAATGCTATCTGGGTGGCACAGGGTCTTCTTCGTAAAGGGTAATATATGCTAAGGGATAATATACATATTACTTACAGTCATATCTACATGATTATCGGTAAATGATAATGTATAACATTTATAACAGGTCAGCAAAGACAGTTGATAAGCGCATACTTTTATTTACAAACGAAGATGATCCTTTTGGGAGTATAAAAGGGGCTATAAAATCAGATATGACAAGGATGACACTGCAGAGAGCTAAGGTACAAATCTGTATATGCTTTGTAGCATAGATAGTAAACCATAATGTTAAGTTTGAATGATGCTAGCAGTTTGTAATTAGTTTTATTTTTTTTATGCTTTGTGAAGGATGCACAGGATCTTGGCATCTCTATTGAACTTCTTCCTTTGAGTCGCCCTGATGGAGGATTTGATGTATCCTTATTCTATGTTGTATGTAGTCTACATATGTTTGACAAATATATTGTTTTTATCCTAATTTCTTCTCTTAACTACTACTGGTTAGATAAATTTGTCATGCTTACTTGTCGATTGTTTGTCTCTTAGGATTTGATTGGGTTGGAAGGAGATGAACTTCTTGACTTTATGTCATCAGCAGGAAACAAGTATGGCATCCTATCTATGATAGCCACTGGCTTAATTCTTGCACTAATAAGGTTTTTTGACATATTATTTATGGAAGTGAGGCAATTGACTGTATCTTTGGGAGTTTGACTTATGCTGCAGAAACAAAGTTTCAGGCACAAAATTGCTCTTTAGTGGGGATGATAGCAAGCTTAAACTTGTTCCTATCTTTGGTGATTTGGGCCTATTTAGAAAATAATTGTATAAGTCCCAGTAAAAAGTTTATATCATAAGAAGGGTAGTCCAATGGGTAGATGTAGAGGGAGACCACGAAAAAACTATCAGCCAAACTATTAAGAAAGATTTATAATTAAATGATTTGTCATTTGACATGATTTAAGACTGGACATTGAGGTGCTGTTCTTTTTTATAAGAAAAATATTAATGTGAAGTATGTACTTAAACCTATATAGATAATGACAGTCCTTACACAAATAGAGACCAATTAAAACTGAATCAACAGATTGATATAACCTGAGATAGATCAGACCAAATTGATAAAAGATTTGACCTGCATACAGTATACCATACCTAAACAAACTGTGCTTCAATCACCTGTATAGTTGATTGCCTTCTATAATAATGTTGTAGACATGTGGTAGGGACTTTTCTGTTAGCATTTCCCTTCTGCATCAGAAAACCTTGCTTTGTTTCCTATATTATAATCCTTGGATTGTGGCTCCTTGCATACTTGGGAAGGTTGACTCTTAGTTTGTATGTGCTGATCCACATGTTGTGAAGCTGATACTCCAACCTTCTACTGTCCATCACTACTCTTAAGGAGGAATATGTACTATTGCCTCAATTTTTGCTTTAATTTTGGGATAAAAACTATTTAGTAAAATCTTTTTAACAAAACAGTACAGCTTTTTTAAACATTGTTTAATATTGCATGAGGTTTATGATGTAGAGCAACTATGATTGAGAGGTATAATCCAGGGCTAGGAGTATTAAAATTATAATTTGATGTTTATTTTAGCACAATTCAGTTTCTAAACTCCCTGTTTTGGCAATGTGTTTCAATTTCAGATTAGAGGATATGAATGATCAGCTAAGAAAGCGCCTGTTTATGAAGCGCATAGTCAAAAGACTTAAATTCACAATAGTTAATGGGCTGTCAATAGAACTGAATTCATATGCTTTAATTCGTCCCACTCATCCAGGTAAACATTTCTTGTGATGATCTAGCTAATAGCAGTTATTATTTAGTGCAATTTTTCTTTTTTTTTCTAGTGGTTTGCTTTGCACCATATGACCTTTTGCAAAATTTTCCGTGGGTCCCTTTTAAGTTTTTCACTTAGAAAATTCTAGCTTTATATTTCAGCATATATTATAGTAATATAATGAATGATTATGACAGGCTATACTTTTGACATGTAGGAGCGATCACATGGCTTGATTCTGTTACTAATCATCCTTTGAAGGTGATAAATGCTATACCCACAATTTGGAAATAGTCCATTTTCCATGTTACAATGTATAATTTGGAATTTACTCACCATGTTCTTGTTATATAATATTCATGACATGGCTATAATATCCCTTGATGAAATTTGATATGATCCTTTTATTCCATATCCATTCTATATACAAGAAAGAGAATTGTAAAAAAGAATGTGTGAATTTTTGACTTCCAGACATGAAAGCTGTTTTAAACCACTGCAAGCAAATTGCTACCTCATATTTCCTGTTGTTAGCATCTCTGTAATTTTTCTTTTTTGTTATATAATTTTTGTTTGGATCACAATGATTTTGAATTCCCATTTTTTATATGCATTTAGTCAGTCCATAATGCTGAATGCTCTCAAAACTGTTTAAGAAAATGTTCAAATGGTTTGATGGTGCAGAGTGAAAGAACTTTTATTTGTGCTGATACTGGTTCTTTGGTGGAAGAATCTACTAGACGGTTTCATCCTTATAAAAAGTAAGCATTTTGTGCTTCTATCTTAATTGAATGTCATCATTTTTTTTTTTGAAAAACACTTTATTTTTTTTTAAAAAAAAATCACTTCTTAGCTTTTTAGATTGTTTGTTTAGGATTATGAATAAAATCAGAAGCTGAAACTAATTTGATTTTTGCTTCTCAAGTGAAGCTGTTTTGAATAATCATTTTTTTTAATGAAATCTCTAAAAATAAATCTCTTTTTTAAGGAAATCTCTAAAAATAAATCATTTTTTATATATATCTTTAAAGTAAATTTTTTCAAAAGTTGAAACAAATGGGCCCTAAACTGTTTTTTCTGTCTTCATTTTCAGATGATATGTTTTAATTAATAATTAGTAATTTAAAAAATATCTCCTTGCTTTTTCATGGAAACAATGAAAACAAGCTGACCTTTTGGTAATTATTAGTGAACAGATACCAATTGAAAGTGACGATAAAAAAACAAACCAGACACCAGTTACACCACCTAGATCTAGGCCTCCCCAAAGCTACCAGTTGTGGGAAAGTTTGATTTTTTTTTCCATCTTTATTATACTGGAAATTTATGTGCTTGTGGATGATTTTCTTTCAAATTTGTTTCAAGTTCAGACGATATTTTAAAATAGAGGAAAGATTTCTAGTTAGAAATGGTTGCAGCTTTGAAAGGGGAGTACCCTACTAAACGTAGTTAAGTGATGTGTATCTCTTGCACACAAATTATCCTTGTAAGTTTGTTGAGCTAGTTACTTTGTTGGACCCTGAGTGTGTAACACAAAATTGCTAACTGCCTGCCTGTATTAACACTTCAAATGCCATTCTAATTCTTGAGAGACTGTTTTTTTCCTTTTTCTTTGTAATTATAATACTATGTTTATATTTGTTCCAGCCACAATCTTACATTTTCAGTGAAGGAGCTATCTGAAATTAAGAGAGTTTCTACAGCACATCTACAGCTTTTAGGGTTCAAGCCATTGAGTTGCTTGAGAGATTATTACAACTTGAAGCCATCAACTTTCCTTTATCCTAGTGATGAGGTTATTGTTCTTCTAGTCATCCATGAACTGTTGGTTTATCTTTAGTATCAGTAATGTTTGGTTTTAATAGCAACTTATTCGTTTATCAATAATCTTTAGCAGCAATGTTTGGTTTTAAGCCAGAACTTTTAACATATTTAATTTTGGTAAATTGTGCATTGATAATGTGATTCTCTTTTGATTAGCCCTCAGATGATGTGCACTCATTATCCTGTCATCCGGAATCTTTTTTCAATTCAAATAGTTATGAAAAACTTTGCTAACAATAATTTTCCCTCAAATAAAATTTTATGTTAAAGAATATAGATATGTCGTGTATATGTTTCTTGAGCTCATCATGCTGTCCTTTATATTAAGTACTATTCATGTCAAGCGATCTATTGGTACTTTGGAAATGCTTTGATCAGTGTAGTAGTTTCCCCAAATGTATCTTATATGCTTCTCAATTTTATACGTTCCTCACTTTCTGTATTTCATAATATTTCCCTTGTGATGCTGCTTTTTGTTTTGCAGGGAATGGATAACAGCATGTGCATCTTCATTGCCCTTCATAGGTCCATGATACAGCTCAATCGGTAGGCCTTGATTTATTGCAACTAAAGCTTTGTTTAGTTTCACTGTTGGATTCTTTTACTCATGTTTGCATCGATATTTTCTTTTTCTTTTTTTTGTGGATTTCGAAAAATTCACATCTTAAGAAAAAAGGATGATTCTTATCAAGTATTTCCCAATTGGGTATCTGCATTTTCTTCTTCCTATAAAAATTAGCTGTTTATCAAATTAGAGTTTGAAATTGTAGACTGTTGAATCCACTGAATATCAAGAAATCTTGGCTATTTATGGGGTGGTTACTTGAATTTCGAAGGAATAGGGGAAAAAGAGAGGGTATTGTGCAAGCTGCAACTGAAATCAAGTTAGGCAAACACATGTACAACTATGACAAAAGTATGATTCGACTTTTCTGAAGTTAAGAAGTAATGCTTTAGAGGATATAATTGTTGATTTGAAAATCAATTGGTTGAGATTGATAACATACAAAATGAACTTCATTGAAGTTAAATTGTCAACTGTTGATTTTGAAATGAATGGTTTGTAACTGCACTTTATCCTCTAAAGTGAACCTCTGACTTTTGAGGTCCAAATCCTAACTCCTCTACTCACGCTACTGACCACATGATTAGTATCATAGTTTTGTGATTTTGTTAACATAATATATGCTAATAATTTCTGATCATGAGTATTGCCCTGGTGTGCTTTTCAGTTTTGCTGTTGCATTTATTGGTAGTTCCTCTCGACCTCAATTGGTTGCCCTTGTTGCACAGGTACAATATATTGAGTGCTAGAATGCTTTTGCATTAGAATGAATGGTTGTTTTCTTGACTTCAAGAACTTTCGAGTGATGTTTTAGTTTGACAGATTTGTCTCAACATCTGAATGATTTGAGAGTGCTATTTTTCTGTCATAATTGTCTTGCATTCTCTGGTTATTTCTTGTTTTCCTGTTGCTAATGTTGTCGTTTATGCATTGGTGTGTTTGAACATTCAGTGTGTATTATATCTGTATGGTAAACAAATGCTATGTTATAATTTTGTTTTATTTGTCAGCTTGTTTTGATTAATAAATTATAATTAAATTATAAATCTGTCATGTGAAATTGACAGTTTGGATCTTTGTTATATCTTCATTAAATTTTTGTGTTTGTATTGAAGTCTAAGCTCATGTGTATGGTTGTTAGGAAGAGGTTGTCCAATCAGGTGGTCAGATTGAGCCCCCTGGAATGCACATGATTTATCTTCCATATTCTGATGACATCAGACCTGTTGAAGAGGTAGAGACATTGGAATAGTTCATCTTGTGTTTAAACTTAATATGTCAAAATAGTGAAAACTAAGTTTTAAGTTTTAAATATGAAATTATTAAGATATAAATGATTTTTGCAGCGCTATTCAGATAGAAGTGGAATGGTGACTAAAGCAAGTGATGATCAAATAAAGAAGGCAGCTGATTTAATTAAGCGTATTGATTTGAGAGATTTTTCAGTATGCCAATTTACTAATCCTGGTGAGATTCTTCTTCTCCCTCTCCCTCCTACTCTTGCTCACCCCTCTCCTAGATGTTCTGTTTTATACTTCATTTCATTTATAGTAAATTATTCTTACATCAGCTGCGTTTTGTCATCATTACACTAAATCTCCTTAAATATATTGATGGTAATTGATAATTACTATTAGGAGCTGGGACAAGTGTATTGCCGATTCAGTGATATATTATGTGTATATGTAGGTGTTCCTTCTATCATTACTACAGTTACCTCTCAAATTATAGATTGTTGACTCAGAACCTCTTCAATGAACACATGATAATAAAAACTACAACAATAGCCTTAACCTACTAGGTGAAGCTGGCTATATGGATCAAACAATATCATTGGTCTCATCAAAAATCAATTTCTAGGATATTATTTTGCATTGGTCTCTTACTCTCTTTCATACAATATTATGCTATTTACTCTCTTTACTAATGCCTCTCATAGCCTTCTTTTCACATGTTCAAATTACCTTAACTAAAGGGGTGTCACACCAATATTTCCTTCTATACAGACATTATGTGTTTTGTTTTTTGCAGTAGAGTCACTTATTTATCTTAATATTCTCATTTCTACTTCTGTCTCATTTCTCTCTTACTGTCTGATTAAAGTCCAATGTTCACTACTATACAACTGATTACTATTTAGTAGCAGTTTTACTCAAGATTTCTCCATATCTACTTAAAATCATTCATTTTCATTAAGAAATATTCTATTGGTTTGAGCTGAATTTTTTTAGCAGAAATTAAATGTTATTTATGTTGATGAGTTCATTCCTAAAACTGATAATGTACAACAAAAGCTTATTCTTACTAGTTGGGGTTGGTTATATAGATCAAATGAAGCCATTGTGTTGTGTTGGAAACTAAATTACTGCTAAGGTCAATAGGTCAAGGCCTTTTTTAATGAATCCTAAAGTTTTCTTCGGTCTTCCAATACCTTATGTCATGCTATTCTCTACATACATATATGTATACAAGTGTGTGCGTGTGTGTTTATGTGCATTGTTGAACGCATGGTCTAGCATTGTATTGAAACATATAACCATTCGATAATGGTACCTCAGAATTGGACCTTGTTTTTTTTTTTTTTTGGCTGAATTTTGCTTAATCAAATCATTTGAGATTTTTTAACTTAATTTTTTTTTACTGAGTCATTTTCCCCTTGCTTTCTTATCTTGATATGAATTCCCATCAGTGTAACATCATCAACAACTGATATGCTTCCTATCTGGTAGATTTGACAAAATGAGAAAGATATGGTTCTTGCATTGGTAACAAAAAGGTTTTCAGCTTTGCAGAGACACTATGCAGTATTGCAGGCATTAGCACTGGAAGAGGATGAGATTCCAGAAATGAAAGATGAAACATTACCTGATGAGGAAGGCTTGGCCAGGTAAGTGCAAGGTTTTCATGATATATTGAATATGTAGTTGTGTCTGATTTGCAGACTGTAAAATGAAAGTGAAGTATTCTTGTTTGGCCCCTCCTTTCTTCATAGGAAAAGGTTTGTCGTTGAAGACTTTGGTATGAAATGACTATCTTGTTTATATGTCACAGACCAGGAGTTTTGAGGGCCATAGAAGAATTCAAGACCTCTGTATATGGGGAGAATTATGATGAGGAGAGTGAGCAAGGCGTGGGGAAGATGACTGAAGCCTCCAAGAAACGAAAAGCACAAGCTGAGTTTGCAACAAAAGAGTGTGAAAACTATAACTGGGCTGACCTAGCTGATGCTGGAAAGGTAAACCTTGAAAATTTTGTGCAGTGCTTTTTTCATGGAAGGGCATGCAGTGATAGTTGTAGGTGTTAATATAATTAATACAAGCCAGTAGAAAAATGTGTGAATGTTATGTCAGAGGTACTAAGAATCAATCAAATCTCCTAATTACACTAACGGATATTTCCTAATTTCAGTAACCGTTACTCAAATATAAACACGTGATAACACTCTACTTCAAAATAGGGCATATATGCCAAATGAGTTAAGGTTGTTGCATGTAAACACATGATAAATATGTTTTCTAACGCCCCCAATGTGTCTAAAATCCTTTCCAATCATAAGTATAGTGTAACAAGGGAGATATAAAGTTACAAGGTTGTAATTATGGCCCAAAGTGGTGGTACCATACTGGCAAGAGCTTGACTGCACTTCAAGTTTGAGTTTCAGATACCTTAAAATTTTAGGTGGGATATGTAACTGCTTAAAATTTTCAGTTGCCTAGCTAGCACCTCTCTTTCACTTTTAAAATTGCTGATATCGTATCATTTGATCTTGTTTTGCAGTTAAAGGACTTGACTGTGGTGGAGTTAAAATATTATCTTACAGCACATAATCTTCCTGTTTCTGGGAAGAAGGAGGCTATAATTAGCCGAATATTAACTCACTTGGGAAAATGATTATGCAACTTTGATAGCTAGAGTTGCAAGACTTAAAAGTAGTTATTAAAATTAATGTTTTCGTACATTGTTCTTCACCCGATGTTGATAAAATACCGATTTGTACTTAACTAGTCAACATGAAATTAGGGTATATATGTTGTAGCATGTTTTACTGTTGGAGACTTGATCCGTGTTAGGTCTCCCAGCCACAGATTAACATATTTCAGTTTGCAAATTGTCGTAAATTTAATTATCCTTTTTCACTCAGTTTGTGACTTATTTTATATAGTTTAGTTGAGTTGAATCATACAATTTAGATTTGATTGTTACAGTAAGAGTAGACTTGAGCTGTAAAAATACACTTATGACATTATATAATTGTTAAAATCTCAATAGAAGTCTACACCTACCGAAGAGGAAAGTGACCAAAAATTAAAAGAGAAAAAAGGCTGCATATATAGTATATATGAGCAACATGATATTCATACCTTTGTACAATATTTTCATCTTATTTTTTTTTTTCCTTTTTTTTCCTATCACATCACAACATCTAACATTTTTTACTTCTCTCTTCCTTTCTTTTTAACCTTTTTTTTTTTTTCTCTTTCTCCGATTTTTCACCTCCAACATCCTAAAATAAGGTGTATGAGTAACATGATGCATGTATCCAAGGCCTTTCTCTTTCACTTTGAATAGCTGTGCTGTACAGGGAGAAGAATATTGTCAGAAAAGTAAAACAAAGTAATAATCGAACTTAGTGATGCAATCGTTGTTGCAGCCTAATCCTGTCTCCCAACCTTGTAAACAAAGCCACGGGAGAGATAAAGCACAAAAGATACGCTATTGCTGCTTTTGTTCAAGTAGTGGTGATTGCTCAACTACAGCCCTAGTGCCAATGCGGGAACACTCATTTGTTACCTCCGAGTTGTTTTTTGGGTGTGAATCTGAATCAAAAAAGAGGCAAACTACAGAGCAATCATCAGCCTTGGAAGTGGGCATCTTGGTCCTCCATGCTTGAACAGCTGACTCCACCAGTATTCGAGCTGCACAGTATCGCGGAGTAGATGCCACAATGCTCACAACTTCTTGGTTTGATAAAACATCCCATACCTGCTCAGCACATAAGAGCCAAACATATCAACAATGGATCATAAGGAATGAAAGAAAGAAAGTTGTTTTCATTGTTTCCTAAACAAATCTTTAAAAATAAAACAGAGAATAAAAAATAGCATTTTTATAATTAAAAGTGAAGACAATGAAAAGAAAAAGTTTTCCAAAACCACAAAGTGCCTTAATTTTCTTACCCCATCTGTGGCTAATACGACAAATTGATCCTCTTCAGTGAGGCGGTGATACGAGACATCAGGAACAGAAATGACTCCAAAATCCTTGAGGCAAAAGTCTCCAAAAGCACGTGCCATAGCCAACCCAGGGGAATCTACGTTGGGTAGCCACACTCGAGCAATCCTTGGTTCGTTCTCAAGGGCAAACACCCTTCCTTTACATATTCTGATCCTCTCTGCTTCCCCTGTGTCAACAACAATCGCATTCATTTTTTAAGGTTGCATAAGCCATTGAACAATGAGAGAGAAAGAGAGATAGATATATACTTGGAAGATTAGGCTTGAGATCAGTTGTCAATTGAACGGCAATAAGAGAGCCTTGAAGATCAAGTGTACCCAATACAGCTCTGGAGTCCCCGATATTGGCAATGACCAGGTCGTGCCCCTAAAAGAATAAAGAATAATGTGTTAAACAAACCAAAAAGAAAAAAGAAAAAAAGGTAAGTGGAAGATTTATACCTGCTTGAGCAAGGTAACGGCGGTGGTCCCGCTGCAATAGCAATCGATATGATGGTGTAGTTTGAGTTCCTTGTCCATAACCTTACACGCCTTCAAAAAGGATTCTCTGAGCTTTGCAAAATTACTTGTATCAACCAACGTATGAGCATTGTTGTTTGGATGCAAATTCCATTGAGCAATGAGCTTTAAGGGGAAAGAGTCCCTCACTTTCTTTGCAACCGTATGGCCATGAGGTCCATGCCCATCAAAGACACCACAAAAAACGGTACCCTCCTTATTACAGAAATTCTGGGAAAGTAAAAAAATCATTAATTAGTGGATAATTAAAATAAAGAAGAGAGGGTAATAAAAAATAAAACAATAAAAAACAAACCTCCCATAGAAGCATTGCATCCTGGTTGACCCCTTTTCTGCCTTGCTTGCAGAACAAGGAAGCAACCTGTGAGGAACCATTCAAGAAGATTCTGCCAGCAACTCTATGCAAACGCATTTCCATGCTATAATCATGCTTGGAGGATGTTGTGGGAGTGGCTGATTCCTCACATCTGCCAACAACAGGCGATGCCCTCGTCACCGAGAGGCACGACCCCATCCCCACAACCACTATTCAATCACAGATTATCTCTCTTTCTGTCTCCCCAATTCACCCATATTCTCTCTTTCTATCTCTCTCCCTTCCTTCCTTCTTCTCCATAAATAGCTGCCTCATCTTCCCTGCCATTCAATACTATGCACAAACTTAGAATATTATTAATCATGCTTAAATTCAATTAATCAAATTCAATCAAAAACTGTATAATAATTAGTTTGGAAACGTGGCATGGCTGCATGAACGCAAGTGTTATATCAGCTCTACTTTACAGCACGGCAAGAACCATCCAAGGTCAGTTGTACTTACCGTAATTCTGTCCAACTCGCTTTTCTTCTTATCCTCTCCTCTCCTCTTCTCTTCTCTGCTCTTTCCCACCTACTCAAACAAAAACATCCAACAATAATCATTAACTGAATCTTCTTTTTCACCCACTAACTTTCAAAATAACATTATAACTTAAGGTATCTCCTCCCAAACTATTTTTTTAAAATAACATTCCAATATTCTTAAATCAATACATTATATCATTTTTTAAATTTAATAAATTTTTATTATATTAAATATGACTAAACAAAAAATATTTTTTTAAAATTTAAATTTTCAAAAATTAAAAATTATAATCATAATAATATTAAATTTTAATTATTCAAAAATGATGTATCTTCATTTTTTGAGATTTTAAATTTACATATATATTTTTTATTATTGGAAAAATGAACACAGCAAAGACGCTTGTTAGATAATCTTGCGCAGGGGATAAACAAAGGCCAAATAAGTAGCTTGTATTGAAGATGGAGGTGACCACTGCCCCTCGTGATTTATTATTACTTTTAACAGTGATGTTTGACATAGTTACGAAGGTGACAGTATTTTGGCCTTATTTTCTTAAGCTGAGCCATGTACTTTAGTTGTCCAACAATTGGAAATTGTTTCAAAAGTGTCTGATAAAGATTGTGACTTACTTGATTCGTTTACCATAATTTCATTGACACACAGCAAGTTCTAGTCATCCGTAAGATTCATCATGTTTGCCAATTTTGTAGCATCACATTTACCATACCAATTATGGAGTTGTATAATCCCGTAGTTTAAGGGATCTATATAAAGTAAGTTTGCATAATCTGCAATTAAACAAGAGCCTTAAAAAATAATCTTTTAAAATTTAAAATATTGTTTTGTGAACCAATTCATTAACCTATAAATTGATAATAATGGATAAGAGCAAAGATTATGGATGCATGAATGTGTTGAGCCGTTGAATTGTAATCCACGTCCACGTGTGTGGAAAGAAGACGAAGTTGGCTACATTCACACTCCAAAATCCCAGAGCTAGATCTCATGTAATGCTGTAAGGATTCATCATCGACCGATTCTGTGACGTTCTATTCTATTCCAGAAACAATGGATTCTCTGCGCCTCTTGCACTGCCATAAGCCCATCCTTCATCCCTCTTCTTCTCCGAACAGAAACCACAATAAGCATTTCAGATTCTTCCTTCCATCCACTCCTCTTCGTCCCTCTCTTCGTCTCCCATCCCCTAACACTCTTCCGCTACTCTCCGCTGTCTCCTCTCCCCAAACCCAACAAATTAGGTTTCTCTCTCTTTCTCTCATTCTGTTACTGTTTTTATTTATTGATTAATGCAGTTGCTATACAATTGTTCCTGCTAAGGCTTCATACTTTATATTCTTAACTCCAATGCGATCGCTGTTGTCAATGTCAGCCAAGAAGAAGACGAGGAAGAAGACGGAAACAAGAATCGCATGTCCAAGTCCATGAAACGCAAACTTCGGCTGCATGTTCGACTGGATCACCAAGTTGAATTTGGCGATCATGTCGTGGTTCGAGGATCAACTAAACAATTAGGATCCTGGACCAAAAACGTCCCCCTTAATTGGACGCAAAATGGATGGGTGTGCGACTTGGAATTAAAAGAGAGCGATCAAATTGAGTTTAAATTCGTGGTTGTGAGCAAGGACAAGAGTTTAGTGTGGGAAGCTGGCGAAAACAGAGTGTTGAAGTTGCCGGAGGCAGGTCATTTTGCCACCGTTGCTACATGGAATGCAACGGACGAGAATTTGGAGCTACAGCCTTTGGATGAAGCCCAAGTGGAAGCAGATAATGAGGAGTCAGAGGAAGGTGCTGCTCCTCTTTCTGAAGCAGAGCCAAGTCCCTTTGTTGAACAGTGGCAAGGTAAATCTGTTCCTTTCATGCAATCCAACGAGCATCGCCAACATGAAAAAGAAAGGAAATGGGACACTTCAGGTCTTCAAGGCTTGCCCCTCAAGTTGGTTCAAGCTGATCAAAACGCAAGGAATTGGTGGAGAAAGGTACCGCACTGCCACTTCATAATATTCCCTTTCGTCACAAGTTTCTGCTTATTCAACTCATACACATATTCTTATTATATCATTTGGATCCCATTGTATACCTTTATATTCAATCTGTAAACCTGTCTCGTCCTGTAAAATTTAAAAACCAGTAGCTCTCAATAGCTTTCTTTTTTAAAATCAACGTATTAACTTCTATATTTCTCGCTTCAAAGCTGGATATCGTACGTGATATTATAGTTGGAAGTCTACAAGGGGAAGATCGATTGGAGGCTCTCATATACTCTGCTATCTATCTCAAGGTCTTGCTCTGTCTTTCTCGTTATTCATATCGATTCATCTATGCTTATCTTATATGTTCTGATGCCTTGTTAGATAATCTTGTGCAGTGGATAAACACAGGGCAAATAGCTTGTTTTGAAGATGGAGGTCACCACCGCCCCAATAGACATGCTGAGATTTCTAGGCTTATATTTCGAGAGTTAGAGCGGCATACGAATCGGAAGGATATATCTCCACAGGTGATGTATAAATACTTATTTAGTGCCTAAACAAATTGAATTTCAGCTCAAACAAATTCTGCTGTCCTTTCCTTTTCCCTTCTACCATTAATAACAATGGATTTTGATATGGGAATACCTTGGTAGTTTATGTAGGTGACAGTATTTTGGCCTTGTTTCAGGTTTGGCTTATGATTGTATAGTTCACTTCAAATGTAGTCAATTAGCTTCATATTGACATCTTCTTAATGTGTTCCTATTCTTTCTTTTTTTTTTTGTAACAGTTGTTCATACTTAAATAATTATCTTAACTATACTTTAATGTTTGACCTACATTTCTTGCTTACTGTCCAAGAATTTCATTTCAACAGCGTTGTCAATATAACATTTCTTTTCATTTGCCATTTTTCGTATCTTGTGGTCCAATGAAGTTTGTGCCTTACTTCTTTCGTATATGATAAATTCATTGACATACAGGAAGTTCTAGTCATTCGTAAGATTCATCCATGTTTGCCATCTTTCAAGGCAGAATTCACTGCATCTGTTCCGCTCACTCGAATTAGAGATATTGCTCATCGAAATGACATTCCACGTGATGTTAAGGTTGTTTTCCTCAAAGTACTTGAAGTATGATTTCTCATTATAGTTCAATGTTAGTGATAGGCCAACTGTTTTATATATTGTTTATTCTCCAGTTACAAATTAAGCATACAATACAAAACAAGCTTCACCGAAATGCTGGTCCTGAAGATTTGGTTGCTACAGAAGCTATGCTTGCTAAAATCACGAAGAATCCTGGAGAATATAGTGAAGCGTTTGTTGAGCAGTTCAAGATATTTCATCAAGAACTCAAAGACTTCTTCAATGCTGGCAGGTTTGACATGAATATATCAAACTTGAGTCATTATCACTTGTAATCTAATATAAATGAAGATTTATTTTTTGTTTCTTCTTCACATTGATTTCTCTTATTATTATATATGTTATTATTATAATTTAATTTAAACATCATGTTGTTTTCTCCTGAGAACTTTCTACGTGATCACAGTCCCATCACTTAAATACACAAATAGACTGATAACTAATAGACTAGTGATGAAACTTTATGCATTTGTGTGGACGACAAATAAATCTGCACTTTGAAGTAATCGTATATTTCCTTAAGTTGGAAATCAACTGGTTGAACACTGTAATACTTTCTCCAGTTTGGATGTCCCATCTCATATTTCAATCCCATTGGAAGCAACTTCTTGTGAAGGCTTCCATAAAAATGGTGGCCTGATGCATTAATCTCCAATAATACATGTAGCAAGGCTGCTTCCAGGACTAGAACCTGTAGGCTGTGACTACCAAGGTCACAAGACAGCAACCTTTTTGTACCAAGGCTTGCCATCTCTTTCATTCTGTCATGTAATGCAACTGGAATACACTTTTGAGTGAATGTAGTATACTAAAGTGAAAGGATATATTCAAATCATTTGAATTATATTTACTAGTTACTGGAAAAGCATGATTTTTATGGCTTCACATATGGCTTTGTCATGTTGCAGTCTTGCTGAACAGCTAGAATCAATTTGTGAGTCTATGGATGAAAATGGCATTTCAGCACTTAATTCATTCTTGGAGTGCAAAAAGGTGGATTTGCTTATTCTGATTCTCTTCCATTTTTGTTTCTTGATTTGATCTGATGCTGGAATATACTAATTATGGAATAACATTTAGACATTGAAATTGATTATATGCAGAAGTAATCTGATCAGTCTGTTATGCTTAAGATTGAATGTTAATGTTTGAATTTTCTTGATAGGAATTTAGATTCCTATGGAGGAGAACAGGAAAAATATGCTGTATTATTAATCAAATATGAACAGAGAAAGAGCAATGTGCTTCCAGACACGAGGACTCTTCAAGCCCAAGCTCTAAGGCTTACCAATAACAGTAACATGACATAATGCCCCTTATGTGACCCCTTCCCCACTACTACAACAATCCAATCATTCCACAGTTCTCTCTCCTCTTACTTCCTCTCCTTACATCATGTCACACTAACTAACCCCTATTTTGTATATTGGCTTTGGCTGACTTGCTCCTTCTTGAATATACCCGGAGTTAGGGCCTTGGTGCCTTGGAAGGCAGGCCTATCATTTCTCCTCCAAAAATCCTCTCCTTCAGTATCCTTATGCTGATCATTGTCTTCTTGTTATGTTCATTGAGCCATGTACTAACTAGGGCTGTGCATACAAACCTTAATGTTTTACATCCATTTGTGCAGTGGAACAAGTCTGGTTGTGGATAAAATTCTGAAACGTGTCAGTTCATGTTCTAAATGGAACTGGGGACTCTTCTGGCTTAATGTTCTTTTGGTTTCTTTTGCTTTATTGTTTTAGGAGGATTTATTTTTTTCTTTCTTTTCATATGTGTGTGTGAATGCTTATACAGATAAATTAAAAGGATAATGGACTCAAGAGAAAAGGAAAAAATAGAGTAAGGTTGGATTCTTCATTATCCTTTGGCGGGGGAAAACTAAGCCATAATTAAAAAATAAAATGTCTTTGAAAATTGGCATCTAACTATTAAGTATCCCGAGCAAAGGCATGGATATTTGTAAATATACGTGAAATGTGAAAAATTATATAATTAAAAAATACTTAAGAGATGGTTGACTTAACTGATAGAAATTATTTTCTTGTTATTAAAAAATCTATAATAAATAACTCTGAAATTTTCTATAACAAAACAAAGTACAAAAGTTTGAAATTTTCTATACTTGAAAATATGTTTAATTAATGTAATATTATTTTAATGGTAATTTTCAAATATCTTAGTATGCTTAATGTTGGTTGAAGAAAATTTGGTACAGATGAAAGAAATTAATAAACGTAAATATCTCCTTTAAAAAGGAGAAAAAAAATATTGAATTCATTTGATATAGAAGTTCAAAAGACATGTCACAAAATGGGGAAGGCGCATGACTGTGTGAGAAAGAGAGTACATAGAGAGGTTATCTAATGTTCGAGTGAAGACTCAAATTTATAATATAGGGTTGGTTTATGATTACAACGTACTCTCTTCTATGATGCACTATTCTCTCAACCATTTGTCCTCTCTTTTATGGAATAACATTTAGAAGTTGATATTATAAATACTTCACAAATTATAAATATAGCATAATATTGACTTGAATAATTTGTGCTCATCAGATTCAGCATGAAGGTGAAATAAGTACTGTTGCATTGATCCATTTCATTCAATTGTGGTACTTACTGTCATTCTGATAATGGCATCTACTGATAAGTGACAATGTTTTGTACTTTTCCAGGATTTGGATGCTGCAGCAGAATCAACTGCTGATGCAGAAGAACGTGTAATTACTTTTTTAATTAAAACCATGGAATCTGTAAATGCTTTGAGAGAAATTATTGTAAAGGGTCTTGAAAGTGGCCTCAGGAATGATGCTCCAGATTCTGCAATAGCTATGCGTCAAAAGGTGACAATAATTTATTCATTTATTTTGCAAATGCATGAGTTGAGTTAGCTATTTAAAAAATGCTGGAACATCTTTTGATACTTGTTTTTTTGGAGGGACAGTGGCGCCTCTGTGAGATTGGGCTTGAGGATTACTCATTTGTTCTTTTAAGCAGGTTTTTGGCATACTTTTTTTTGCCTTATTTACACTTTGTACATTTGTCAGATGCCCACATGTTGAATAATTTTTTTGTGAAATTTGTAAAGGATATATCATTTTGCAAAAGACATGGAGTACTTGTTAGCTACTTAGACAACACTAGATATGACTAGAATATAATGCATGATACTCAAAATATATGAAGATAGATGTTTATTAGATCTTGAATTTAGTTAAAACTTAAAAAATCATATTAATTATCTAGTACTTTAGAAGGGAAAATATAAGAAATTTCATATCAATTTTAAATAACTACAAAATATAGGGATGCAGTGACGTTAAGCTGCCTAGTTGCCACTTGAAAAGAATGTAGTATGGTTGAACTATGTAAAACTTGTTTGATGAAGACAACTTTTCCAGCTACATTTTACTTGTAAATAACAAGACCTTTCTTTGGAGAGCACATTAACTTCTTAAATCATATGAATAGATTTCTCAATGCGCTTGAAGTTATGGGTGCTGCTCATTGGCTGGCAGCAAATGTGGAGTCAAAAAATGTTAATTCATGGAATGATCCACTTGGAGCCCTTATTATTGGAGTCCATCAGCTTAAGTTATCTAGTTGGAAGCCAGAAGAATGTGGTGCTATTGAAAATGAGCTCATTGCCTGGAACAAAAGAGGCCTTTCTGAAAGGGAAGGTAGCTTTCTTAGGTGTTTCCTTGAATTGTTTTAAAACCCTAGCAGACAGTGTTGCCTAATTTTTCACTTCAAATGTACTCCTTTTTTTTCCAGGAAATGAAGATGGCAAGACAATTTGGACATTGAGACTGAAAGCTACTCTTGATAGATCAAAGAGGCTAACAGATGAATATACTGAAGAACTTCTTAAGATATTTCCTCAAAAAGTTCAGGTTAAAGATTATTATTATTATTATGTTAAAGGCTCGAAATTCTAATGCCCAGTGCAAAAAATTACTGAACCTATATGGCATAAAATGAAGCCCAGATACAACCAAGATTAGAGAACACAAAAATTACGAAACGTCCCTGCACTGAAAATATATAATTAAATAAACAGACAGTATTCTAGTCTTAATATCCCTAAATAGTTGTGGTTTGTGACCTACTAGGATCTTTGAAATTTCACACCGAATCTTTACAAAAAATAAATCAGAACATTGTGACAAATCCATTTCAGATGTTGGAAATCTTGATAATACTGTGTCCTCCATTTCAAAGCTAAATGATGTATGCCTTGTGATAATGGGTACTATTTGATTTTCAAAACCCAGTTGATGTGATGCATTTATCTTGAAATAAACAAAGTTGTCATTTTAAATGTTGCAGATACTAGGAAAAGCTCTAGGAATACCTGAAAGTAGTGTCAGGACATATACAGAAGCTGAGATTCGTGCTGGGTATGTAATGCATTATCCCTCATATTTTTCTTCTGTGTACATTGTCTTTCGCTATTTAGTAAGAGAAAAGTTACAGCGTTATAGTATATGTAGCGTTTCACCAGTATCTGTGATTTCTTGTCATGTTTCTTCCTAGACTATAGATGTCATTACCAAATATAATTAATATAATGTCTAACTTTTCTACTGTAAATTTTTAGTGTGATTTTTCAGGTTTCAAAACTATGTACTCTTCTTCTAAAAGCTGTTAGAAGTACACTTGGTTCTCAAGGTTGGGATGTTCTTGTTCCAGGAGCTGCTTTAGGAACATTGGTTCAGGTACCAAGTTACATTTATAAATATCACTTACAAAATGCCAGGATTAGAGTTGTCTTTTGTCAGACTCTTGAGACCATTTTGAGAAGGAGAGAAACAAGAAGACATAGGATAAATCCATATGTTTTAAATTCACAGTGAGGCTATCTATTTAAAATAATAAGTCTTAATAACTACACAATTTACAATTATCTAGACTCACTAATTACATAGTTATCCTATTTACAATATGATATTTTTTACATTCATCTCAACAAAGATATTTTAAAATATGTTGCTTCAGTGAGGCCACTAAAGAATAGTTGAGAACAACCCCCTTTGAATGATAATTGGTGTGCAAGATGGATTTAAAGCGATGTAGTTTATCATTAAGTAATCCACTTACACTACAGCTAGTAGAATGCTGGTCAGAGATTTAAGGATGGTCATAAATATTGCATTGCAACCAATTACAGCCACTTCATTAAGCATCCCAAACTAGACTCTGGCAATTGAGAAATAAACGTATTTTGGATATTAAGCTGATGAAAACAATGATGAGAAGCAACAAGAGAGATAAGTTCACAAATTGAAGTAAGGTTTGGCTGGCAACTAGAGAAAATGTCTCAGTAATCAACACCTGGTCTGTGCATATTGCCTTTGGGAACCAGTCTAGCTTTCAGCTTAGTAATAAATCCATCAAGATTTATTTTGATTGCAAAGATCCACTTGCAGCCTATAGCATATTTGTGTTAAGGTAATGACAGGACTCATTTCTCTCCATAGCTAACATTTCCATCTGCACACTCTCATCACCCATCATGGGCAAGAGCCTCTGAAACTTCACACTTCACAATCAAGATAGAATCCTTGGAAGCAATTAAGTACTAATAGGAAGGAGACAAGTGGTGTAGGACACAAAATCAAAAGAAAAAAAAAAAAGAACAAGTAAATCAAGCAGAAGTCCTCAATTTGTGGAAAGACAGGCATCTATAGCTCTCTACACAAGCAAAACCTTAAAATAAAGTAATAACCAAATAAGTAACAAACTACGGTAGGGATATCCCATCCTTGACTAAAATGACTTTGGATTTCTTTGACCTAGGTTGAAAGAATTGTTCCTGGGTCACTACCATCACCAGTGGAAGGACCTATTATTCTTGTTGTAAACAAAGCTGATGGTGATGAAGAGGTATATATATTTGTCTTTCTTTGAGATTATGTGGAAATATTAAATAGTAATATTTATAAGTTGATTATACTGGCAGGTAACAGCTGCTGGGAGGAACATTGTGGGAGTTATACTTCAGCAAGAGCTGCCTCACTTATCTCATCTTGGAGTTAGAGCCCGGCAGGCAAGTCATCTTTTCAGTATCCAATCAATGATTTTGAAGTTTTGAATATATACATTTATCAATGACATTCATACAGCTATTGTTTTACAGGAAAAGGTTGTCTTTGTCACGTGTGAAGATGATGAAAAAGTTGCTGATATACAAAGGCTGATTGGGTCATATGTGAGGTTATATTGTCAAGACAATTTCCCTGTCCACAATTACTTATTTTTTAAACTGCATCATATTTTCTTCAAAATATTTTGCTATGATGTTGTGAGCAGATCTGATGCTATAATGTTATCCATTTTCATCTTTCCTGCTTTAATTTAACCTTTCAGGTTGGAAGCATCCACTGCTGGTGTTGATCTGAAGTCGACCTCTTCAGTTGACACTGATGACAATTCTTTCATTAAAAGTGCTTCTGATGACAATGTCTCTGGAGTTGAGATTGCTTCTTTCTCTTCTGGTAGAATCTCCAATTTTAATCAGGTAGAGAATGATAGAATTATTTTCGTTTTTTTTCTTGCCCGAGTTGATATTTAGAGATAAACTTACATGTTAGTAGAAGTGGTGAGATTTCGAGTTGAAAAATTGGACTAGCATTTTAATGATGTTGGTGATGGGTTCGGCATGTTAAATATAAAAATGTTTTGTTAATAAGATGAAAAGGCATATAAAAAGGCAGAGAGAAAGAATAAGAGACAGGCATATAAATAATTGAGGTGTACTACAAGAGCAACTACTTGCTAAATCTCAAAGTCACTTTCCGTTTCTAACTATTTTATTAAATCCTTCAGATTTTTCCTCATATTTCACTAGATAGCTTTGGCTTTTGGGTAGATTAATTCCCTAACATGGTATTGATGCATTCAAAACTGCATAATCTAGAGGTCAATCCCTTCTGGCTCCATTGTCATAATCAAATTGAATTAGTTGGGCCTTCATGTGACGACAGAGCCTGTTGAGACAGCAGACAATTGTAATCACACACCTAGTAAGTAATAACATAAGCTTTTAGGTTGAGTGATTTTTAAAATTTTCCATGTAAGAAACCTTTAACTTTACACATATGATCTGTGCTTTTAATTTATTATTGTTATAATATTAGAATTCTAATGTTGGGAATCTTGTGAGGCTAGTAATCTACTTGTCACATTGGGCTAAAGCTTGAACTGGTAAGAATACACTAGTACTTGACCTAATTATTTGCATAAATAGGTGTCAATGCTTGGTATTGTAAGATGCGTCATGTCAATCTAACTCTAATGAGTTATGATTTATATATCAAGAGCATTTGATTTGTTTATTTGTCTACTAGCCTTGGCTGAGCTTGCACTGTTACTATACTTTCACTGGACCTAACTATTAGTATAAATAAATGTTAATGCTGTATATTTCACATATGTCATTTCAGTCTAACTCATTATTCAAAGTAATGATTTCTATATGAAAGCAATTATCCAACTACCATTGTCCTAATTCTCGATAAAAATGACCTCAAATAAATAATTATTCTATTTATATCAAGGGTGCTTCTTCTGGAGGAGTTATCTTGCTTCCTGATGCTGAGACACAAACTTCCGGTGCAAAGGCTGCTGCATGCGGTCGCTTGTCTTCATTGTCTGCAGTTTCTGATAAAGGTAAGATTCAATAAAAGCTAAGTTTTTGCATAACTAGCATGTCGGACCATGATTATTGCAACAAGTAACCTGAACTCAAGTAGTGCCGTTTTTATCTTTCTATGATGTACTACTTATGGATTGACATAATGTCCTATCTAAAACATCATCTCTCTTCCTCTCTCTTGGTTTAATAACACTCCTTAGGAAAGAGCTCCAGCTCAATATATATATTTTTAAAATTATCCATCTCAAGACTTTATCTTTGGCGAATCTTTTAAAGAAGTTAAACCATACTAGAGAACTTTTAGGGACAAGATCTCAATATTGCAATGAGATCTTGAAAGATGATTGCTGATAATCCGTTAAGATAAATTTTGGAAGATGCTTATGCAATTTTATTGTGGGGTGATCAGAATTAGACTCGGTGGTGATATCATGCTCAATATAATAATTAACAACAACTATGTAATCTTGCAAATGATATATCTAAAATCTGATTTTTGAATGACAGTTTACAGTGATCAGGGAGTGCCACCTTCATTTCGAGTTCCGTCTGGGGCAGTTTTGCCATTTGGATCCATGGAATTAGAGTTAGAAAAGAGCAACTCCGCTGAAACATTCAGATCTATTCTGGATAAGATAGAAACAGCAAAACTGGAGGGGGGTGAACTTGACGTGCTATGCCATCAGCTTCAGGAATTGATTTCTTCCCTGAAGCCATCAAAAGACGTGATTGAAAGCATTGCAAAAATATTTTCAAGCAATGCACGTTTAATTGTTCGATCCAGTGCCAACGTTGAGGACTTGGCTGGAATGTCAGCAGCTGGACTATACGAATCAATACCCAACGTTAGTCCTTCCAATCCAACTGTTTTCGGGGATGCAGTTAGCCGAGTATGGGCTTCACTGTACACCCGGAGAGCAGTTCTGAGCCGTCGTGCTGCTGGTGTGCCTCAGAAGGAAGCTTCAATGGCAGTTCTGATCCAAGAAATGCTTTCTCCTGATTTATCATTTGTATTACATACTGTGAGCCCAACAAAGCAGGATAATAATTGTGTGGAGGCAGAGATTGCTTGTGGGCTGGGTGAAACACTGGCATCTGGAACAAGGGGTACACCATGGCGCGTATCATCTGGGAAATTTGACGGGGAAGTGGAAACACTGGCTTTTGCAAACTTGAGCGAGGAATTGTTGGTGCGTGGTGCAGGGCCTGCTGATGGAGAGGTTATCCGTTTGACTGTCGATTACAGCAAGAAACCACTTACAGTTGACCCAGTTTTCCGTCGACAATTTGGTCAACGCCTTTGCTCAGTTGGATTTTTCCTTGAGAGAAAGTTCGGTTGCCCACAGGATGTTGAAGGATGTCTTGTTGGAAAAGACATCTTTATCGTACAGACAAGGCCCCAACCTCAGTAGACAGTAGTAATAGAGGAATCACATGCTTCTCCAAGTCATAATAAAATGTTTATTATTAATATCCATGCAATGCACGTCAAACTCGCTAGTAAAACAGTAAAATCAATGTTAACAAAAATAATTACAGTAGCAAGGTTCTGAATTATTATTATTATTATTTCTTATTTTTTTAACTTACCAAAAAATTTATTTACGAAAGGCATATAAATGATAGAATGATAAATAACATTATTTAGAAAGTAATATGTATAATAACAGTATACCAAATGTAGTTATTTAAAAATCATTCTTAATTTCCTAGGATTTAATTTTTCTTAATTGAATTCATCACGAACTGTGTGACGTATGTTCATTTGTAACCACTAGTCCCCAATTATTTATTTTTTTAAAATAATGAACATTGAAAACTGAAGTTGAATTATGTGAAATATTTTGTTAAAAAGACTTGACAGAACAAGATATATCCATTGCGGCTAACCACAACATCAAGGGCTATATGAAAAATAATATAAAATATTCCTAAATCTTGTTAATATCTTTCTTTAAAACCGTTTAATATTTAGATTTTTAAGGTATTAAATATATTTATTTTTTTCACTTGACACTTAAAAGAAACCCTACGTAAATAGATACCACGTTGCTTGTGATTTTATATAGCCATGACAAGAAAGACAAATGGTAATCAGGAAGAGGTGCTTTCGCAGGAATTTTGATCTGAGTTCTTTGTTCTGTCACAAGGATCTCGTAAGAGTTTTGCCAGAATGTGGTTTTTTTCTCACGTAGTCGCACACACTTGTTTCTGTTACGATGTTTCTGTCTTCATTGCTAAGCCAAACAGTTACAATGTTCTTGTGGTTAAATGCTTCCAAATATACTTCACTTCGTTGATGAGCTGTCCCCCTCCCCTAAAAAGAATTCTCTTCTAATGCATTTCGAGGGATCATGCATTGTTTCTTGGAAAATTTGCATTTGCAACTATGGGTTATTGTTGAAAGTGAACTTGTAATGCACTCATTCTTTAAGTGTTTCTCGAGTCTTTCTTTCTTTTTTGGCCCCATGTTATCCCGAGTGTTAGTGTTTCTTTAGACAAGCGAGAGCGGCAAAGAGAAAGAAAGAAAAAAAGGACCGGCCGCAATCAGTTAAAAAATGTAAATTCATGGAATGATCCACTTGGAGCCCTTACTAATGGAGTCCACCAGCAGAAGTTATCTAGTTGAAAGCTAGAACAATGTGGTGCTATTGAAATTGACCTCATTGCTTGGAGTTAAAAAAAAAAAAAAAGCCTTTCTGAAAGGAAAGATAGCTTTCTTACGTCTTTGCTTGAATTGTTTTTATTTGTAGACAGTGTTAACTAGTTTTTAACTTTAAATGAACTCCGTTTTTATTTTTTATCTTTTTCACGAAATGAAGATGAGAAGATGATTTGGACATTGAAACTGAAAACTAGACTTGATAGATCAAAGAGGCTAACCGATGAAAATCTTTAAGAACTTCTTAAGATATTTCCCCAGAGAGTCCAGGTTAAAGATTATTATTATGTTAAAAGGCTTGAAATTTTAATGCCCGATGCAAAAAATTACTCAGTATAACATACGGTGAAGGCCAGATAAACCCAAGATTAGAGAGAACACAAATTACAAAAAAGTGCCTACACTGAAAACATAAAATTAAATACAGCATGCTAGTCTAAATATCCCTAAATAGTTGTAGTTTGTGACCTATGTGATGCATTTATCCTGATATAGACAAAGTTGTCATTTTAAATGTTGCAGATACTACAAAAAGCTCTGAAAATGCCTGAAAACAGTGTCAATCATGAGTGTGACCAAACGAAAATTATTCGATATATGTGTGAAACTTAAAAATGATTTTGATACTTTCTCTGTCAACTAAGTACATTTTGATCCACTATCCAATCATGTGTTAATACACCGATATATAATTTATCGACTAAATACATGGTCATAGCTTGCGAGATTGTCAATTACAATCTAGCCAAATGCCAGTATGTGTATCTAAGTAAAAACATTAACACTGAAATTCAAACCCCAAACTCATTTTTGCAGAAAAAAGAGATTCAACCTAGAAAATGCACAACCACCAGTACGTCACAGAAACCAGACAGCAGGCACCATGCATAATAAAAATAAAAGACAGCATCAAGGTTGCACAGCCTCCAAAAGTTTCTCATAAACTTGTCTAGCAGTCAAATCCTCCACCTGAAACAGTCATCAAATGTCAAAATTAATACAATAGGGAGACGAAGAGGAAAGACTTTTTTTTTAATCACTGGCATAAATATGATTCTTGAAAAATAGCACCATTAAGAAAGAAGACGCGCAAATTCATATTCATGCAGATGCTTGATTTGAAGGTATACTTGATAGCAATGTAACTCACCACAAGAAGCTTTGACTTGTTATTCCATCCTCTCTGAAGAGTCATCTGACTCAATCTCAAGCCCAAAACCTATGTCAAAAATGTGGACTCAAAAGTTGTAAGTGCTATATATGTGTTTGGCCAGAGGGAAAAGACTATGCAGAGGGACAGAATGACAATGCAAGAAAAAAAAAAAAATGAAAGGCCAATCCGAAGTGCCGCACTTCCACCACTGTGGACTTTAGGGACAATGCTGCGTAGGCACTTGGCACCCTTGCTCGCATGAACAAAGGAGCTGGAGGCGGTTTTTGCCACCAGATCCCAAGACCACAAAGTCAAAAGGCAACAACCTTAATGTTGAGCCATAGCCCACCCCCAACAAAAAGCAAAAAGATAAACAAGGAGGGTTTAAATATACTTTTCCCATAAATTCCAAAAGTTCGTTGTTAGCCTCTCCACGAGCAGCAGGAGCAGCAACAGTGACTCGAACATCATCAGCATTTACTCCTGACACAAATAAAACAAAAGACAAATTTAATACTCAAGGTTCATCATGGTTTTATTAAGTTATAAGACATTTTCATACCAAATATATGCCTTATGTACATGTAGAAAAGGTTACAACTGTACATTCTAATACAACAAGAACAACCACCAGGCCCCTCCCATTGCATGTGGTGTGGTCAACCACATGTATCAAACAACATCATAATATTTTGTAGTAAATCATATTAACTTCTAGATTGTTCTTGTTTCTCCTATAAATTTTCTCAACCTCCCTCTGGCTCTACCTACTGAACTAACCTCCATTTGATTACTGTGGCATCTACAAGTCTTCTCCACATACACCTAAACTTCTTAAAGCGAGAGTTTACCATCTTTTCTACAATAGGTGTTACCCCAAAATTTACCCTAATGCATTAATCCCTAATTAAACCCCAACTCTATGTTCTATTGTTGTGCTAAGAAGGTGACCAAAACATTTGGGTATGCAACTGTATAATTCACATTTTATTCTCAACTGTCTCACTTTACCCCATGATTGAATTCAAAAGCATTTGAAAGGAGAAACAATGTTTAACTTGAATTATTTGAAAGTCGGGATCCAATCCATATTCCAAAACATCAACAAACAGAACTGTGGGCAGTTTCCGTTTGCAGATGTCATCCCTAAAAGTGGTCGTATATAATATAACTGGTGTGTTTGTTGAAGAAACAAACGAAAAAGTAGAGAGTTATAAATGTAATGAAAGTATCTTAGTAGTTACTGGTGATTGCGGAACGTTGAGCACGATCTTCGACTTCAATAGCAACCTGAACAAGTCCTCCTTCAAGCTGGGAAATACAGGGTGGAACGGGAGCATCCTAAAGAGTAAAGAGAGAAAAAAATGAGAAGAGGGGATTGAAAAGGAAAAAAGAAGAGGTGCGTTACCTGTGGATTGGTTTCGGCAGCAACAGTACTGAGGGCACCGTCAAGGACATATATCAAAGATGAAAGTTGGAAATCTTGTTCGGCTCGATAGCAAACAAAGAGACCACAGCCCATACAATTCATGCGGAATTGTTTCTCCAATTTGCCTTCGCCTCTGACAAGAGATAATATAGATAGATATTAGGTTTAGGGTGTGAGTATGGAATGGGATTAGATGAAGAGTATGTTAAGTAGGGACCGTTTCAAGAGAACTTTGCCAGCCTCGTGAATGTTGAATCGGGCGAGATGTTTGGTTTTGTCAAGTACGTATGCTTTGTCGGTTTTCCTTTTGGGCATTTTCTGCAATTGGGTATCTTCTCTCGGAAGGAAGAGAGCGTGTTGTGAGATAGGAAAAGGGGAATTGGATAAGCATAAGCATGAATATGAATATGATCGATTACCAGTGATGAGTACATGGGAACCGCAATGTTTGCAGTAATAAACAAACAGATCCGAGTGTGGACCCTCAGGAGCCGCATCCTCGCTCGAGTATGTATGCGTCGTCCTCTTTGGCATTCTCTCTTCTTTCCTTCTTCCTATCTCTCTCACTCAGTCTGCATATCCCAATAAATCAATCAATTAACTCATTGCCCCACTTTCATTTGCCCCACCTTTGCTTTTTCCACTCCTTCATCTCCCTCTAAATAAATATTCTTTTTTCACAATATTTACTTTATTTAAATAATAAAAATATTTCTAATTTCAACTTAATAGTATCCTTATGAAACTTATTAGCATTTATAAAAAAAATACATTTTTTTATATTTTTAAGAAAATAATCAAAATTTAAATTTAGTGAGTTTTTTTTAAGTTTATTGAACTTAAATAGATATATTAAAAATAAAAAATAAAGTCAAATATAGTTTTTTCAACTTAATAGAATGATAGAAATAAAAAATAAAGTATAAAATGATAGAAAATTTTTAAACTTTTCACATGTTAAAACTTGAGTTGAGTGTCTATCGGTAGTGTTATAATATAGTTGTTCAACTAGAGTTAGGGTTCTATTTCCGTAGAGTGTATCGATGTATTGTTAGGGTGCCGTCAAACTTCATTATATAGATTATCAAAATTAAACTTTAATTCTAATATTGAATAAATAATCTATCCTATTTTAATTTTTTTGTAATTATAAGATTATTAAGTATTTCAATTAAAGAATGTAAAATTATAATTTACCATATTGATTTAAATAGTTAATTTGAATCGAGAACCACGAAACAAAAAAATATTTTGTAACATTTTAACAAGCACCGAGCAGTGAGCACGAAGTTTGAAACACAGCACACATTAACAAGGCATAATGAATGGTCTTCTGCTTGTTTCGAGTGGTTGTTTTTGCAGACCATTTTGATTCGCAGTTGATGTATACATAATTGACGTTTTCATTTCAATTACAAATATTTTCTAACGATCACTAAACATACATTTTACACTTACTACTAAAAGGTAGGCATTGAAGATGACTACCTCTTTTATTCATGTCTTCTCACAGGCTGTTTTCATATCATATTGAGAAAAGAAATCACAGAAACACAACATTACTTCTTTCTTAGTAATCCATGATGGTAGCTTCAAATCAGCTAAATTTCTTCTTTGCATTTAGAGCTCCAAGACTAAATCTGCCAATGAAACAAGAAAAGGAATACGTGAGGGACTGACTATGAAGTCGATGTGAAATTCTTCAATAATCAATAGGAGTTTATGCTTACAATCTGCATCTGTTTTGATCCAGTGCTCCTTATTCTCAGATGAATCTTCACTGCCAAGTGTGAACTGAAGGGGATTTGTTTGGCTCTTATACTGTCGCATGTTTTCCTTGGGAAATGCGGTTTTGTGATTTATCATTATATCTTCCTCTGAATGCACCACGTCGTTTTTGTTGTGCCCTCCGTCATTGATTGCTTTCTTCTTGTTCTCATTCTTTTGGTATTTATCAGACTTCTGCGCAACTGTTGTATTTTCAGGGTGAACTTTCCTGTGAAACATATGGAGAATCTACAAACCACAATTTTTTGTTTCAGCCGCAAAAAGATAATGATTCTCTTCATGAAAAATGTCAGAACAATAACCCAATTAATTTGAAAGATCAAATTTAAAAATCACATAAACTAATCATATATCATATATATGACAAGGTCATGACTCCCCGTCCACCAATCCTTCACTGTGTGAGAGTGAGATCAATGTAATAAAAAATATCAAGATTAAAATTGGAAAATAATTATGAAGATTCAACTACTCAAAAAATGGAAATTTTAAAATATTTTTATTATTAAATTAAATAGATTACATTTCTTTTTGTTTTCTCACATTTTACATATATTCAAACAAACCATACTAAGTTACAAATTGATTATTAGTACTCTTACTAAAGATTAAGGTAATGAATATACAAGTTAACTTAAATACAATCTTAATCTAAATAAAATAACCTGATTAGAATTATAATAATTTGATTTGAGTCATCACTTTTTAAAAAATACAAATTTAAGTTTATATTTTTCACGTTTTATTATAATATGAAATTTTAAATTTAGTATACAATAAAATAAAAGAATTATTCTTAAATAATTTTAGACAACAGTTTAGGTAATTTTAAGCATTAATATTATTTTCAATTAATACATTTTTTTCTACAATTATAATTTTACATATCTTATTAATCTTTTTATTTAGAGTATCTTGTCGAAATTGGTACACATAACTACAGATATTTAATAATACCAGATAAGGGAAGTCAAAAAGAAAAAATCTAAATGATGATGTCTAAATATGTTAATTTAAAAGTAAAAAAAAATGATAAAGTGATTGGGTTAATTTAAGATGGAAAATAAAAATTAAATAATGAAACCAAATGTAATTAGTTTGGTTAAGGTTTAAAAAACAATAAATCAATTAATAAAACTGATCCAAACCAAATTAAATGCTTTGCTTTGGAATACAAGCTCATCTGATCAATCTAATCAGATGAACATTCCTAATTTTGTATCAAAATATAATACAAAATTATTACATAATTTTACCTAATAATTTAAACTTTTGAAATAATACGTTTATGATATTTAATCCTTATTATCCCATTCTTTTAATGAAAAAAATAAATTTTTAACACAAGATAAGTGGCCATGTGCAATAATTCTTTATGCTTCAAGTCCAAAAAGCATTGCATAAGAAAACATATTAGACTGGACTAAAAAACAAAAAAATAAAACATATAAGGAATGTAATATAAGACTACTAATGTATTTTTACCAAACAACTATGTGAGTATTTTTTTAGTATAAATATATTTTTCAAAAATAATTAAAAATCATAAGAGAAACATATGCATATTTATACAAAATTTAAATATATTTTCAAACAAAAAAATTAAATATATTTGAAATTAGATTTAGGAGGTAAAAATAATTTGATAAATCTAAAAAAGAATATATTTGAAAGTACAAATAATGGTTTGGATTACAAAAAATAATCTAAAAATTAAAATAAATAAAGCTAATAACTAAAGAGAAGAAATTTTTTAAAATAATTAATAATTGATTTATTTGAAAATATATATAAAAATAAATGATGATAAAATCACATATCATAAAGAAAAATTAAATATATTGAAAAAATCCTTGCGTTTAAAAATACTCGAATTCAGTACATAGGAATTAATTACATGTTGTTGACATTAATGAACCCAAAAACTAAATACGTCGAATAAAAATATTTTGCTACATAGATTGGTTTTGGTGCAATGTTATGGTAAGATGTATTTATACTTTTTGAATATTTTATAAAAAATAACTAATAAAAAATATAATTTAATATTTTTATAAAAAATATTATATGAACATTTTTTAACAATTTTTTTAGGAAAAAAATATTTCATTCATTTTATAAAATATGTTTAAATTTTTATATTTAATTATAATTTTTTTACCAAACGATAAATTTTAATTATAATTTATATTTTATATATTTCAAATATTCAAATTAATAGCATAATATTATCTATTTTGCTATTTCTCATAGTGTTGTATCTTTATTGATAGTATTGTTGTAACGAAAATAAAGAAAAGAGAGAGAAAAAATGTGGTTTGGATAATTATGGAATGTACAAGTGTACCTTATGCAATTTTCTCTCTGCAGAAGCAGAATCAACAGGTCCACCACTTGTTGATGTGGAGCTTCGGGAAGAAGTATGAAGCATTCTTTTTTTGAGTTTCTTTTTCATAAGATGCATGGCAGATTTATCAGCTTCCCTCTCAGTTCTCTTATCATCCTTTTCAAATTTTGATCCAAAATTCTCTTCTGCCAATTTGCTTCTCTGGAAAAGCTCTCCAAGTGATGTTCTGTGCTCCTTCTTTGCCACTGTTGTTGTTTCTGACAGTTCAATTGCTGATCCAAAGAGGTATCCCTGAAGGGGACAAATTGCACTTCCATTCACATTCCCATTTGATTCTGTGCCTTCCATTGTCTTTCCACTCAGAGTTATTATGCTTCCATGACTGCTTCTCCCATTGCTAACATGGCTGTTTCTGCCACACGAATCGTCATCCTTTGTTTCAGCTCCTAGAACCTTCTCTAGCTCATCGTTTATCAGCTTCAGTTCATTCTCAGTCACTTCATCTTCCTTTTCAGTTATGTTCTCCACAGAGATGGCAAATGTTGGTGTTGTCGATGGGTCAATTACAACTTGCTCCGAACCAAGAGTTCCTATTGCTAGGAAGCCATGGAAGAGCTCATACATGGCACCCGAGGATTCATCCTCATAGTCTTCATCTTCTAGACCAGCGAAAGATTTCCTCAGGTTTTGCTCTTTCTGAGTTAGTTTCACATGTTTGGTCCCAAAGCTTGGTTTGGGATAGTTGTGTTCATCATCAAGTGCTGCCTGCCCTGAAATACAGTTACAACAATTCTCTCACGCAAAAACAAATGTTGGAGACCTTTGGTAATGGCAAGGTCAACCATTCAGTTGAATTCAATAATCTTAATGACACAGGAAAAACCTCCATTCTCACAATAGAGTAGGAAAGAAAAGAGATTTTGTGGACCGTATTAACCTTGAAAAGCATTTGGAACAATAGAATTTGAATGAATTTCTACCAATACTTGAGTAAGTTCTTATTTTATTTATGGTGATGTGTGCATGCTTTGTTAAATCAGCATTCATGCATACTACAAGTAATTTGATAGCCATCGTGTGGTTAATGTAGTTTTGGGGGGACTAATATGCAGCTTGCTAAAAGCATGTAACTCACCGATGACCAAGTCTTTGAACGGTTCAGGGCTATTCTGGCGAAATTTTCTATGCATCCACCCAAGTAACTGCAGCAAAGAAATGGGCACACCCAAAAAAAGGACTAATTAGAAGAGCATGCAGTGAAATATGGGTCTGCAAGGCAATTGATCTTACCTTCATCCTTTGATCGTATGACGCAAAATCTTGAGGTTTGATTGTCTAACTTGAGAGATAAAGTAAGAGAAGGAAACGATGTATTTCATAATAAGATGTTCAACAAAGGTGTTTATTATGACCCTCGAGAGATAAAACGAGAAAAACAGAGAGATACTTACAAACATTGTTTGTTATTCCATGTCAACATTCAAGTAACCTAATGGCAAGTGGGTCCTAAACAATGTTAATCCGATCATGTGCAAGGTGGACATAACTGTGAGGCTCATAATTTAATAAACCATGATTTGGTTTGGTATGAAGAAATTTCACTTTTGAATTACTTGAGTGATACAGCAGATGCCTCCCACATTCTGGTTTGTGTTTCAGGTGTGCCATGTTGTATATTAGCAGACCTGGAATTTAACGTGTTCGTCCTCATGCATTTCATCCTTAACAGCGATCACCTTTTGATTGGATCCTCCAACTAAGTTGTGGGGACCCACTAAATTATTTCTCGTCGGTTGCCAATTCGCAATATCTCTCTTCATTCGGCCATACAATTTATTTACAACACTCTCTGCTTAGCTCTATCCCTCTACACCCTGATGCAACTGTTAACTACCCACTATGCTGCCTAACATTAATATAATCATATATCAAACTTTTTTCCTTCATTTATATAATCACATAAGTAAATTACCCCTTATATTTTTCTTTGAATATTATTAGTTATGGTCATTTTAATTTTTAATTCTATTAAACTTTATAAACCATTTTAAATAAAAAATTAAAGTAAAATTTCAGTAAATTTGGAAATTTAAAAACTGTACCATAGAGCATAAAAAAAAAAGTGATGGTCTACTCAATGATTTAATGGTCTTAATATTTCCAATTAATCAGCTTCAAATAATTGTACCGATGATATTAAATGGTATGCACCTCTACACAATTCCATCACCATCGATAAGACATTCTGATGATAACATTTTGCTAATTGATTACATGCATTCAACGAAATAGCAAGCAGGGGTGACTTGTGCACATAGAGTGAAGAGCCGAAAAAAGCATATTTAACGAAATGAAGATATAAATACGATGAATATACAAAATAATAATAAGTACCGAACATGCAAGAAATGTAAAACATAACCTGCACAATTCAACTTTAATTCCACAGCACCAATGCACACCCGATTTTTACATTTTTTGAATCGATTCTTAACTAGTTTTTTGCTTTCACCAATTTGATAAGTTGCTTGGACCAGTAACCTGACTAAGTCCTAGTCCATCCAATGAGACTGAAACTTGAGAGAGTTTACTACAGACTACTGCTTGATATTTACAACACTCTCTAGCTCTGACCAATTTCTCGTAACCTTACAAGATATGTGTGAGTCATGAATTATGGAGAATAAAACAGTTGCAAGGAAAGGCCATGCACATGTAAATATATCTCTTTTGTATCCCTCTGCTGATAGAGAGTCATCTCCACTTCCACTTGATCTTTTAATTTCATCATTGAATTTAATATGAAAGCCAAACTTGGATGGTGTTGTAACATTCTATTCTTTGTTGTCCAGATGCCATTTAACTCTACTCAAGCAGGTGTGGGTACAAACATATATGCCCTTAGTCCCCCGGGGCCGCAAACTACTGTTCTTGGGATCTCTTGTTATATGTATATCATCTGCAGAAATAATGACAACCAAACCAAACATATGGAAAAGCCACTCCCTTCATCAAAAAACATAATGCTCCTAGTCAAATTTAACTGCTTTGTTAACCTACATGTGGTTATCAATCAGCAAACATTTCATACCAGACATTTATATATTTTTTCCTTCTTTCTTAACAATAACCTATGGATAAATTTATTGTAGCCTTCACTCAGATTTGTCCAGAAATATTGCATTTTATAAACATTCCTCATATTCATATATACAATAAATTTATATAATTATTTGCATAACTTTTTTTTATTATTTCTCTCTATCTCACGATTATTATCTCTTTTCTATATTATCTATCTTATTTATATCAATTTTTCATGTAAGTATAATATCTCCTTTATAATACACTATTCACTGTACTGTCTTAGTCTTGTCTAACAGGAAATACCGGCCTTCTGATGGCCTGCACAATACAAAATAACACTGGTCAAATATTTATTTATGCTTTGTTATATTTTTTATTTATTCTTTTATTACTCTCTTGTGTCATTTTTATAAAACACATTTAATTAAATTATACAGACTAATAAAAGAAGTTAAAATTAATTTATTTATTTGATCTCTTAAATTATTATAACCAGATAATTTATTTTCATTTAATAATGTTAAACATGACTCCAATATCAATATTTATCCTTTCTTAATTTAAATTTAGTTTTTACTAACTCTAATTATTAAGGACAAATAAAAAAGAATACAAAATGATAAATACTTGTACAAACTATAAAGTATCTTGTAAAAAAAATTTGAAAAAAGTTGAAAGAGTAATTATAAAATAAATATAAAATAAAAATAAAATATATTATTTAAAAAGATTTAATATTTTTTTGTCATGTACGGGTTGCACTGAGTGGAGGCAAAGGGGGTCGTTTTAGCAGCCGCAGTGGTGGTCGGTGCAGAGACTTCACCACCACACTCACTCTTATTTCTCCATCAAAGCAAAGCACCTAAGACAAAGAGTGAAAGACACTAACTCCAGCGAGATTATAATGACCACTCCCCTCCCTTCAAATTGAAATGGCTCAACCCTACCACACAGAAATTCTTCCGAGCTAAATTTCGACAAACCTTAACCATGTGTTTTATAACCATAGATAAAAAGAACGAGAATAAATCACAACATCTATTATTATATACAAAATATAAATTTCATCTTAATACTTATTTTAAAAATGTTTAGAAGCATTTTAAGTAACGTTTTATATTTCCTGACTAGTTCTGTTAATATACTCTTGGTCAACCACTTTCTATTTTGAACCATTAATTTAGATTATACCTTAATTTTTTTTATTTTTAATCATTTTTCATTTAAAAAATAAAGAATATATTTTTTGGTATTTCCATTAAGGTAATGATTGATTTAATTTATTTTGATTTTTTCTTTTTGAAAAGAAAACTTGTGCCAAAAATAATTTTACCAAAGTTCTAAAAAAAATAAAAGGACATTTTTATTTAAAAATAAATAAATAAATAAATATTTTATAAAAATTATTTTTAAATATCACTCTTTCTCATTTTTTTTTTTATATTTAAATTTCATGATTCAATAATATACGACTCAAAAAAATTCAACTTAAATGTAAGTCTTTATTATTAAGCGTATAATAGCCTTCTTATGGAGACCCTTCTTATCTAAGTCATATGTGAGCAACTAGGGGTAAAAGCCACAGTGATTATATATGAAATACAACTACAATGGTTAATTAAGTTGATATTTTGATTGCATGCATATACATTATAAAACAAACTAACAAAATGGCTAAAATCTTAACTATTAAATATTAATATTGAATTGAATAATTATAACCGCTCTCTTTATGCTAGCTAAATCCACGACAAAGTATTTCTATGGAACTATGTGGATTGTGATGTGGCAGAGGAAGAACAGGGCAAACACCTCGTGGAAGTGGTCTGGAATCAAATATTGAGTAGTGCTACCCCTCCGGCCCAACCATCCTTGAGCTCAACTTTTTGCTGTGTGCGCACAATGGGGAACTGTGTCACCAAGTGGAGCGGTCACTTCATGAGAACTTACTACAGCGACCAGCTGGTAGCCTGGTAAATGGTATCATTTTGATATATATTTGTTTAGATAGGTTTCAAAACTTTCAAAATTACAATGTAATTCACCTCTATTTTTATAACAATCTTAACCTCCTTAAGTAAGAAAGATATGTATAGAATTGGATTACTCTGTCAGTGTGTTTTTTATGGCTACAATTGATTAGCTTTAGTTATTTTAATATGGAATATTACTATTTGCTCGCTTTAATACCTCAGTAGCCATGTAATGTGGACTAGCATCTATTTCATTAAATCGTTCCGCTTGTGAAAATGGCAAACCATACTCTTACTTTCTAATTTAATAAATTTCATTTTTTGAGGGGATAAATCCTGTGGCTTGCAACAAATGGATAAGAAATAATAGTACGTGTATTATGTAACAATAACTCGACTCGAGTACCAACTACTTACGTTGTGTGTCACTGAAGATAAGGTAATTAGTGATCTTGAAGGAAATCACGTAGATTGGCGGTTATTGTTGTGGCAAAAAATTAAGGAATGAAAAGGCCAAGACATAGTAAGATTTAGGGAGAAAACCGATGACCAAGGTCATGTCACTCACCCATTTATCTTTCTTTGGTTTCCATCTTCTGTCTTCGGCTCTTGTGGAGAAAAATGTATGATATGTATGTAGATTCTGAGTTTCCTTGTGTGAAAACTTGACAAGGTTACAGAACTTATAGTTGTGGTTGGAATAAAGAAAATGGTAGTATATACTATGGCCAGTATTGTAGGAGAAAGTGCACACAGGTTGATTTCTGTTCCGCAATTAGGCATACAAATAAGATCTTGGCTCCGCAAATGGCATACCAATAGCATGAAAAATCAAATTGTGATGAGAGAAATAAAAGAGATATATTCCAACTCAGCCGAAACCCTTCATATTTGGAAGCATAAAATCCCACTGTAACCATATACTGACATGCATAAAGTAGGGTACTGCTCTTGTAAATTTAATAGGAATGAGTTAGAGTTGGATGCTTAAGGGGTCCCACTCCCAGCTCACCCCCACAACCAGTTATACTGATATCGTTCATCCCAAACACTTGGAAACAAGAGTCACACATAATAATCAATTAATCATTCACTACTAAACTATAAATCCCAAATCCATCCTAATATAATAATACAACCCAAACAGAGAATGGACGTGACAGTGCTCTGAACCAATTAAACTAAGTGTCAGTGAAGAGGTGTTGTGCTGTTGCCGCTAAAATAAATCAATCACCCCCTCTCTCTGTTTGCCACACTTTTCTTAATCATTGTACACCAATTTAGCAGATTCTGTTTTGTTTTCCGTGTTGTTTTGGGTTAGTGAGTAGTAAGTAGAGTTTGGACATCAAACTTGGTCCTTTCTTTGGTTGAAAAAAGAGTTTAAATATACATTGTCTTTATAATTTATTTTATTTTTATATTTAAAATATTGAAAGTTTTAGCCCTTAAGATATACAAGTTTTAATCCACATAATTTTCATTCAGTTTAAGTTTCGATACGTATAATTTTATTCTATTTAAATTTTAGTTCATATATAATATACCAAACATCAATCTGAATTATATATTTTAAAAGGACAAGTGTTAAATTGCTTGCCCTTTTACATGTTTGAGAATTCATGTTAGCAGAAAATTTGTTATATTCTGAAAGGTTTTCATGGTCTAAAAATTTAAATAAGTGTGGCGAAATAGGATATTATCATTTAACACATCTCAGGCAAACAACTTTTTTTATTTCGTACAACAAACAATATTATGAATTTTTTGTTTTTGGTCGAGAATCAAGCGGGTATAGAAAGAATAATTTAACCACCAAAAAAACAAAAGAAAGAATAATTTGTCCATGTGATTGACTTCTGCTTGTCCCAGTCCCTGGGCTTGGGCTTAAGAAGGTCTGCTGGGTTCAAGCTGTTTCGTAACTAACAACCATTGAATCAAGCGGACCAAACAACCCCGGGTTGAGTTGACAAAAAAAATAACTAGAAAATTGGAAGGAAAAGAGAAAGGAAGGAAGAATGTGAGACAATTAATCCATGTTTGTAAAATCAAGGCTAATTTTGATTTCCTTTGCAAGCAGAAAAGTCGTGGATCATTGACAGGTCACAAGTTTTAGAAAACAATTTCCATTTTCATTTCTTATTTTTATTATTAATCAATAATTACAAATATACCATCTTATTTTTACCTTTTTACTTTATTATTTTTATTTCTTTTAATATATATTTTTTGAAAACAAACAAAAAAGTAAAACACGATATCAATATCCAAGTAATGTTTGAAGCAAAAAGGCACATGGAGAGCATAAAAAGTTATCAAAGAGGGTCAAATTCATACGCACGTACCTCATCGTAGCCAGCATATCAGGGCACGCCTAACATCCTATGGACTATTTCGGAAGACACCTTTGCCTTTTGATTCATAACAAAGGGGTTTAGATTAGATGACTTCTAGCAACAAACTATTACATTTATTCCAACAAGCATTCTAATATTTGCTAAAATCCATATGTATTCAACTAAATTAGAAATGTGAATCAATAAATTTGGGAGTAACACCCACGCTAATTTGTATGACTCACCTAAATTTCATTTAATAGTAAAAAGTATATTAAAGAGCATTTGAGGAATGTTGACAATAAACTCACTCTTTCTATCCCTCCTTTTATTATTAACTGGAAATTAATGAAACTTACAACATCTTGTGAATCATACTTCTTATCTTGTAAATATCACACATGATTTCATAAATCTTATTTTAACAAAAGATGCAAAATAAGTAATAGAAAAAGCAGACATTAAGAGAGAAAACCAGAAGGCAAAGACTAAATTGAAGAATGGAAGACACTGTAAAAGACTAAACACGATATTGTTAGCATTATCGGTAGATCGCGTTAGGGACTAAATTCATTTAAGATACGTTAGAATCGGTCAGAAGGAGTCTAACACAATTCATGTGCAATGATATCGAATTTGATCATGCATCTCATAAAAGACTCCTAGAATTCCCTTACCATCCAATTCCACAAGGAAAATGCACTTCGGCTTAAGGAGAGATCATTCAAATTGGGTGCGAAATTTTCCAACCTAACAACAACTCAAACTCTGGAATACAGGCGGCTGATTAAAGTTTGTAGGTTCAGTGTGAAAAGCAATAGGTACTGAACTCATCTTAGAATACTTAGACAAAAATTTCCAGAAAGCAGGAGTTTCCTCTTTTCCCTTTCATTCTAAGCAGCGAGAAGTTAATAGAAGGAATGACCAACCATCTCAAGCAATTGGGAGCTCACCGCAGTCACTGATGGTTACCTTCTTTCTAGGACGGTCACCCCTATCTGTATCCTGAGATTCGATCAACCTAACAATGTCCATGCCTTCCAAAACTTGGCCAAATACAACATGCCTCTGATCCAGCCATGGTGTCTGCCAATTCATCAAACAAGTTGGTTGTGTCAAGACCAGAAAGCACAAACAATTTCCCCTTATGGTACTATATTAACAGTTTTTCACCTTTCAGCATAAATATTAATCAGTCTCAGTGATAGGCAGCATGTCGTGCTATAAGTATAATCTATTTAAAATTGCTGTCTTTTATATTTGAGATTGTTCACATATCAATATGAAACCAATGATCTTATCACAATTGCACAGAAAAATGTGCAAAGATTGGCGAGATTGGTGATACTGAAGATCAGGCTCATTTGACATGCATACAGAAAAGTTGCTAATAATCTCTTTAAAGTTGCTAATTAACTTCTCAATAAGTACTTATAGAAGTTAAATAAAATGAATCCAACTCCGTCTATAAGTTAAAATTAACTTATGCTTTTCTATTTTTGAGAATTTTTCCCAATTAACTTTTCTAAAATTTGAAAATAAGTTGTTTCTAACTTGTTAGCAAAGTTATATTCATCTTTTTACTGATTTTTTTTCTCTTATAAAGATTTCTCTAAAAGTTTACTCAAATTGAGTCATTGTGTTAAAAGTATAGCTTATTTCTGCTTCAATCACAGCATTTTAGTTCTTACTTCTTAACTTATCTTTCTCTCTCCCTCCTCTTCTGGGTGAGATGCCTTGCATTCCGTTTTCGAAAGGGAAGAGGAAGTTTTAGGGGTGGGGGGTTGCATTGGATGTCAGTTGAAACTGACGTGCATGTTTGGATTTGATTGTTTTGGGAGAAATAATTGCTTCTTTCTTTAAAACTCTAAGAAAGCTGGGGGTATTTAAATACAAAACTGTCATTTTATTTTCATTTTGTTTCTTGTTTTCAAATATTTGTACAGAAAAAACTGAAAATAACTCTTTTTTTTCTTTTTTCACTGTTTCTTCTACCAAATCCGTGAAATTAAAAAGCAAAATGAAAACATAAAACAATTTCTAAACCAAACCGCCCACTAGCAAAGGAAAAGCAAGTATTTCTCAAAAAGAGGGAGGGGGGCTGGACATCAGTACGTGCATGTTTGGATTTGATTATTTTGGGAGAAATAGTTGCTTCTTTCTTAAGAACTCTAATAAGCTAGGGGTTATTTAGTTTAAAAAACATTTTTCTGTTTTCATTTTCTTTTTATTTCTAATTACCGAACTGCCACTTAGTTTTCATTTTGTTTCTTTTTTTAAATATTTGTACAGGAAACACTGAAAACAAATTTTTTTCACCGTTTCTTGTACAATTTGTTAAAACTAGAAAATAGAATGAAAACAAGGAGGTGGTTTAGAATTAAAGTGGAAACGGGAAATGAAAACACAAACCAATTTCTAAACCAAACTGCCCCTTAGCAAAGAAAAAGTAAGTATTTCTCAAAAATAAGTTAAGCCAAACATGCACTAAGATATTCAACAGAAACAGCATGGGTCTTGGGGAAAGGTTTTAATGCCTCTATCTATTTACTTCTCTAACCCCAACAATAGTGAAATTTGCCCAGAACAGGCAAGCACGAGTGCAAAAATTGAGGAACAGAGATATACCTTCACAGTGCATATGAAAAACTGGCTCCCATTTGTGTTGGGACCTGCATTTGCCATGCTAACAACTCCTGGTCCAGTATGAGACACTGCAGACATTCTACATATAAGTTTCATAATTGAAAGAGAATGCAGAGAGCCTAGAAGTTAAAATGACAAAAATGAATGTAGGAGTGCAAACAAAATAAACAAGTAAAATTGAAATCAGGAAGGGTATGTTGGAAGTGAGTGACTGACATTTAAAATTCTCATCTTTGAAAGTACGACCATATATGCTTTTGCCTCCAGTTCCATTTCCTTTGTCGAAGTCGCCTCCTTGAATCATGAAATCCTTGATGACGCGATGGAAGGTGGAGCCCTTGTAGCCGAAGCCCTTCTCGCCAGTACAAAGGGCACGAAAGTTCTCTGATGTTTGGGGTACATCGTCACCATAGAGTCCAATGACGATCCGTCCCGCGAGCTTCCCAACTGGATTTCCAATGCTTATGTCGAAGTAAACTTTCTGAGTCACTTTTGACTGCACACTCGGCTCCTCAGAAGCAGAACTCGCCCTTACCCTACTCCTACCCGTACCCGGAAGGAGCAGGACGCTTTCTTTTCTCTGTCCCACACTCACTGACAGTGGCTGTGGAGAACAAACACCAAACCCAAACCCAAACCCAAGCCCCCCCACAGCACCACTAAACTTAGGGTTAGTGTTAGGGTTCAAAGCTCCCACTCTGCCTCTGCTTTCTGGAATATTTGCCTGACAATCCAACACAAAATGAATCGTATCATATCATAATTCATTAATAATAATAATAAGAAGAAGAAGAAGAAGAAGAAGAATCTTTCATCTGAACGCTCAGTGTAAAATTACCAGCCTTAGCGTAGTAATTGCAGATGAAGCCGCCATCGATTAAGTGTAGCCTGAGCCTCACTCTCCCTCTCAGCCCTTGGGAGGATATATTATCTCAATTCAACTAAACTCCGCAACCATCAAATTACTATAATATCCCGCTCTCTCCCTCTCCTCCTCCCTCGCCCTGCCCAACTATTCCTACAGCTCCAATTATGTTGCAATTTTTCTTTTACTGCCGTTTATTTTCAAATATAATACAAATGCTAAACAAGCTTTTCATAATTTAAATAACTTTTTCATAAAATTTAAATTATAAATAAATATTTTTTTATTGATTAAAAATATTTTATTACCAAAAATAAGAATTAATTAAAAAGGAATTTTTTTAAAAAATTATAAAAACTCCTGAAATAATTTATTTTAATCAAAATATAATATCATTATTAATTTAATGTGCTAAATTTTAATTTTAAAATTAATATTATACTAATTTTAAATTTATATTTATTAAAAAATATTTTTAAAATTTTAATTAAAATATAATTTCAGTATAAAATAAATTTATTTAATAATAAATTATCAAATAGTTAAAATCATTAACTCGTGTATCACAATAAGTAATGACAAATAAAAGTTAAGAGAAAAAAGAAAAGGAATTGCTACTAAATTGTTAAAAACTTGAAAAACTAAAAAAGACAAGGAAAAAAGTCACTAAAAATAATTTTTAATTAATTATGTGAAACTAAAATAATTTTACAAAAATAATTTTAATTTTTAAAAAATTATATGCTGTGAAAAAAATTGTGAAAAAAATTTGATGTTTCAATATATTTTGAAGAAAGAAATTGCAAAACTTCTTTGAAAGGTACGTAAAGATAAAAGAAAGATTACTTGAGAGTGTTAAAAATAATAAACAATATTTTTAAAATTTTTTGAAAATAAAAAGAAAAAATTCACATATGAAAATAAAAATATTATATACATTTCCTTACAATAATTGAATGGTAGAAAAATCCTTACAATTATTTTGCAAGGCCACCGGGAATGGATTCTCTACAATCACTGATTCAGTGTATCAAGTCCTATCCGTTCAATGTATTTTGCAACAATCTTTACTCTAAAAATGAAATTTATAAGAATAAACGGTGAGATTGTACGACTTAACCGTGTGAAGTCATTTTAACAATTGAGGATCCGTTGGCAAGGCGACCACATGGATATGCTCACTCGCATCCAACGTCTCCGGAAATGTTCATTAGATATTGGCTATACATTATTTTCGGTATTACATCAAATTACCGCTTATTTTAGACAATGCTAGTTAGTCATACAAAAATCAAATGACGTTCATTCTGGTTGGTAATTTTATGCCTGCCCTGTTCAGAAGCTCAACAGAAGCCTGTTTTGCTTTCGAAATAACTTCTTCCTGTCATGACAATACAAAGTAAACATCTAGTCACGATCAAATATGTATTCCTGGAATTGAGATTTCCAACCTCTCCTATGTAAGAAAATTCTTCAATAAAATACCTCATCCACATTTATAATCTTCTTGTTCTTCATTATCCATAAGCCATTGCACATGACCGAAACCACATTTTCAGTTCGCATGCAATACACCATGCTGGAAATGCTGCATATGGGTTATGGTTAAACAGTAAATGTATTAAGTCAAGAGTTTTGGGATGGCATGCATGATGGCACAGAAAGCCGAATTCTGCAACCCACGTTGCAAGATAAACATAATGCATGGGAAAGCCTAATTGGCACCCAATTTCATTCTCACAATTAGAATAGTCATGTAGTTTATAAATAAGCAGTAAAAAATAAGCCTAATGGGTTCGTACCAGTCATGAACTGGAGCCATAGACCAAGACGAAGGATTGACTACTACAATGTCAGCCTATCAAATAACATGTACATACAATGTCAGCTTCTGATGCTAGCAATAGCAAAACTTACACTACGTGTCTACAGAAGATGTGGTCAGACACATTTATCAAAATGAGTGAAATATTGATTTTACACTTTTTTTAACATGGTTTTTGTTGAATTTTCACCTTAGGTTCATACAATGTTGAACATTTTCCTATTTACTTTCTTTGTTCACAAGAATTCACAAAATGAAATATCTTGACTGTCACTGACAGCAGATATCAAGTTTTTCATGTTTTAATTGTAAATTATTGTAGTAAAATACAATGAGGAGCAGATATGATAAACAAGCTCGCTTCCCTACACCGTGTTTGCTTACTTTGAATTCAAATGTTTATAGTACACATTGTGTCCAATAACACAGAGTATTCTCATATTTAATCCTTGTTAATTGAGGAAGAGAGAACAATGATGATTGCAATGAGAAAAGAACAGCAAATAGTCTGAACTAATACCACCAACCTTTTTCCCAACCTCAAGAGATCCTATTTCATCATCCCATAGTACCGACTTTGCACCATTAACTGTAACCATTCTAAGAATAGTTTCGGCAGGCAATGCAGTTGGATCTGTAGTTCCATTAGCATGAACTTCCCTTCCTTTGTTAATTAGCGAAGCTAGGTACATTTCGTCAACTGCAAATATAATTTATTAATGAAATCCAGTAAATTTTACTTAGTAATTTTTTTTAAAAGTGCATTGCTTTGTAGTTTCCATCCCGGGCATGAGGCTCCCACCATTTTAATTTGTGATCTGGGGTACATAGTTTTACATAAACCTATCTCACTTCAAGCGGATAGGTTGTTTCCACGTTCTTCTTAAATACTAGTGTAGAGAATATAGGGAAATTATAAAAACAAACAAGAAATGGAAAGTTCAGAGTTAAGATGAACCGATGCTCATGCGGTTGTTTGATGGGGCCCCATCAGTTCCCAGTGAGACACAGATGCCAGCATCAAGCATCTCCCTTACAGGTGCAAATCCAAGCATTCGCATTGCAGCGGCAGGACAGTGAGACACTTTAACCCCTGCCCTTGAAAGAAGAGATATCTGAAAACAATTGATGTCATGCAACAATAATTACTGCTCATCACACTAACTCAACGATTAATTACCATTCCAACAAAATTTTCACATATAGCCTAGGAAAGGTCAGCCCAATTCCATATTCCCGTGTGTACAACTCAAATCACATGCTTCTGCTTTTAATCTTAAATTTCCTATTCTCTCTACCAAAAATATTTTCTCAATTATTTGCTGTCAGTCTTTCAGTGGTTTTGTTTTATTCGTTGCTATAAGAAATCAAGGAAGCTTAATTTTTTTTTTTTTAATTTACAATTAGTATTATTAAATAAAGAGAATAATAATACAGTGATAATAATATTTAGACTAATTCTGCAACAGTTCAATCAATTAAAATTATTATTTTCTCATAATTTATGCTATTTATATAACTTTTCAGGGCTAGCATGGGTTGGTCTGAGAGGAAAGGAGTTTGATTTTTAAGCATGTGGTCTTAGATTCGATCGAAAATTCATGTACAGTACATGATGGGAGTCTCTGCTCTATCGTGAGAATTTAGTCTCTCACTTTATCATGGGAAACCCAAAATATGTGCGTCAGGGCCCAACCAAACGAGATTAGGTATTAAAAGGTGTCAAATAAGAAAGGAGTTAGGATAATTGGGCAGGTTACGCTATCGGATGCCATTAGGCAGATAGACAGTTAAATAGAGAAAGGGATTGATTGATGTTTGCTTGCATACCACCATCACCCAAAATTTACCTCATTATCAATGAGACAGCGGCAGAAATTTCCATAACCGACTATGTTTTGTTGAAAGGGTGTAATCATGTTTATACATGGCAAAAATTTACCTCATTATTATCGATCCAAACCGAATGAGCTGCTAACAGATTGTTCCCGAGAAAATCTATCTTCTCCAAGTATGTAACAGTTCCGTGATCTATTTTGTGTACATCCATGACCAATTGGTTCTCATAGGGTATCTCTGCCACGTGCTAACAATTTTGCAAATTCAACTCAATATGTTTTAAATATGAGCAGACATGTTGCAAGTAAATTATAATTAACTAAAACTTGAAACAATGCCAGTCTTATTTTAAACTTCAGAATGTGTGTAAAATATCAAGGTCCAAAAGTATGTAATAAGCGTGTCTAATTATGCTTTACGAAATAGTAATTCAAGTTAAGATTCCAAAAGGTTAAATAAAAAATTTAGCCTTTACACTTAATATCATTTTTTTGCTTTAATTCATATATGAAAAAACTTAACATTTTATGAAAAAAGTAAACATAAGTGCACTGTCTGTCTCTATAGTATGAAGAAGAATAATTTGAAGTATTTCGACCTCCTACTGCCCACATTATATAGGCCATTTTGAATTGTCTTGCTAAAATTTATTAGAAGTTCCGATCAGCTGTTTTCTACGATTTAAACAGAGAACAAAACGCAAAAAAGACCTAACTCTGAACTCTGAACTCTGAAGTACAGTCTGAGATTTAGTACAGAATCACAATCAAGTTATTATTATTATTATTATTATTATTATTATTATTGCAAGAGCTCTGGTATAAAAAATGTAAAGCATGCCAGTAAATGCACGTAAACAGGGAGAAGAGAGGGGATACCATGTGTATTCCTGTTTTGAGTTGTGCTGCAGCATCTCTCGTGTCAGTAAGCAATTGATGAGTAGAGTTCATAATTTGCCTAATTCCGAACCAGATTCTGATGCGGCCTTGGGCTGTGTTATGGTACTTGTCATAATTATCCTTTTGAGACTACAGAGCAGAAGAAAGCAAGAGCAAAGCAATTACTAATTGACGAAAATAATATGAATTGGTTTGGTATGTGTATATATATGTATAGAGAGAGAGAGAGGGGGAGAAACTTGAAGGCAATCGTGGGTGGTTCGAGTGGCCCATGATGATGGCAAACCGTGGCCAGAATCCATGGTAGACTGAGTTAAACAAGCTCGCAAACCGAGTAATTGGACTGCTCTAGCCATCGCAGAAACATGTTGGCCCCCAGCTTCAGCAAAACATGTTACCTGAAAGTGAATTGAATTGGGAAATGGGAACCGAAGCATAACAAAGTGAAGGAGAAGGATGAGCTTGATAAACCTACACCGGAGTGAATGAGTTCAATCCCACAAAGCAAAGTAGAGAGGTAAGAGTCGTGTTGGGTCATGGTGGATTCGTAAGGCCAGATGCGGTGATGCAACCAGGTCATTAAGTCAACGTCATCCGCTATGCCTCTCGCCAGTTGTTGGGAAGTATGAACGTGGGTGTTAATCAATCCTATCCATTACTTTACACTTTAGCAATTTGGCAGCTATCATAGCAAAATGAGACACACAAACAGAACAGAACAGAGAGAGAACCAGGGAGTAAGATGTGGCCTGTCAGATCAATAATGTGGTCGGCGACATCAGAAAACTGAGCCAGAACATGAGCAGATTGTCCAATAGCTATGATTTTATCCTCTTCGACAACGATGCCCCCGTCCTTAAACACTCGCTGCTCCTCGTCCATCGTTACGATCACACCACCGTGCATCACACTCACCATCTTCTTCTTATCTCTCTCCATTGTCCTCCCCCTCCGCCTACATATTCGTTATTACTTTAATCCCTCCAAATTTTATATTGTCACGAGTCACTATTTTTGGAAGTAATATGTAATTTTAAGCGACTGCAATAATTTCATTTTTTATCGTAAAAGAAATATATTTATTAGATTCGAAATAGAATAAATGATGTGATAAAAATAGTGTAAAAATATCATTGTTTTTGTATAAATATATCTATATTGTATACTATTGTTTTTATAACCGAAGGTTTTTTCTCTACCTATTTTATCATTTTACTTTTCCTTTCAAAACTATAATATCGTACATTCTGTATTTAAAGTATTTTATTATTATTTATAAATATAATAATTAAAGACTCGTTTTACAATTCATTTTTTCACTTATTTTTCTTGTCCATTTGAATGAGTTTTCTTTTCATAAATAATTTTTCCCCCCATTTACATTTTTTCACTCATTTAATTATTTATTTTCACTCACTTGCCATTTTTTTCGTTTTCGTGTTAGGTCTCAAGGCATCTATAATATTCTCAATCCCTGAGAAACTTAAACAATTTTATAACCTCCAAATTATTAGATGTATTCATTGTTGGATAAATGATTTTACTTAATGTAAGATATATTGTAACTTTTTTATGAGTAAACAATATGAAATATGAAGATTAGTAAGTAGTATGTAAGACAGCATGTCCAAAGTGATAAACAAGATTGGCTTGAAGAAAAGTAGGTAATCATTTTCTTGTGCTAAGATTAAAAACGTGTGCGTAGAAGTGGATGATTACCTGTTATTTGTTAATTGATATAGCTAAGAACGGATTGCTTAACATTATTATGTACATAAAAAAAGGATATATACAGATTGAGAGTGAAAAATGAAACGGAAGAAGGAAAGCTAAATGAAGAAATGGATCACGTCCTCTTTCGGGGGATGGAGGGAGCATTACCATCAAAAAAATGGTGAATGAAAATCTCAATGTCGTCGGGATGATACTTGATATACTTGTCAACATGTCTAGGTGATTCAAGATGGTGTTTGAATCTTCCAACGAAGGAACGGTAGGCAGGGATGACCAAAGCCGTTATGGAAACCCTGAGTTCGGATTGAAGTTGCTCGTCACTGACCATCCACGTACGCTGCTTCTTGTGTATATCTTCAAACATGGAGTTGAAGCTCTTAAACCTCTCCTTGAGAAGCTGTTTAGAAACCTTGTTCCCATTCCCTTTTAGACCCTCCGGGTTAAGGCACTGCAACACCTTACTCCAAGTCTCCCTCTGATAACATTTATGGTACAACCTCAACCTCGATTGCCTTCTCCTGCACCAATTGTCACCCATCAATTTGTGAAGCTCCGCGCATCCTTTCATTTTCTGCACTATGTATCTCCCATTGTTCATTAGGAAAACATAGCGCAAAGCCGGATCCTTATACAACCTCGACTTCCTCTCAACATTTGCATCCAAGAGCTCCATCACTGTCTTAAATTGAAGCGCAAAAGCCGATTTATTGCCCGTCCCATCATCGCCCTCCTCGTCTATGGATTTATGGCTTTCAATTCCAATCCCAATCCCCTTAACACCCACACATCGCTCAAACACCTGCTCCGACGTGTCTTTGTATTCGCATGCATATTCAAGATAATTCATCACATAACGAGTCAACGGGTGAACTGCGCCGTTGGGGACAGGAATCCTTTGGTTGTCGCTCTTAATGGAATTCTCCAAATCACAGAACATGCCCACCACAGCCTCCGCTACCCTATCCTTCGCCGTCGCCACCTCATACGCCAACTCCTTCGCACACTGCTCCGAATACGAAGCGCCAGTAATGGCAGGCTCCACGTCCCTCAGGGTCTCGTACATATCCAGGAATTTGAACAGCTTCTCCGCTGATTGCTTCGTTAAAACGGCGCCGTGTACGAAATTCAGTAAATGGACGATGACAGCCCGAACAAGATCGCTGAAAAGGTTCTGAGATATGGAGGGGTGGTCGTGGAAGACTGAGTCATAGAGCCTTCGTTCGGCGCTAAAGAGGACGGTGGTGGAATGCCCAACCACTTTGTTCCACGTGGCAATTTCTCCTTCCAGCGATTCCCACTGCATTTTATAGACATCTTCCATTCTGACGCTCCGGTATCCGAATCTTTGGAGGGCTGTTTTGAAAGCAGTTCGCCTGAAGGCGGCGAAAGCCATGCAGCACTCTGTTTGATAGCCGGCGGCGATCATGGCAGAGGCGATCTTTTTAAGAACGGAACGCTTTTGTGCGGAGAAATTAGGTGGGAAGTCCTCGTTCGCATGATGATCATGGTGATCCTGGGGTGGTAGCTTGGGGGAGTCGTTATCGGGAACGGGGGAATCATGCGAAGGATGGGAACCAAAGGAGAATGATTTCTTGGGTGTTTTGGATTTGGGATGGTCGAGAAGAAGGCACAGCTCCGTCTCCAAGAAAGACATGGCTTTTTCTTGGGCGTCCAAGGCACTCAAACTGGTATCACAGAGACAGAGTTTGGAGATGGCTTGGAGTGCATCCAGAAAGGATTTGTCATCCTCTGCCTCCTCCCCAAACTTGCTTCTCCCACTCTCGTATTTATCCAGCAATTTGGGCAACACGCCAACGCAATCTGGAACATCCACATCCTCCAGAACGCTCCCAACGTTACTCTTTCTTGGTGCGAAGCTCCACGACTTGTCCATCCCCTCTTCACAACAACATTTTCTTCATTATTTCTCTACTGCTCGCCCCTCCATCCCTCAAATATGTCTATTTTTCTTTTCTATTTTTCTTTTACTTTGCAGCTATTTAGGGGGAGATCACCCAAATGCCAAGGCCTTCCGTTCTTTCCGTTCTTTCTGTATTGGCTGCTGCTACGTGGAAAGCTTCATGCTCTTGGGATGCTACTATGGCTTCCAACATGATATGCTTTTTCTCAAGTTGCTGTCGCGGGTCGTTACAGCTGTGAATTCCCACAGGGGAAATCTCGTCCTCACTTTCGCTTGGTTATCTCAGACTGTGACCCTTTTTTGCTACATTTCCTAAGTATCTCCGTTGACTCCCATTTCATATGTTCAAAGTACTTCTATTATACGATGATCAATAATTGTAATATTTTATTAATAAAACTTTTATACTCTATATCCACACTTTCTATTCATTTGTGATTTTTTATTATAAATTAATTTTTAGTTCATATTTTATTCTTGTTTATAATATTTTTATTATTAAAATTAGAATATAAATTTTAATGTGTTCTATATTTTTTATTTAATATTATCATGTAATGAAAATATTACTATGCTAGTATGTATAAAAAGTAAGACGTGAAAAGATTAAGATTATTTTTAATAAATTACGATATTTTTAAATTATATATATTATAATATTGATTCTTGAACATGACCAAATTTAGAATTTTTTAAACGAAATAATTTTTAAAAAATGTTATTTTTATTATATCAAGTGATTTTATTTTCTAAATCAAGCAATTGTTTTTTAAATTTTTTTAAATTTTATTTTATATAATCAAATAATTTATTATTAATAAATATACTATTTATTATTTATAGAATTTTAAAAAATTATCAACTAATGTATATAATTTGTGAATATTATCTGTAAAAAAAAACATTTCTAGTAATATTTTCAAACGAAAATGCTTGCATTAGTTAATTATTTTTTATTATGATGAGTAATTTTTGTAATATTATACATTTATTTTAAAATTTTAAATTTTATCTCTTTATAAAATAAAATATGAAAATTATTTAACAATAAGTATGTTTAGTAATTTCCCTATATTACATGTTCATTTCTTAAAATTTATATTTTGAATGTTTTATAATTTATATTTAAATTTTATTTAATTTAATGTAATATTTATTATTAATTAGTCAAATATTTATTTTTTAAAATTTAATAAATTTAAATTTTAAGACAACATATTTTTTATATTTATTTAAAATACTTCAATTTAATAATTTCTACGCATTTAACGAAAAAATTACTAGTATTTAAACAAAATTATGAAGTAAAAATAACATAATAAACACTCGGATAAAGTTGTGAAACCAAAATATTTTTAGAAAATTAATATGTATGATTAATAATTACAGTATTTAATAAAAATATAAAATAAATGTTATCTCTCATAAGTGAAAATGAATTGTGTAAAAAAAAAAAAAGATATAGATATATTTAATAATTAAGAAAAATAACATGGAATTTGAGAGTGGCGATTGAAGTTTGGGACTTGGTGTCCTTGCAGGTCCAAGTGAAAGCGGAAGGAAGGAGTAACTTGTTGTCCGCACAGAGAACAAAAGCAAGCTCCTCTGTTTTTGTTTTATATATACTTTTAGGTGTTCTGCGATCCCACCAAACCAATTTTAGAATCTCTTGGTTTTGGAATTGGAAGATGAGGACTTGACTGCGTCTGCGTCTGTGTCTCAAGTGGTTTGATTAAGGAGTAAACTGGTATGGGTTGTTTTTCGTGTTTCGATTCGAGGGAGGATGAGAAGCTCAATCCCAATCCTGAGCGGGAAATCCATCATCACGATAATGATCATCATAAGTTCCCCGACCCCCCTCACATGTCCCGATTGCCTTCTGCATCTGCCTCTGCCTCTGCCTCTGGTTAGTTAATATATTCAATTTCAAATCCATCTCTACTTCTTGATCTGATCTGATTATTATTTGAATTCATTAATGAGATTGAAATCAGATCCCGTGTCTTAGTTGACCATTAGTTACGTTGCCGTTGACAAAGCATGCTATCATCTTATCTTATCTCATCTCATCACTTCACTGCTCCTTTCCGAAATCCTTATTAGTATTCAAATTTCAATCTCTCTCTTCCACTCACGCCTTTGCTTTTAGTTAATTATAGTTTGCATTGCATTGCATTCGATTGCAGGAGCAGACAAGCTACGCTCAACGAGTAATAGTAATGGGAACGGGGCCTCCAAAAGGGAATTGGCTTCTCTCAAGGATGGACCAGCTGTTCAAATTGCCGCTCAAACTTTTACTTTCCGTGAACTTGCCGCCGCAACCAAAAACTTCAGGCCTCAGTCCTTTATAGGGGAAGGTGGTTTCGGAAGGGTCTACAAGGGCCGCCTTGAAACTACGGGTCAGGTAAATATTTCTATTCCTTATTCTACTTATTAAATGCTGCTCTCATGTGTTACTCTTCAACCCAAAAAAGAGGAACACTAGGTAGCAACTTGGCAGTTAGCCTACCATCTGCAGAGGAGTTCAATATTCATGAAGCAGCTTAGCCAATTGAGGGAAGGTCCAACAGAATAACTGTGAGACCCAACACATTCCAGACTGTATTCACTAAGTTGTTAATAGCATCTCCAGTTCTGCTGTGCGAATTCAGGACATAGAGCCAATTTTGATTCACTTCTCAACAAGCACTTGTAAGAGAAGAAAATAAAATGAATCCAACTTTTGATGCGCCTCAAATTTCCTAAGCTTCCTCATTTCTCTATGAGTTGAGGTGCATAAGTTGCTCTGAAAAAGTTTGATTAATTGTACCTCCTTTTTTCTGTTTATTTTATTTTTCTTATAAGTATTTATTGAGAAGTTTACCCAAATTGGCTCACAGAGGAGTCTGTTATGTATGTGCATGTCAATTATAAGGCTAACAACTCTGTTGAGACCTAAGATTAAGCTGTAAAAAATGCAATATGTAGGCATGAAAGGAATGAGAGGTCTAGGAGAAAATTATTCTGAAAACTCCCTCTCGCTTTATTTTTTGCTTCTTGGAGTTGAAGCTCAACCCTGTTCTCAAATTCGGGGAGCTGTCCTCTGCTCCTATCATTTGGTGCTCTAGTTGAGAGAAGATGGCAGACAACACTTGTTTGAAGACTACCAAGGATCAAGTGAAAGACACATCCAGAAACTTACTACCTACCAAAAAGACATCACCAAAATCGACAAAATCCTCTTTTTTAATGAAAGAAAATAAACTTTAAAGTACAAAGCTCGAAGAGTTTTTGGTTAGTTGAGCCCTCTGGTGTGTCTTGACATTTTTTTTTAACCTCTACAGGTTGTTGCTGTTAAACAGTTAGATAGAAATGGCCTCCAGGGTAATCGGGAATTCCTTGTGGAGGTTCTCATGCTCAGTCTTCTACACCACCCTAATCTTGTAAATCTCATTGGATACTGTGCAGATGGAGACCAACGCCTCTTAGTTTATGAATTTATGCCTTTGGGATCATTGGAAGACCACCTTCATGGTATGGTTACTTTCTACTCCTCCTGATTCCGTGATTAGAATTTCTTATAGTTTTATTTGATTATTTTCTCATATACTAAGAAATTGAGAATTAGTATTCTCTTTTAGAAATGTCCTGAACACCAAGATCAGTAGCTAATACATTTCAGTACTATCAAAGTCTCATCAGTATTTGTGCAGTGACTGCAGTCTTTATGCAGTGCTAATATAAGGGAAGATTAGATTAAAATTTTTTTGAAATTTATAATTTCTCAGCCAAGACTTAAGGTCACGTGTTACATAATCTAACATCAGTACATCACCAATGAAATTATGGTATAGTTTAAATTACAAATATTTATTTTGCAATACAGATAAATAATTGAAGGCTTTAGTCAGTGTATTCTAGGACATGCTTGATTTTCTATTTTAGAATCTCATTTCTTGTCAGTGAGTGGGCTATTCTGGCAGGGTAACTTTGGATAAGTTTTGTGCGTTTGTTCTCTACGTTATCTTTGTATTTCTTACATATCTACTTAAAGGAGAGTAGAAAATTCCACTTTTTGTGGTTTTAACTATTCCACTTTTTTGTCTTTAACTTATAATGATGACAAGTATTGTATATGGGGTTTTCCCTTGTACAGTGACACCTACGCAAGATTTGCTTACTATGTTCTGTGCCTTTAGTTATTATTTTCCATGCTTTCCCTCTATGACATATATGATTTTAGTAGTTAAGTATTCTTGATTTTGTTATTCTACTATTGTGAAAGTTTCTTCTGTCATATATAGAAGCTATAAAAGTCTGGGCAACAAGACTGTGTAATCTTTACTTGAGCAAGTGGCTTGCTCAATAAATCATCCGAAGCATTGATAGGGATAGTTTCTTGTGGTTTTTCTCATAAATGTGTGCTTATTAGTGGCAGGGGCAGCACCAATTAAGAGGCAGAATGAAAAAAAAAATTGAAATTTACTTTTAAGCCTTCATATAACTTGGTAGCTTTTCTTGTTTCATATTTTGTTGCTTTCTCCCTGTCCCTTGATTTTTTCCATTACTTTGTGTATCAATTTGAGGAGGTCTGAATAAAATTAAAATTTACTTTATTTCTTCTGCTTTTGGGACTAGGCTTTTGATTGAGAAAACTAAGTATAAGCTTTGTCTGAACAGAAGTAGGTGGGCTTGAGATGAGGCTCCTTACAAAATTACATATAATAATAATAACAATAAAAACAAAATTTCAAATGAAAAGCAAAGGATATTTTTCAAAGCTTTAGATAAATATTACATTGGTTATTTTATCCTTCTTTTTTCCAATTAACTTTACTGGAGATTATGCGGGATGTGAATAAATTTGAACGAAGTGCATTGACAATGTAGGATTGGAACCCAAACAAACACTAACTGGATTTTGTGGTTGAAAGAAAATAAAATAGTGGAGAGGTACCGATTGTGTATTCATTGAGGTCTTCAGATTGCCAGAACAGAGATTATGGAATTGTGGACTATCTATTGACTAATGAAACTTCCACACCATAGATTTAACAAGAAGGATGGAGCAAAGCATCTTGTACACATTCAGTGTTCTGCTTTAGCTCTTCTGGAGAGACATAACGAGATGAGTAAAGTTGTCACACTGAAAAGTTTATTTTTCATTGATGATGCATATGTATGCTATGTAGTAGCTGTTCAAATCTAACAGGTTTTGGTTTTTCTCTTGAACTCTAATCAACTTAGTTTGTAGACTAGCCTTCCATGTTAATTGCAATTTATGGAAGAATGCCATACATACGATAACCATTGTATTGTCTGCTAGATGTGTTTCTGTTTTGTCTCGTTATCATATTTGTCTTCTGATCAACCGGTGTCCTTAAAATTTGGGAAGAGTGGATAATAAATACCTTGCCTTACACATCACTGCCTTCTTAAACATAATGCAGATAATAACTAATGTTCAATCTTTGTTTTTGCACTCGAGTGTAGATCTTCCCCCTGACAAGGAGCCATTAGATTGGAACACCAGGATGAAAATTGCTGCTGGAGCGGCAAAAGGATTGGAATACCTTCATGACAAAGCAAATCCTCCCGTCATTTATAGAGACTTCAAATCATCTAATATATTACTTGACGAAGGTTTTCATCCAAAGCTTTCAGACTTTGGGCTTGCAAAGCTTGGTCCTGTTGGAGATAAATCACACGTTTCCACCCGGGTCATGGGAACTTATGGTTACTGTGCTCCTGAATATGCTATGACTGGACAACTGACTGTGAAGTCTGATGTATATAGTTTTGGGGTAGTGTTCTTGGAGCTGATTACTGGCCGCAAAGCTATTGACAGCACCCGGCCCCACGGAGAACAAAACCTTGTCACATGGGTAGTCCTCTAATCTTTCTTTTGTTTATTGTATTAAGAAGTTAGTTTGGCATGCATCAAGTTATGCGAGGTTTTATATGTTTGAGCAGGCACGTCCGCTGTTCAATGACCGCAGGAAGTTTCCGAAGTTAGCAGATCCACAGCTGCAAGGGCGGTATCCCATGCGGGGTCTTTACCAAGCTCTAGCTGTGGCATCAATGTGCATTCAAGAACAGGCAGCAGCACGTCCTCTAATTGGGGATGTGGTGACGGCACTCTCTTTTCTGGCTAACCAAGCATATGACCATAACAATGCTGGGCATGGTTATCGGGGAACCGGGGATGATAAAAGGAACAGAGATGATAAAGGTGGAAGAATATTGAAAAATGATGACGGTGGAGGATCCGGACGCAGATGGGATTTGGAAGGATCTGAGAAAGATGACTCCCCACGTGAAACTGCAAGGATGCTAAACAGGGATCTTGATAGAGAACGAGCCGTTGCTGAAGCCAAGATGTGGGGTGAAAACTGGAGAGAAAAAAGAAGACAAAGTGCCCAGGGCAGTTTTGATGGCTCAAATGCCTAGTCTCCATTGTGCCATTCCCATCACCCCGTTCTGTGTCTTGCCTGCGCCCATGCAATGCCAGATGGATAAATTTTGGGAGCTTCGTACTTCATAAAGCTGCTCTAGGACTGCTCTGCATGACCTTGTTTAGAATTTGTTGCAGTGGCCATTCTGAACTGGGTACCAAAATCTTTTCTAACTTAGCCTTTTATGCACTTTATTTTCCTTTATGTATTTTTCATTTACCTCCTGCACACGGGCATATTGGAGCTGGAGAGTGTACATTGTTCACTACGGCTGGGAGGTCAAGTTATGAGGACTGAAGTTTTTGGAAAATACCGCAGTTTAATATACTTGTTCCAACTCGTTTTAGTAGACTCTCCTTCTAAAATGCGAGAATTCAAGATTCTTTGTAATGTCTTCGTGGTGATCTCAGCAGTTAGCAATGAACTTTTATATAACCACCTTGCAATTGCGTTTAACTTTTTTTAAATAAGTCTCTCAAATTCTCATATAATATTCTTTTTACAAAATAGTTTATCTTATCTTTTATTTAATTTCTTATTTTAGGATAATCAAATAAAGAATGTATGTTATTTATGAAAATTAAATATAAGGTGTGATAATTAGACAAACCAAATAAAATTTTTATAATATTTAAAGGAACCAATTGAAAAACAAAGATCACAAAAAGACATATGATATATATAATTATGAAGGAATTGTTTAAAAAATAAAGATAAATAAAATCTTGGTTAAGCCAATTAAATTTTCAAATTATAGTGTTGACCACAAAATTCATTAAAAAGCCAAGGTGGGTCTAGCTTGTAGACATCACGGCCCATGAATCAGAACACCAGTGGGACATTTTTGTACTTCAAAAGAAACGGTACAAGAGGAGTGGTGTGGCTCATATATCTTTCTCTCCTGATCCGAGGGTTTTGGCGGGAATAGGAGTGAATCGACGGCCATGGCGGAGAGCCACACTCATAACAACGATCCCTACGCCTTCCTATTGGAGCTTTCCCGCATATCAATGTCCCAGGAGAAACTATTGAACCACACTCCTTTTGTCGGAGAAGACACTCTTAACTCACAGGAGACTGAGGATGATGTCCCCCAAGACGTTTTCCACACGCCGCCGGAGGAGTCCTCGCCCCCCTCTTCGGAAGATTTAGGAAGGAATTCCGAGTTAGGGGTTTCGGGGTGCACGCGAGGCAAACGCCAGTTCGATGATTGGGGGGTTTTGAAAAGGGGATTGTCTGATTTAGGTGAGCCGTCGGTGAATAAATCGAAACTTTCGGAACCCAGTTTAGGTTTTGATTCTGACAAATTGGTTGAGGGGAACAGGTCTGTAGAAGCTTCTGGAATGCGTCAGGCACAAGGTCTGCGTGTGTTGCCGCCCTCATTGCGTGGTCGTTTGGAGAATGCGGCAAGCGGGAAGGGTCAGGGCCGGGAGGAAAATCAGATTCCTGTTTTTAATGCATTGAAACTTTTCTCGAAGAATAGTCGTGAAGATGACGATATTCTTGATAGTCTCACTTTGTTCCAAGTTGCAAAGCGTCGTGGTATTACTTTTCCTCGTCCAAGGTGGTGGCCCGACGGGGATAACTTCAACCCACAGGAATAGAATAGTGTAAACAAACCCTTTTTTTGTTTCTTTTGGAACGGAGTTTGGTAGAAATCCACACTTTTTTGCTTTGTAAAAACTTCTGTTGTAATGTCGTGTTTTTTTAAACTCCTTTTAGGCTCGATTTCTTTTTCTTCTGCGAGGAAATGCCGTTTGTTCTTCACTAGATTTCTGCTATGTATGGTTTCGGTTGTCGTTTGTATGTCTCTTGTAATTGTGGCCTAAACCTTGAATGACGATCACTAACCTCGTATTTGCATGCCTTTCTGGCTTATTCTTTATATTTAACTGTATTTTTGCTTTTAGTTCATGAATGGATAACTAGTCTTTGAAAGTTTAAACTCCATTTTTATTTACGTATATTAGTTCGGAACTGAATTTATAATCTTACTTCTAATTGAGTTTTATATGTAAATAAAATAAGTATTGAGAATAAATTACAAGTGAATAATAATTTATGAGGGTAAGATGTCTATTTACCCTAGGTTTTACCAGCAATGCAATACAAAAATGTACAACCTTTTAGGTTTAAGTTCCTAATAACATGTATCTCCCCAATTTTAACTTGAACTTAAACATGACAGATCAATCAATATATACTTAAAGTAAATTTAATTTTGCTTAAGCAAATTATAAATAAAAATAATAAGTAATTCTCGTGTAAAATTTGTTTAAACGAAATTTTTTTCTTTTTCTTTCAGAGGCACAAACATGTTGCCATATTTTTTTCAATTGTTGTTACTTTAATTTTTTGGTGTAAGGGAAAATTCAACCCTTGATACTATAAGATTTGTTTGAGATAATTTGGGATTTGAGAGTAACAGGAAAAAATTAAGAACTTTTTCTACTTTGTAATTTTCTGGATTATGGGTTCTTCTTCTTCGTGAATAGGTGCCTATGGTTTTGGAATTATTCGGTATTATTAATTTTGCTGTAGGTGGATTTTATTGAAGTTAATTGAAATTTTGAACGATAGATAAAGCATATGGTAGTTCAAGTTCCCTATCTCCATTTCTGACAAAGACGTATGAAATGATGCATGATCCTTCCGTGGAATCAATTGTTTTGTGGAGTGTTATTAACAAAAGTTTTATTGTACAGAATGCCCTAGACTTTGTAAGAGATTTGCTACCAAAATTCTTTAAGCACGATAACTTCTCAAGTTTCATTAAGCAGCTCACACATAAGGAAGCAAATTTGATTTTGGTGGTGTTGATGTGACTGCTTGTTTTGTATTAATATGCTTCTCCATTCTATTTTGGTTACTTGAAAAGAGAAATTACCTCTCAACCTCTCCGTAATCACAATTACATGGGTTCAACCTTAAGTTCACAACATGAATCATAATATTACCTCCTCCAATATTGTCACTTCCTCCTTTAGGAGATGTTGATAAAACATTCTTTATAACTAATTCACTATATCCTTGTTCTCATAAAACAAAGAGTAATTTGGCCTATGGCTGTGAGAGAGAAAAAGAGGAAGATTTGCTTGGACGAATTTTATGCGGTTTCTCTTTATTTTTGTATGATTTGCTAAAGCAAATTTCAACTGGATTGTTATGTTTGTTTCAAATTTGAAGAGTACCAAAATCCCAAAATGCATACCTACATCGATTAGTTAAAGTCGAGACTCTTATATAAGGTACATCTACTTTTAGGCAGACAAAGCTCTAAAAATGCAAGTGAAAGTGAGTCCTCAAAATAGGTTTTGCATAGAAGGATGAAGAACATTATGGCAATGGCCATGACAAATAGAGTCATATATATGATAAGAAGGGAACATAACTCAAACCGTATAAAATGACAAAGCATGTAAACGATGTGACTGTATATTTGAGTAAGAAGTAAGAACTGGGGGTAAACAAAGTTAAATGACAGTGCAATAGGGATAGCTAATAAAGAGAGAATGAATGTTCAATGAGAAAAAAATAAATGATGATTTGCAATCTCAAGCAATCTAACATTGGAGAATGAAAGTGATATTTGAATTAGTTTTTCATTATAACTAAAATAATCTCAAACAATTCATTATGACTAACTCAATTTTTTATGGAAATTGTTGTAATCTATTTATTTCATAGATTTATCTCGATGCACAAAATTTTTAAAATATGCCTACATCTTTTTGCAAGACATGCTGCTTGTGTATACATACAGACGCTAATAATAAGCATCGTCCTCGTTCTTAATTTTCTTCCTTGACTACATGTCTCTATCTCATGCACAAGCATACACATTTTGTTTCATCAAAATCACTGGGTCACAATCTCTTATATAAGTGAATCACACTAACATTAGTCAATTACAACAGTTAGAAAGTGAAAATTTTTTATGAAGATTAAATTTCAAATCTTGAATTGTAATTATCTGGAGTGCTCTTTACTTTTTAGTTGTAAGGGTTCCGGTTTATGCGAAATATGAATATTTTCAATGCATCCTAAAGTTTTGGGTGCATAGATTTACCAGATATTATAACAGCAGAATAAAGTGAGTGTGCTTTGAAGAAAACAAGAACCAATATACTTGGGTAATATGTAATGATAAACGGTATACGAACAAAGGGTTCTATGGTGTAGTGGTTAGCACTCTGGACTTTGAATCCAGCGACCTGGGTTCGACTCCCGGTAGGACCTTTCCTTTAAATTTTGTTTTTTCAAATTTTGCTTTCGTTCATTTGATTAATAAAATATAATTGGGTGTGTGTGGTTGCAGTTAGTGCTACGAAGCGCAATGGAAGAGAAATACAAAACCCTGGAAATCGTTGAGAAGATCCCAAAATCAGGTGTGTTCTATCTTATCCTCAATCGTCCTTCACAACGCAACGCTCTTTCGCATGATTTCTTCAGTGAATTTCCGAAAGCCCTGCATGCACTGGATGACAACACCGAGGTCAACGTGATCGTGTTGTCCGGTGCCGGGAACCACTTCTGCTCTGGCATCGATGTCTCCATTTTGGGATCTATCGGTACCAATCCAAGTTCGGGTGAGAGTCTCCGGCGACAGATAATGGCGATGCAAGATTCGGTGACGGCCCTGGAACGATGCCGGAAGGTGGTGATTGCCAGTATAGAGGGAGCTTGCATAGGTGGTGCAATTGATATCGTGACGGCGTGTGACATAAGGATGTGTACGAAGGATGCGTTTTTCTCGGTGAAAGAGGTGGATTTGGCCCTGGCAGCTGATCTTGGAACTCTTCAGAGGTTGCCTCTTATTGTGGGGTTTGGCAACGCCATGGAATTGGCCTTGACTGGTCGTATATTCTCTGGTTTGGAGGCTAAGGAGTTGGGTCTTGTTTCTCGCGCTTTCAATTCCAAACTTGAGCTCCATGATGGCGTCCGTGATGTCGCTCAGGGTATTCATTTTCTTCATGTTTTGCTCCCTTACCTATTTCCACTCTTTTCTCCCCATCTTACTTACTTTATTATATTTTAATACTTTACAGCAATTGCTTCCAAGTCTCCCCTTGCAGTTATTGGCACTAAATCAGTGTTGCTTAAAAGTAGGGACTTAACTGTGGATCAGGGGTTAGATTATGTTGCAACCTTGAATTCTGCCAGATTGTTTTCCAATGACTTATCTGAAGCAGTGATGGCACACATGCAGAAACGGAAGCCACTTTTCTCAAAGCTCTGACTATCAACTCGTTTGCTTCTTACTCGCTTGTTTTTACTATATACTAGTATTTTCGAATTCTAGACCATTATTATTAATATTCATACCACTGGACTAATACATGTGGAGAAATAAAGTGTCTTATTTGACGCATTATTTATACATTGTTCGTTCCAATTATCACCAATTCCTTTAATGGCAATGGGGGAAGACATAAAAGACCCATTACCCTTCTCTTGTGTAAGTTGTTTCCTACTTTCACTGTAACAACAAATGAATTAACCTTCGTCAGGGGTTTGTGGGGATGTAATCTTTGTATTATTATTTTCAGCTTCGTTCATAAGGCTTTCTTACAACCCCCTAGTTTAGTATTAAGCTATCTTAGCTTGCATTCTGCCTTGTAAACGCCTAAAAGGTTTACCCATCTACCAAAAACCAAGATATTTAGTTCATAAGTTTCAGTAGATTGGCAGAGTTTTTTTGGGAGCTAGACATAGGCAGTATCCTCCAATGGAAGTAATATTATTTCAAGTCTTTTTTTTATGCACAAGGTTCAAATTTGATAACATACTTGGAGAGAATCAAACAAATACCGTTTTAATCAATCATTTGTTGGATTTTTTTTTTCTTAATATATCTTTAAAATTTAAATATAATTAATAGTATAGCTATACTTATTAATCTAACTAATATTAAAATAAACAAACACAAACTAACAAAGTAAAGATAAAGTTCATACATAATCGAGGCAATCATAAAACACACACCAGGGATAAGTTGATCAAAACTCAAATTTTCCATCGTAATTAGTATCATCTTCTAATTTTTTTCAAAACATACGAAAGTGCCTAACTTGGATCTGTCTATGATCATCCCTAGCATCAAGCACCTCATTCCAAGCTAAACTAAGTTCACATCTTTTGAAATTTTAGTTGATGCAATATCACTTATTCCATGCATAGGATCCCCTGGGAACTTAATTCCGTTGTTAGTCTTGCTAGAGTATTCATGACCCGTCTTGTCCTATTAACTCAGTCCAGTCCGACTTAAGGTCAATTTTGACAGATTTAAGTTTGAAAAATTAGAGTTAATATGTTTTGAAGACGGCTTCGGATTATATTTGAGGTTGTCCTAGCATGCTCTGGTCGGGTCATTTTTTTAATTATGGTTATTTTAAAACCAAATTACGAGAATATGGAAAATTTGGCAATATTACCTTAATATGATTTTTTATAAAAATCGCAACTAGCGTTTTTATATGTCAGATAAACAAAATTCCATGTTATCAAATGTAAAAATTGCAATTTACGAGTTATAAAAAGTAAAAGTGCAATTACAAAAGTCGCAATGTGCGAGTTTTGACCGAATTAAATTAAAAAAAATTCTAAAATCGCAAATGGCGATATTTGACCATGAAAGAAAGTAAAAATATTACTCTAAACTTGCCCATGGCGACATTTGACCAAGGACAATAGCTTAAAAATAGTAAAAAATTACAACTTGCAATTTTTAAGTGATGAGTCTATAAATACGGAATTTTTTGTAGTCTTCCACCATTTGTGGTTGCATACATATCTCTTCCTAGTTTCTGAGAATTTTGTGTCTTTGTAGAAAGAAAAAATGAGTGTTGTCATTGTTGTTTATTTCAATGGTGAGATTATACCAAATACAAGTGAAGGTGTGATTTTTACATGTGAGAAGCCAACATGTATATATATTCCATACACCGTATCATTTGAAGATTTAAAGTATTGGCTCAGTCAATATATTGAAGTCCCGTTTCTGAAAATAGTAGAAAGTGTTATGTATTGATATCCAATATCGATATTTGGCATTTTTATGCAATATCATATAATTTTTATAACGAACGATGATGATGTTCAACAAATGTTTCAGATACATGAGCAACGTCATCCTCCAAGTGGTACCATTGAGTTGCATGTTGTTTTCAAAAATAATGCAGTTGAAGAAGAATATTTAGGGATCATACTACACACAGAGATAGAATGGGAACAGAATAATAGTAAAAAGTGATGACAATGATTTTGAATGTGAACATGAAAGCGAGGAAAGCCATGAAGATTTTGATGGTGATGATGAGGAGGAGGAGCCTCATCTGGTTGATCTACATTCATATGGAGAGCCACCATTCATGCGTGATTTAAATGTTGATATTATGAATGTTTCTGAGTTCGTAGAGTATGCAAATTTAGGTATGTGTATTTTATAAATATGTCAGTGAAATTAATGATAGTTTTGTTAATTAATTTATGTTTGGTATTGTTAGGTAACATTGAAATAGATAATGAATTATATGTTGGAAGACAATTCAGTGACAAAGAAGTTGTTATTCAAAGGAGTGGATTATAAAGTGTTCGAGTCAGAACTAAATATATTTTATTGCAAATGTGTAAGGTATGACTTAGATTGTAGGTGGCTTCTTCGAGCTAGTTTCAGAAAGAACAAGTATTTTTGGGAAATTCAAAAATATAACGGTCCACACACTTGTACTATTAGAATCATTTTTCAAGATCACAGAAAGTTGGATACAAACACAATTACAAAATGTATAAAGCCATAGGAATCTCCTCATGCTCAGACAATGATGGCTCCAGAGGTAACTGTGGGGATAACCATAGCTAATCCAGTGCATACAATGTGTGTCATGCCCAATATTCATTAGAAGGACAGAAATTCTGAGCTTGGACTCCTTCTAAAATACGTTGATATTGATGCTCTCATATTGTCACCCAATCATGATGAATGACTGTCCAATCCTTTGGTTCTCTTACTCCACATAGATCTATGTTATGGACTCCTTCAAGTTGTTGAGACTGCAGAGGAATAGGCTAGGCATATCTAAATTAAAGCATGACACGGTCAGTTGCATGCCACTATATAATTTCAAAACATATAAGAGGAGAGACAGTAGACCACACTTGTTGTTCATCCTGTGCTTCATCTGGAGTGACGACATCAATTTCATCATTCACGTATGGTGTCCACAAAAACTACAAAAAACAATATTAATTTCTGTTAACACACATTATAGAAAGGTTTGACACTCATATCATCATGTAACATATTAATAACAATTAGTAAAACTGTTTACCTCATTAACACCTATTTGATCCAATGCTAATATAATATTTTGAAGATTCTTAAACGGTGTATTTGTTGGATAGCGCATACATCACAATCTCGGAGCAAGCAAAATACTGTTGGTGAACCCGAGATTGGAGCTAGCCATGGGAGGTGATGTCATGCCCACACCTGCAGTAGTATCAAACACTCATATTTTTTGGACATCATATCTAGAAGCATGATCCAACCCTCTATACAGAGAGGCCAAGCATGTTGATCCCTAACTGTAATTTCCAATTTGATTCACATCGGTCAACAATGGCAAGAATTTTGAATGCACCACTACATTACTTTTATTCGGCCATTCAAGCAAGCAAAGGATATACCCACGAGCATGTTGTTGTAACCTAACGTCTGAATTACAAGGAAGCCAACCAAGGTGTTATAATAACCACGATAATCTAATTTTTTTATCCTTCAATGTCATTTGAATCTAGTCGGCCCTCTATTAAATTATCACACATTTCCTGTGCTACAACAGTAAAAAAAATTTGTAGAACCAATCACTATTACACCATTGATCTTAATTCCAAGTAACATATAAACATCTTGCAATGTAATTGTGTATTCTCCACAAATTAAGTGAAATGTGTATGTTTCAGGCCGCCACAAGTGCATTAATGAGTGAACGATTTATTTGCATTTGACAAAGTTGAGAAATCTGATCAAAACTGACATGCCGTAAAATTTTCATAATTTTTATCTTAGAAGGCATTATTGATAAGTGACGATAACATAACAATCTCATTACCTATTACAAATAATACAAAAAACATTGGTTAACAATAAACCTACATAATTACTATTTAATATGTTATTTATATAAAATGCAATAAATAATTTCTTGAGAACTTAATTTTATTAATTATTCAAGTTACAATTTTGACAAAACTCTATCGACTAATTAGAGAAAATAATATTATTTTCAATCAAAAAATTCAACAATGTTGCTATAATTTATTTTAAATTAATTCTCTTTTTTTATAATAAATTTTGCATGCAAGTTAGTAATTACTAAATAATTCAATTCATTTACAAATTACAATTGATATACAGTTATATTCAATTACTGATTTATAATAGTTTTTACAAATATTACAAAACATACATTCAAAATATCAAAAAAATAATAAATAAAATAAAAAATTACAAAATTTCTACAAAATATACATATTAAATAAATAAAATAATAAAAATTTACATTTTGATTTCAAATTTGCTCTGAAATATGCTTCCTTAAATCAATAGTTGAGTCCCTAACCATTTTTTTTTCAAATTCTAACTTATAAATATAAAAAAATTTGTCAATTTTTTGAAATTTTTTTTTAAATACTCTTTCTCTCTCACCCTACTTCTTCTTCTTCTCTAGAATGCTTCTTCTTCACTTCAAAAATACTCTCTCGTGCATGCAACAAGAATTGGACTTGATATATATAGGCAAAAAAAAATGCATAGAAATTTTAGAGTCTTCCTTACAATAGTTATTTCGCATGCTTGAACAATGTTCAAAACTCGCAAATTGCGAGTTTACAGAGACTTGGTCCTACCACTTCCTGCATGTATGGCATGCATGCCAGGAGGTCAAAACTCACAAGTCGCGAGTTTGCCTTAATTCAAAACTTTAGACAACGCGACATTACCTACAACGACCAGACAACGTGATCAAAAATCGCCATATGCGATTTTCCAGTAAATTTTGACCAATTTCATGTGCTACTGTGCTAAAAAACAACAAATGACATTTTTATAACAGTATCTGCCACTTTCTTTACCATGCCATTTTAGTATTCATGTTAGATCGTTAATTACATTTTTTGAAAAATCATATTGTTGTAAATATACTAAATAAGTCATATTTTTATATTTTATCTTACTGAATCCTATATTAAAATAACTTTCCCTACTTTGGTCATTTGTTCTTTTAAAATTATATTTTTTAAAAATAATTATATACTAATAAGACTTCACGATTTAATATATGATATTTTATATTTTATGATGATATATTTATATTGATATTATTAATTTTGAAATATATAGTGTGAATATATCATAATTTTAGTTATATACTTTATTATTTTTATGATTTAGTTATACTGGTATATTCTTTCAACTATACAATTTAACTCAATTTTATCCCATATACTACGAATTTTGTTCGAGGCGATTTAGGTTAAAAAAATAAATAAAAGTAAACTCATCTCATGTACCCCTCTCTTGAGTAGAGATGGATCTATAACAGGTATGAGTAAGAACGAAAATTAAGAAATTCAAATATACATAAATATTTTAATTGATAAATTACAATATCAATTTTTTTAAAATAACATGAATTGACACTAAATGTTAAAGTTAGTAAAAATGCATCTTTAATAAAAAAAATTACAAATATTTAATCAATTTAACTAATAAATTTACAGTTTTAATAAAGTAGATTAAGTTTGCAATTTTTTTATATTTTAAAAATCAATTAATAATTTATCATACTAGTTTAATTTAATATACAATACATTATTAAGTGTACGTAGTTACTCTTATTTAAAAAATCTCTTTAAGTAATTTTTTTCTTATAGCTATATTAATACTAAATGTATTGCATATGAATTTGTTAAATAAATATAATAATAAACATATAACAGTGACAATAGATACTTTCTTATTTTGTGATCTATTAACAAATCTTGACTACATGCCCTACATGTTTGATTTTAGTTTTTTTTTAATCACATCTCAAATATAGCGAAACCGATATTTCTTTGTCGTGTGTATTTTTACAATCGTATTTTCTATGACAAAAAGAAAGTGTGTGATAAACAAGTGATTAGTTATTTGCGTTGGGCGTTTTTTGGTATCTTAGCTTACTTGAAGATGAAGAGAACACGTTTTGTTGACCAACCTGATGGGTTTGGTTTGTTATTATTTGATGTAAAAGTCCCATTGGTGATGGTCTGGTCTTTTATTCTCGAAACTGCTTTGAAATTATGTGTTGTATTCTGCCATCCATTTGTAAACGGTCAAATATTTCGGGGCACATGGCCCTACATTCTTTGACCGTAGAAATTTCGTTTAACTTATAAGATGTTTCCAATAATATATATATATAATTTGTTATCTAATCATTTTAAAAATTTTGTAATTACATCAATATACAAGTTAGTCAACAAATTCTTTTACAACTTGTTAACGACTCTCTAATTATTGGAACAAGTTAAGAATGGAGTCATTTGAAAAACAATCAAAGTAATAATTTTAAAAAAATTTATCAGAATTTATAATTAATTTTTTATTTTTCTTTTTATAAGATTTTTTAATTAAATCACACAAATTAAAAACCACATTGTTTATTATTAAAAGGTTAAAAGTTTCAATGACAAAAGACAAATAAGTAAAAATAATAATAAATGCTTCCAAAACTTGTTAAATATATATTAAAAATTAAGAAAAATATTTTAAAATTTCTATAAAAATGACTAAAAAAATTAATTAAACATAATTAATTTTAATAAAATTAATTTTGAGTTATTAAATTGATCGAAATATAAGTATAATTTAATTTAAATCACAAATTTCTATTAAAATATTTTTTAATTAAAAATAATGCAAAACTTAATTTTATAGTTATAAATAAAGTAAACAAGCTAGTAACCTTGTGCTACATTTGACTCTCGATGATATTTTATTTTAAATATATAAAAATAATATTGATTAAAAAATGAAATATATTTTATTAAAAAATTAATATAAAAGACGGAAGAAGAAAAAGGAAGAAGGGAAGAAAAAAAAGTTGCGAGCTGCTAAGAAAATGCGGTTGTGTTTTGAAGAAAGAAATTGTTGGATGGGCATTGGAATTTGGAAGTTATGTGACTGAGTTTGGGTGTGGAGACTGAATTTGCAGTTAAGAAAAAGTAATTAATCAGAGAGAGAGAGAGAGAGAGAGAGGGTTTTGATTGATTTGCATATGCATAAGCTTAAGCACGGAGGTAATATGAAGAGATCTCTGAGAAAGTTGGGAGTTGTGGCAGCAGAGAAGCATGAGCGTGAGCGCAGAAACATGCTGCCTTTGGCCCAGTTGGAGGACCTGGCTCAGGCTACCCAGGCAGGCATTGAAATTGAAATTGAAATTGAAATTGTAATTGTAATTGTAATTGTAATTGTAATTCAGATGTTTGTTGTTGCAGGACATGCAAGACATGAGAGACTGCTACGACAGCTTGCTTTCGGCGGCAGCAGCGACGGCCAACAGTGCTTATGGTGCGTTTTTTTTTTTTTTTTTTTAATTTTCATAATAATAATAATAATCTTTCTTACTCTTATTCTCTTTCCCATTATCCATATCTCACAGAATTCTCAGAGTCCTTGGGAGAATTGGGCTCTTGCCTTCTTGAGAAAACCGCCCTCCATGAGGATGAAGAAAGCGGTGCGCTACACATCACACTTCAATCCTTTCCTTTCATAACTAAGAAGTTAGGAACTAACACACATTCTTTCTTAAATGGCAGGAAAAGTCCTCCTAATGCTGGGTAAATTGCAGTTTCAACTCCAGAAGCTCATTGATAATTATGTCAGTCTTCATGCCATCTCTATAACTTCAATCAACAATTTTCTTTTCTAATTAATTTTCCGCATTGCAATTTCAGCGCTCTCATATAACCCAGACAATTACCATTCCCTCAGACTCTCTTATCAATGAACTTCGAATTGTTGAGGTTTGTTCTTATCTCTAACTCCTTTGTTACAATCCTCCAATATCTATTTGCTGGCTAAAATTATCACTTTCTTTATCGCTGTAACTGTATCACCTATGAATAGATTTGTCTCGATGCTTCTATTTCCTCCAAAGAAGATAGGTAGTGAGTTTATTGAATCTGTCATATGTTGCTCTGTCATTCTATGTGCACTATAGGACCTTTTATTATTGTCGTCACTGGTTAACCATTTTTTGCTTCTTCATGTTAAATCAGGAGATGAAGCAGCATTGTGATGAAAAAAGGTTTGGTGTGTTATATTGGCTCTACTTTCTTCTTTGAATGTGATTCCAGTCTTATCATTTTGGTGTCTAATATGCAGAGAAGTATATGAGTCCATGCTAACAAGATATAGAGAAAGTGGTAGGTCTAGAAGTGGAAAAGCAGAGAGTTGTTCCTTGCAGCAGTTGCAAATTGCCCGTGATGAATATGATCAGGAGGCTACATTATTTGTTTTCCGATTGAAATCTCTGAAGCAAGGACAATCGTGGAGTCTTCTAACACAAGCAGCACGCCACCATGCAGCCCAGGTTTTGCTTACTCCCGATGTTTTTTTTTTTTTTTTTTCAGAACTGGGAGTTATTCGTTTTTAATGTTTATTTTCACTGTCTGTGCTCTCCCTTATCCCCCCAAAACAGTTGTGTTTCTTCAAGAAAGCAGTCAAATCTCTTGAGACAATAGAGCCACATGTAAAGTCAGTAACTGAACAGCAACACATTGATTACCACTTCATTGGTCTTGAAGAAGAGGATGAAGACGAAGACAATGATTACAGTCATGATGAGAATGATGATGGAGAGCTGAGTTTTGACTTTGAACAAAATGAACATGAGCAAGATGTTTCTACATCACAAAAGTCAATGAAGGTGACTACCTTACGCAACTAGAAATTGCATATTTCAACCTTATTGAGAAATGCTAAGATGGACATTATGAGTAGGCAATCAATTGGGTTGGGCAAGCAGGTGGTGATGGATGAGTGGATGGCGATGGGAACCTGGGTATATGAGAGCAGAGAAGAAGGATTAGAGTGAGTGAGAACGAGGAAGAAGTATTTGTTATAGAGATCCAAAGAATCAAAGAGAGTATATTCCTCTAAAGGTTTCCCTTTACACCAGAGCAAATGTTCCATTCAACTTGTTTTCCCCAAATTTAACCCCTGGCTCACCTAATCCCCCTAACTGCCTAACATCGTGCTAAACCTCTGGCAGCCTTTTTTATTCCTTCCACTATACCTTCTCCATATCCCCTCCTCCCCTCTCTTTAGTTTCACTCCTGACGAATGGGGTCTTAAATTCTACCATGCTAAAGAGAATATGAGTAAAATCCAAATCGGGGGAAAAGGATTATATTGTTTAGAGGCCAAAATCCATGAGAATCAGGGTTCTCTCATACTCATAGGTTTAAGCAAAGAAACTTTACATCCATCATATTTTTATTTTCAAATATGATTTATTGTTCTATGTGGGAGACTAGGGCTTGTTTGTTTGTTGTTTCTGAGAACTGTATTCAGTTTTAAAAACATAAAAATAATAAAACTTGTTTGTTGACTGAAGTTTTTAGAAAACCCTTTCCAAAATCATCATCTCATTTTCCGTTTTTAAAACCAAAAACAAGAACGTATTTAGTTGTGTTTATTCTTGTTTTCTGTTTCCAAGATCTACCTTATTGTATTAACCAGAAAAAAAAAATAAATCCCCTATTCTAACACCTTGTTGCTGCCCAACACTCCATTGTTGCTGCCACCAAACACTCCGTTGTTGCCATCACTGTCCAGCATGCTGACTGTAGTTCTGAAATTGAGTTCCAACATCACCATCCAACACACACAACCTGGTTGTTATCAGAAAAGAGAGATCTAAAGGAGTTGACTTGTGACTTAGATGTGGACGGTTGCAACTTGGAGTGATTTGATTGGTGGCTATAGTGGGTTGTGTTGGTAAGATTCAGTGGTTGAAGAGGTGGTTTCCTGCAATAAGAGGCAATGGATGTGTGTATTTGTGAATCGGCTGTGGCAGAGATGGATGGGTGAAGGTGTGACACTGATGGAGTTCGTGGCAGGGGCTGTGAATGATAATAAGGTTGTCATTTTAAGAAACCTGTTTGAAAAATATGTTAATAAACAGATTCTTTTTCTTCTCCTTTCTTTAAAACCATTTTATAGAAGACTTTTGAAGAACATAAAAGCAAAACTACAATCAAACAGGCCCTTCTTTTGTCTGTGCACAAGATTCTACAGAAGTTGTTTTATACTAGACTTAAAATTGTGAATATTTTGAATCAGATCCAAATTTTAGGTTTTAAATTTTTGGCTATAAAACAAATTATGTTGGATTTATTACTCTCATTTTGACATGTTGAAACGTGTTTGATTCTCTGCTGTTGGACCTGGTGGAACTTACTTTTCCCAAAGGTTCAACTGTAAAAGCTTGATGGTAAGGAGAAACAAAAACGTTGATTGTTGGGAATTGAGACTGGAAATATTTCATGTGTTAATCTAATATACCCCTGAAGTGGAACCATCTTGATGCATTTGGAAACAAGACTATTTAATTTCCTTCTAATCTAAAGTTTCTGTATTCTGATGAATATGCATGATGAATATCTGTTTTATATGCAGCAAAACTTTGATAGGCTTCGCAGGAATTCATTCTCCTTCAGAGTTAGGTCAGCAAGCCAATCTGCCCCACTTTTTGCTGAGTATAAACTTGATTCTAGTGAAAAGCTGAGACAGATGCGGTCAAGTTTATCACGGAAGTTCAATTCATATGTTCTGCCCACACCAATTGATGCAAAGAGTTCAATACCTTTGAGGGCAAGTAATCAAGTACCTTCCAAAATGAAGACAAATTTAAACGAGCCTATCTTCAATTTGTGGCATTCATCCCCACTGGAGCAAAAGAAATATGAAAAAGTTTTTGCCAGTGGGGTATCTTCTGTTCCTAATGTTAGGAATGCACAGTCTGTACTCAAGGAGAGTAACAGCAATACTGCCCACTCAAGATTTCCACCTCCTTTAATTGATGGTAATTTATCCTCAAATTATGATTTTGTTTCTGCTTACTCTAAAAAGATTAAAAGACATGCCTTTTCTGGTCCATTGGCAAGTAATGCGTGGCCAAACAAGCCTGTCTCAGTAGAAAATGTTCAAATGTTCTCTGGACCTCTTTTACGGACTCCTATTCCACAGCCTCCATCATCATCTCCAAAAGTATCTCCTAGTGCTTATCCCATTCTTGCATCTTCACCTAAAATAAATGAGCTTCATGAACTTCCGAGGCCTCCATCCAGTTCCTCATCCAATTCAAGGCTTTTAGGTTTTGTGGGTTATTCAGGTCCATTGGTGTCCAGAGGTCAAAAGCTTCCTGCTTCAAATAATTTGGTTACATCAAATGCTGCATCTCCATTGCCAATACCTCCTCCAGCCATGGCTCGAAGTTTCTCCATACCTTCTAGTGGTGGTAAAGTCGCAGCTTTACACGAGTCAAGACCACTAGAAGACCCAAATAGATCTACAACATCTGAGGATGTTGCTTCTCCTCGGATGCAAATTTCACTCTCTAGCAGTAAGCCATCATCTGATGGCTGAGACTGTTGCTCAGGCTGTCAGTCAGGAGGTAATATTTAAAATTGAATTGTGTTTAATTTTTATTTCTCTTTTTTGTTTTCATGGTTTAATTAGATATTTGGTATAAATTATTAAATATAATTCGAACTTCATGAATGAATGGTAACACTTTCATCTCAAGTTACCTACCTGGTTTCAAGTGAGAAAAAATGGACACGAGGATTTACATTCAATTCTATAATATTAGTTCTTGTAAAGCCCTGTTGAGATAGAGGACAAACATTTATTAAGTTCTTTCGTTTGACCAAGCTAGTTGACCTCTATACAACAAATTCTAGAAATGTGCATTGACATTGAATATATCTATGATGTAAATGCGTGATTTTTAGGCTATGTTTGGATTGACAGAAAGGATGAAATGAAACGCCATTAGTTTCCATTCCTCTCGTTCGATTCCATTTCGTGCACTTTGCCCATCATCACACATCCAAACATGACCTTAATGAGCTCTCTATACTCAACATGTTATATACAATTTCAAATAATACTTGTAGAAACTTGCTGGATATGTTTTTCCGCATTTGTTCAGTTACAAGTGTAATAGGTGGGCTTTCTATTTTTAATTTGAGGGTATATAATAAAAAATAATATTACCATTGTCAGATAATTTTATTTGAAAAATGCCATATTATTGTTCTTCGTACCGATAATCCTCAAAGGAATTTTGGTTTTAACATCACTTAAAATTTAATTTCTGTTTTCAGGGACGTACATGCTTGTACTAATAATATCTATGGCCCAGGTATGGTACTTTAGAAGATTAATTCCTTTCAAGAATTTAACAGGGCAAGGATCAAATTTTGTTTCTCATAGTTCGGTACAGTTGCAAATCTGTAAATATTCCTTTTATAATTTTTTTTATCTGTCATTCTTATTGTTAATGGCATTTATCTTATTTCATTTAAATAACGGCCCGTAAGGTGTAATTTGAATAAACTTAAAAATAAATACTTATAAGAGGAAAAAAATTAAAAAGTAATGTGAATCAATTTTTTTTATAAGTTAAAATCAATTTGTAGGTCTCAATTTTTGGAGAAGTTAAATGAGTAGGTATTAATAAGTCCTTGGTTTTTATGTTAGCGGTTAAGTTCCTCATTAATAGCTAAAACTTTTCACATTAAAGAATCCAATATAGCAAATAATTGGTAGCTATTGAATGACGCCTCCCTCAATAGTTGACGATTTGGAATTTAATAATTTCAAGTAACAACTCAAGTCGTAATAATAATTTTATTTATTTATTTTTTTGTCAACAATTGCTTGGCTTTTTGTAATATTTTCACATCGCAAGTCGGCAGGAACGGTGTTATAACGGGCTTATGAAATACAAATATAATAAGCACGAAATGCATGCAATGTTGATGGGTACAGCAGAAAGACAAGAATTAAAAGTGTAGAAGCCATTTCAGAAGACAATAATTAAAAACCATAAAAATCAAATTTTGTACCCACACACTAATCTGCATCTTTATCAATTTTTCAACCACAACTTAAGGGTAGAATTAAAAGTGAGTTCAAAAAGACCTCTTTAAATTCAATAATTTAATATCTATGACTTGTAAAACACCTAAAAGTCCTAAAATACGATGACTTTCTCGTGCTAATATGAATGAAGGAGCTTTTTTAAAACATTAAATATATATTTTAAAAGAATATATATATATATATATATATATATATATATATAATTTTATAACTTATAATTTAATTCTTCGTAAAAATTTGCAAAATTTTCCTTTGAACTTGTTTTAAAAATATGAAAAAAGTGTTTAATTTGATTTTTTTATCAATATTAAAATTTTATGTTTTAAAAAATTAGCTTGTCCAGTTTTTATATTATATTTTCAATTTTCATCTTTATTTTAAAATATTTTATTTAATTTAAGATAATAATAAAATATATAATAATTATAAACAATACTTTAAAAAACTTGTTTCAAATATTGAAACTCCTTAACATGCAAAATTTATTAAAAATTAAATTATAAATACTATAACTTTTAAATTTTGTTATAACAAGTTATTTTATAAACTTATTTATAAATTATATAAAATAATAATTCATGTTAGCTGTTATTTAAAAATTTGTCATAGTAATAATTTTATTAACTTATAAATAAGTCATAAAACATACTAACTCATATTAGTAAATTTTTTTAAAATGTCTATTTAATAATATTTTTTTAAAAATCTTACAATTAAATTAAATACTTAATTTTTCTCGTCGTTTATATATTTTACAATTTACTCATGAAAGTTTTAAATCATTTGTAACTTACTCTTTTTTTAAGCTTAGTCTTGTTTTAAGTTTGGATTGTAATATTAAAGTAATTAAATATAAATTCAGACATGTTATAAATTTAATATTTAAATCAAATGAATAAAAAATTAATTTAAATAATTAATTATCTTTTCTTCAATCTAATCTAAATTATTTATTATTAATGTTCCTAAGTACACGAAACGAGACCTATAACATCAACATTTAACTGTATGAAACATGTTGCAGCATTTATTATGCACACAATAATAAAAATAACATTATTTTTCTATTTTTATACATTTTTTGGAAATATAAAATAGAAAAATATTTTTATAATTAAATGTTAAAATAAATTTAAATCAAATCACTTTTTATATCATTTATATTATAACTTAGGAATATGAATAATTCAAGTTATTTGTCAAATCAAACTTTTTTTTGGAATAACATTTATAAAGTTTATAGATAATTTAAAAAAATAACTTATGACGCATACAAAATTTTATTTATTTATTTAGCAAGTGTTATTATCAAATTTATAATATAAATTATTAAATAAATATTTAATTAAAATATACATTTAAATACACTGTATGTAGGTTAGGTCAAAACTTTTAAAAAATATATATATATTTAATAAAAATGTCAAGTTTTATATGACAATGATCACCACCAGTTTAGGCCTTAAATTAAAAAGTTAAATTAGATTTAGACTTTATAAATTCTAACTTGATTTAGTTTATTTTTATATAAAAATAATATACTTTTATTCGTATATAAATTTGAGTCTTCATCTATTCTTACACAAGGAATACTAAAAAGAAATATCTAATAATATACTCTTAATTATTAAGTAAAATTTATTAAAAATTATTAAAATATGTAAGTTCCATTTTTTTATTAATAAATTAATATTTTTTAACATATTTTTGTAGTTTTTAATAAATTTTAGTAAATAATTAAGAATATATTAAAAAAGTGATTTTTCTGGCTTTTCTCTTCTTATATATATATTATTAATTTGAATACATACTTGAACATTTTTGTAATTTATTTTATATATTTAATGTTTTTTATTGTGATTTTTATTTCTTTCAAAATACTATTTTTAAGGTAAATTTTAAATTCTATTTGATTAAGATTTTAAATATCAGTATCTTATATCAAATTAGAAGTATATTTATATTTTAGAATATGATAATGACACTGAACATAAAATTTGGTAAAGCAATACTGTAAATAAGTTTGTATGGAAGTTAAATTTTATCAGCCTAATTATTAAATGTATAATCTTAAATATGTAAATAACATGGCACATTTTGAAATAAAAATGACATGATAAAAGTATTAATAATTTTTATAAATTGTGTAAAATTTGATATAATAAATTTATTTTATAATAATTTTAAAATAAACCATTTGATCGATCATATTTTATTTTAATAAAACACATTAAATATATTATTTTATTAAAATTGACATTATCTGTTAATTGATTTCAATTGGTTATGAATACAAGTATTTGCTACACTTTTTCGGTGACTGTTCAACAAAGATCTAATTCCAATTGTTCCCTGACTAAAATAAAATTGAATACATATCTGGTATTGAAAAAAAATTATTAAAACAAATAGATCTCTTCCTATATATTGTGGATGCGTGTTTTGGGTAGCGGGGGAAAGAGATGTTTGGTGGTTAGGATACCATTTTGGTTCTTGGAAGGAAGAAATACATATAGGAAATGAAATTGGTGCATTTAATTACTATAATGCCATTTGTGATTTAAAAAAAAAAAAAGAAAAGAAAAGAAAAAGAGGAATGTGTGTGAGTGAGGGTGACAGGGGTGGGAGAGATGACCGAATAAATTTGGAAGGGGTGTGAGGTGTGTGGGGGAAGGGAGTAAGAAGATGGAGCGGAAGTGGAGCAGTGAATCTGGTAATCGGAATGGGAATGTGATGTCTTCGCCATCACACTCACGTAACGGCCATGCTCGTTCATCCTCACTCACCCTAAATGCAACTGCAACTGCAACTGCTACTGCTACTGCATCTGCTATGTCAACCATCAAAAGGACTCAGAATGTTGCTGCCAAAGCCGCCGCTCAGCGCCTCGCACAGGTCATGGCTTCTCAGACTGCCGACGAAGACGACGACACCGACGATCTGGGATTTGGCTACACTGCTCCTCCACCCCTCTCTCTCTCCAGGAATGCTCATAGATCTCCATCTCCTGCGGTCCCATTCTTTCCCTTCCTTTTCACATTTTTCATTTATCGATAACTAGCTAACTTGTTCTCTCCTTCTAACTTAATTAGTTAGCTCGGAACCTCGTAGAAGAATCAATGTATCTTCGCCCTGCACCTGCACCTGCACCTGCTCCTGCTCCTGTTAATAAACCACCATTAAGCCTCAGGACTCCACCTCCCGACCCTCCCACTCATATTTATCGGCCCAAAGACAAAAGGTAAACTGTTCTACCGCCGTAATCCCTTCACTTATCATCTTTTTCGCATCATTACTTCGTATCTTTTCTTATAATCAATAGATCCATAAAATGCATAGGCCCTCCCAATTGCTATTGGATTTTGCTACTACATTTTATATGTAAAATCAAATCCATGCCCGCTCAGCTCATTCTTATAATGCAATCGCAATTGGGGAGTCCATTTAAGCTCCTTTCTTCTTTGTATCTAATGGAAAATTTACAGATTTCCGTTTGATACTGGACTCGTTCAACCTAAAGGTTCAGGAGACCAGCGTGAGGCCTCTGCACTTCGTGACGAGGTTAATTACTTTGTTCTGCCAAGTATTGTTTCGACGTTTCTATAAAAGAGCATTCAAAGTGTTATGAATTGAGGACCACGCCCTTTTAAATTCACATGAACAATTTTCTGCTCTCCCTGCAGGTTGATATGCTGCAGGAAGAGAATGAAAGTATTCTCGACAAGGTACTTCGATCATATTTGTTCTTTGACTCTCCCAGTTGTGAATGGACTAACAGCATTTATGAGTATTCAAGTGTTTCTAAATTATCCAGCTCAGACTTGAGGAGGAGAGATGCAAGGAAGCAGAGGCCAGAGTTAGGGAGCTTGAGAAGCAGGTGCTGACTTTTTTCATTTATTGGACTACAGTACACTAGTTTCCACATATTGACTATGGTTTTCTTAATTACAGTCTGCTTGTTCATTGGTTCACACAGCAGGAGTCTAATTTCTACATGCTTACTGCACTGTTCGTTATTAATAATATTTTCCTCTTGCTTTTGATTTGAGAGTCCGTCTAAATTATTGTTGAGCTACCTAGTTTCATTTTTTCCCGGCTAGAATGAGCTGTATTACGGCACCCACTTGGCTATTATAATTTACTATGCTATGCTAGGAGGATGTGGCCATTGGCCTAATGGTCACTGCCTATGCCATTAGGCTAGGAATTTGGATCCCATCCCATTATACCTCAGGCTCAGGTAACCAAAACGAAAAAGAATCACCATGTTTGAAGAGTTCCTTTCTAAAAAATGAAACTTTCCTTTTTTACTTCTGAAATTTTATTACTTCACGACCTTTATGTTTATACATGTATTTGTTAATGAAATTTCTGTCAAGTCTTCAGCTTTTAATCTTTTATCTCTAAGTCTGTAGGTTGCTTCCCTTGGAGAAGGTGTATCTTTGGAAGCCAAACTCTTGAGCAGGTGAGTTAATTGAAGTTGAAACTGTTGCAAATGGGTTCGCCTTTGCTTAGTAGTGTCTTTGACATCCTCGTATTACTCAATTGCAGAAAGGAAGCAGCATTGCGTCAAAGAGAGGTAACGCAGAGCTGTATATTTTACAAACTGTTACATTGTTAATTTATGCTATTTAGAGAATGGAGCTATTATTTAGCAAAATAGTAGGATGTTCCATTTCTTGTTTAGTTCCGTTGCAAGGAAATGCTTCCCAAGACAGCTTTATATCTCACAGGCTGCACTTAAAAATGCCAAAGAATCTAAGGATGGATTTGATAAGGAAATCACTTCTCTACAGGCTGAAATTGAGGTGAATATACCTTTTCTTTTTCAATATTTTTAATGCAGGCTTCCATACATGTTTAATTATTTCCTTTGAAAAAGGATGCAAAAGTTGAGACTGAGGCTGCAGTGAGACTGCTAAATGGAGCTGAATCTGAAGTGAAAGGTCTTCGATCAATGACACAGAGAATGATATTAACTCAGAAAGAAATGGTATATACTTCCTCATTTTTGGGGTCCATTGGTATCTGTTAGTGATTTGGAAAACTTATTATATAGACTTTTTTCTTGCCAGGAAGAAGTTGTTCTAAAGAGGTGTTGGCTTGCTCGTTATTGGGGTTTAGCTGCAAAATATGGTAAGCTACTGTCTGAGTTTCTTTTTCCTTTTCTTTTGGGAGTTGCATCGTGGCATCTCTTCTTTCCTTGACTAACAAGTCATTTTAATATCAATTCATTCAATTGGTTGTGTTAATTACTCCTGATAAAACTTGAATATGTTTTCAGAGCTTTTTATTATCATTTTTTAACCATTTATGTGTGTTTATTTTATTGTAAAACTAATGAGGATGATGATTAGATACTGGACCTGCTTGCATGCTAGGATTTAGCTGCAAAATAAACTAATCTAAAGTATCTTTTTGTTTTTCTTTTGGTGATGGGGTAAAGGAAACTATTGGCAGTGTTGGACTTGGAATACATTACCAGAGCTTTTAAGAATCTGTTTTTCACTCTTCTGTGTATGATTGTATGCTTATATAATTATATTTTGTATGCATTTGGCTGATGTTCCCAAGTGACCGATTTTGTGGCTCACTTATAGCTATCTTCTATCTTGTGTAACTTTTGCAATGGTTTTTATAGGCATCTGTGCAGATGTTGCAGTTTCAAAGTATGAACATTGGTCATCCTTAGCCCCCCTTCCATTTGAGGTTGTTGTTTCTGCAGGACAAAAGGCTAAGGAGGAATGCTGGAATAAAGGCATGAAATTAAGATTTGGATTCTACAGTTCAAATTAGGTTGCCCTGCATAGTAGGACAAATATGTGTTTTGTGTTATATTTTTCTTATAGTGATGATTTTCAATATTTAGTTACATGTATCTGTGAATTCTCCGAAGATAATATTATGATTTTTTAAGCAGGTGATGATGCAACTGAGAAGAGGAACAAAAATATTCCTGACTTGAATGATCTTACTGGAGAAGGAAATATTGAAAGTATGCTTTCAGTTGAAATGGGTTTGAAGGAGCTTGCCTCTTTAAAGGTTTTCCTCAGACATTGGTGGTCTTCCTTTTTTTTTCACAGCATGTTCCTCTATTACAAGAAATTCTTCCATTTAACTTTTTACTATCTTGTTTAAAAATTTTGTATTTGTTACATAGGTTTCTCAATATTCACCGTGCATAAGCAATGCCAATTTTTTTATGTTTCCCTCATTTTTTGTGGTTGTTTTACAAGGTTGAGGATGCTATTGTGCAAGCATTGGCCCAACAGCGGCGTCCAAATCCTGCTCGACAATTAGTATCCGGTATGCATTTCTACTTTCATCACTATTCTTGTTATCCCAAATCATTTACTTCTATGGCTCTATTCTTAGAGAGATAGAAGAGAAGCGCATTAGAAACTTCACACACACACACACACACACACACACACAAGGAGCATGGTAAGTCAAACTCAATCTTATACAATTGAATAATTTTTTATTAAATTTATCCCAAAACCTACTTGCAAATTGCAAGTTTCCTTCATATAAATAATATCTAGAAAATCTTAGATTAATCTAAAATTATTTAATATCTCATTGATATTTATCAAAATTAGCGTAATATATAAAATTAAAAACCTTTTAATTATATTTAATTATTGCTTAATTCTTACAAGGTTTTGACACAAACAGTCGAGGTACTATAAAATTATTATTCAACGGTTGGATTAATATAAAACATGTTCCATATAAAGTTATTGAATATTGTAAGAATGGTAAGTCTTATTGCTGTTGCCACGGACAAGTATTCTCATTGACAAGTAATATAGAGAATATTTAAGACCTTAAAATATCATTCTACAAAGATTATTTGACAAGTACTAAAGATGTCAAAATGTTTATTATTTAGTTAAAGACGTAAAAGATGATGTTTTGAATCAAGATAAAGAAATAAGTAGAGAAGAGAGAAGAAAAATAAAGAAAAACCTAATGTTACCTAATGATAATTATTCTTTAATTGCCAATCGCCTATTATAAACTTATTAACACCTAATGATCATATATTGCCAATATTTTTTTTTCTTAAATTATTATTATTATTAATGATCATGCAAGGTAACAATTAAGAAAACCTGAAAATTCCAAAAAACTTATTAATTTAATGATTGATTGAAAGTAAAAGGATTATGGTTGACCTTCTTAAATCCCAAACCAGAGTTTATCCTATGGTTCTGTTGTTTTATCATAGTACGATCACTAGTCAATCAATTACCTAAAGCCATATCAAGAGTGGGACCAAGATTTATCAAGAGTGCTTCTCTATTAACTTGTTTTATATAGACATTAAATCTGTCAGATAAAAATATTTCTTATGTACTAAACATTTTCTGGACACCTTTGGTCATTTGCCAGATATTAAATCACCTGGGGACCCTAAGTTTATGGAAGCCTTTGGTAAGTTTTCTCCTGCCTACTATTTGCTGAAATAGCTGCGCATTGTCCCTTCCATGCAAATGATAAGTTAAAGGTATGCTAAATAACTTTGTTTTTATGTAGAATTGAGTCCAGAGGAGTCTGAGGATGTTCTTTTCAAGGAGGTATTTTATTATCTCACGATCTGATCTTGCTCTTTATAATTTCTGGCTGCTTAGAATGTCTGTCTATTGCAATATATTTCATTTCTCTTCTATGAGATGACATGCTTTTCTAGATTCTGGATTGCATGGTTCTTTGATTTTAATTTTTGTAAAACATGTACTTTTTTAATGATTTACCTCACCCTTCTAGCCCCTCAACCTTTTCATAAATATTAGTGGCTTGCATCTAGTTTGAATCTGTGACCGGTCCGGTGAAGGTGATGGTTACTCTCATTGTTCTCTCTGAGTCTATCTGTCTGACTAGAATCTCAACCTTCTATTACTGAAACATGCCGTCTAAGTGAGTTTAATCTTCATGGACAGGCTTGGCTGACATATTTTTGGAGGAGAGCCAAGGCTCATGATATAGAGGAGAACATTGCCAAAGAACGTCTTCAATTTTGGATTGGTCGGAGTGGGCATTCACCTACCTCACATGATGCTGTTGACGGTATTGTCTAACATTTTAATTTAATTATTTTGTGATGTATCGATCCAGAAATATGCTAGTTGGTTTAGAAGAAAAATGTTCAATAATGGTGTCACCATTAACATAATTCTTAAAGTGATGTTTGCTACTGATCACATTTAATCATGATGTCATAGTTGAATTTTAACCCCTTATTATGCGCAACGAGTCTCAACCAGTAGGCCTAGAGTCTATGCATCCATGCTTCTTTGTTAATATAATGCATGAACACTTCAGGTAGTGTGTGCAACTTGTTTCGGACACAATATTGCACATCAAAATGCATTCATGCTCTTGCTGTTTATGCCATCTACCACGTACTGAAAACGTGAATAACTCTTCCTTCTCCCTGCTGTTTTCCGCTCATTTAACCCGTTCACATATCGGACTTTTCTTCTATTTGTGCCCGTCTTCACTCACCTGTTTTCCTCGCCTTCTTGCTTATTATTCCCGAGAAAAAAAATTGCATCCAGTTATTTATGTGGATTTTTCAAACACCAGTTGAGCAAGGACTTTCGGAGCTCAGGAAATTGGGGATTGAACATCGACTTTGGGAAGCATCCAGAAAAGAAGTTGATCAGGACTTTACCATTGCACGAAAGTTGACTCCTTGACCTGAAATTTGTGCCTGGCTTCCTTCGAATGGTTCGCTGATTTATGGATATGAATTGTGAATTTCATTTTCCTTCTGGAGACTGTCACCTTCCACTCTGTTCAAGTGACGCTACCGTACTTTTGGCTCTAGGTATGGTAACCTGTTATGACAACTGTAATGAAATTTAGGAACTGATGTAGCTCTAGCTCGCTTGTTTCTCCGCTTTTGATGGTATAAATAATAGTGATAACCTGTCAAAATATTCATCATATAATATCTTACCCCATTAAGATGGGTTCAACAAACTCGAAGTTGAGCATAGTGAGATATAATATGCATAAATTTGTGCTTTTACTTGGAAAAAACTTGCCTGAAGTGAATTTTTTCAAGGTAGATGGCCTCTATTAGGACTGAGTTTAAGGAACAAAAATTAGTCACATTTTATTTTAAAATAAGTATTAATTATACGTTTATAATTTTAATGCAGGGAATGTGTTCATTCTCAATAAAAATTTATTATTTTTAGATACTTAACTCAACTCAAAAAATTAAGTTTATTAATTTTTTTAAAGCTAAGCAAATAATACTGTTATCTTATTAGTGAGTTTTTTACGCATTCATCAGGTATTGTTAAGTTGACATTATTTTTTAAAATAAGGTGTACATATCGTATTAGTGGGTTTAAGGAAGGGTCAAGATGAGGATGAAATCAATGCATACAAAAATTGACAACTTTTTGGTATTAGGGTTCCAAAGACTAAGTTAACATTTAAAAAAAAAAAAGTTATTCCTATGTCACTCAACATCAAGGCCACGTGTCCCTCTGCGTTTTTCTTGGCAGACCAAATGACTAACGGTTGTATACATGAGAAGTTAAATATACAATTTTTTCAGTTTCAGGACTATTTTGATGGATCTTTAAAATGATCGGAACTAAAATGGTCATTTCCTAAGGATAGAATTACGCAAATATATGCTGTTCACTCTAATATGTCCTTACCCAATCCCAGTCTTTAAGCTCGTCACTATAACGTCTGTCTCACGTTCTGCACAGATCAGACGTACACACCTCTGATTGCCATTAGCATCTCACGTTACTCCCTTTGGTCCCTTGCCTCCCTTGCTTGTTAGGTATGGAGCTACTATGCAAGACCTTCCCCATTGCCAAAAAATGATCTAAAAAACTTGACTGCACAGTAACAAGTAGAAGGGAGAAATGTGTGATTTATTTTTAACTAGTGTTTCTTTTATCTACTAAAAAAAATCATTAAAGAACCAAACATACAAATGCATATCTTTTGTACACACCCCACCCGATGATCCTAAATTATAAAAGCGAAATTTATCCAACATGTTTTGGAGGCACAACACCTTGACTAAAATAAACCAATGCAAACAAAACCCTAGCCCAATGCATTGCCGCAAAAGGGCAGGCAATAGAAATACACAACATATTACAAATCCCTGACTGTATACTACCAGTACAGGAGTGCTATTAACTAGGACCAATGTGGCCATTTTAAATTACAAATATTAATACTATTTGCAAATGATGACCAAGGGGCAGGCATTTCAACCTACCACTCTAGCTTATACCCTCAAAACTTGTGACATTACATTACCAAAATAAAAAAAAGGTAACAGCCTTTCAATATATGAAACACAACTTTACATAATCCAGTCTTCCATTCCATATATTATAGAATTTGGAACTCCAGAGATTCTCTGTCATCCATTTGAATCAGACAACAGAGTGAGGACCTCTGTGTCGTTAAAATTTGACTGTACAACAAGCTCAATAGGGTTCCTTCCTATCTTATCCACAACTCTTGAATCAGCTCCCCTGCATTATTAATAATTGCAGTATAACTCAACGAACAAAGACTAAAATATCAAGTATAAAACTGAATGAATGAATAAATCAGCAAACAGTCCATATTACCTTCAACAGTCAAATAAGTAAATGACATTACCAGAGTTCAAGCTAAATTGTTGAAAGAAAAACTTCAACCATTATGCAATGTCAAACTCACCTTGAAAGAAGCAATCTTGCAAATGCAGATCTGCCTTTGAGAATACAGTGATGTAGTGGAGTTTGACCTCTAAAATCAGTTGCATTAATATTTGCACCATACTGTAGCAGGAGCTCCAACATACCAATATCTGCAGTTTCACAAGCAAGGTGAAGTAGGGTGTAACCGTCTAAATTATCTATTGTCTGGCCTTCTTTAATACCCATCAAGTTCAAAGAGCAAGGAAGGGACCAATCCAATGAATTCCCAGTTAATGTAGAACAGTGGTCCTGGCTTGCCTGCCCTTGTAACATTACTTTGGCAAGGGTTAAAGAATTACTGCATGTTTGCTTGTAACCAGCATTAATGTCAATGTCAGAATTAACAAGGTAGCAGTATACAGTTTTTTTGTCGTTAGTATGAACAGCCTCCCAGATCCGTTGTGACACCAAGAAAGAGTATTGACTGTCCTTTCGCTTGTGAACAAAAAGCTTCTCTGCATACTGATTTGAAAAGAAATGGATGAGGCAGTCCGGATTACATCAATTAGAATGTAGCACAAAACACTAGTAAAGAAAATACCCAATTATAGTTAACATGGTAAATGCATCTCAAATTGTTTGAGCTTACAGATTTACAGTCCAAAAAACAAATGAAATTTGAAACTAGAGAAATGCTAAATTGTGTGTCTAAACCAGACCACAAATTACAATGTGTTGGTTACAGTCAAAATTACAACAGTGATTACATCTTAAAGTGTAAATTTCCACAAAAAACTCCAAATTATAAGCTATCAACACTTTGACAACAACTCCAATTTCTAACACCGATTTTATCTGACATATCCAACTGCCAAGAGTGCTAAACAAAAGAAGCTTATACAAGAGAAACACATTATCATACATGTGATGCATCTCTTTAGTACAGGACATAGGAATGCAAAGGGTAAAACCTGTTATTTTACTCTATTTTGATTCCTTCAAGATAAAGTCTCAACCAAATGCTTCTTGTAACAACACTTTAAATTAGTCCAAATTCAAAACCCTGGTCCATCATCCCCTTTCATTTTCACTAAAACTCATCAAAATCCTAAAAGAACACATTTCTCTGTTAGTAAGAGCTGAAAATAAAGGGGGTTCTGCACACCAGCAAATTATAATCATACCTTCGCTTGAATAAATTTTTCCTTTACAGAGAGAGGATCGGATTGGCAAGGTTTTCTGATCAAAAGCATCTGTGATTTATCAGACTTGTTTAAGCTTCACGAGTAGCAGAAGTAAATATCAGATACAATTGGTAAAAAATAATGATCAAATCTAAGGCCAAGATATAACAATGGGGATTGGGAATTCTTTACCCTGAGGGGACAAGATCATCCTGAAAGGAACTCTGCAATTCCAATAGTTCCTCCCAGACTGTGTTGGCATAAGTATTTCCAAGAGATTGAAACAAACTTATCACAGAAGGTTCCCAAACTTTAACGTCCAATGTGACAGACCTGACCTGCAAAAAAAACAAAAAAGTGAGAACAAGCAGCACGCTGAGCAAGCCTCATCACCTAAGTCACCGTTAATACTTATACCTAACAGAGAGAAACAAGGAGATAGGAGAGATAGACCAGGTAATCAGAAACAACAGGGCTGGTCTCAAAAGAAAAGCTAATGATCATTTTCATGGCTTTATAGGAACCCTTTCTAATGAAACAACTTCTCTTACTTTCAACCAACTTTCTTGATGATTTTGGCATTGAAGAAATGTGGAAGATTATCTTAATGCAGGGTTTAATTACTCATTCTAGAGTTTTTGTCCTTTGTCCAGATCATTAAGCCTTGCAATATTACCTTGTCGAATAGTTTGAACCTAAAATGATTAACGTATCACAAGATTAAAAAGAAAACTATATGGAGAAAGTACTGACTTTAAACAACAATTTTCAGGCCTCTTTTCAACCTTTCCCTTTGCAGCAGATTGCATAACTGCCTCTATCATTTTATGTGAACTTCTACCAATGGCTTGTATACCATCTCCATTAGGAGACCCATTAGAGCCGTTTGAAGACCATCTACTCTCTCGATCAATCTGCCGTTTGTACTCTTGCATTCTTTCATTGAGAGCTGCTTGCTCATAGTTGGACCTTTCTCTTGATTGCGGAGCATAAGTCAGGACCTGCAAAAGAAGTACTCTGGAGCTAACCATTTTCACTTTCACTCAGGCTCAACTGTGCCAGCTAACCACCCATGATATACCACTTGATTGTTACTTTATCTATGACATCATTTTCCAAATCTACAAGGAATAAAGCTTTCTAAAGACAGCTGATGACAAACCTGGTTGATATAAGGCTCCATTTGGTGCAACAATTCATACCCCTACATGTGAGATCAATTAAGAGTAAGCCTGTTGTGACAAAAAATGCATCCAAGGTTAATGAAAACAATATAATATACCTGCTTAAAGTAACGAAGATGAGCATCCATGGTCCCACTGACTGCTTCCAAGAATTCAAATCTCTTCTTTGCTTCAATGTTTGACAAGGCAGTAACCTGAACAAAGCCTTTTCAAGTTTATTTGTTGTAAATAAATATCACAGTAATGGTGATTATCTATATATAATTCAGCTCAAATGAATTCACTAACCAGATTAAACCGTGCTTGCTCGAATGCAGATCTTGCATTACGAAGGTCCTGAAACATCTCTCAAATATTTTTTTAACGTAATATGCCAGGGATATTAAAGATGACCAATCACATAAAACAGACAAAAGCCAACCTCTTCTAGGGCAGTGACAACATCACTTTTCGTGCCTTTTCTCAGTGACAGAAACTTTTCACGAGCCTGTATCAATAGTGAATTTAGCAATCAACACTAAACAATTTGATTTTGAACTTTGAAGTTTATAATGCTTCAGAATCTGAAAGAAGCTTGTTCTAGGTATATTATAATATTCAAGATGCTGGGATCTCACATTGATTACAGAATTGGTCAAAGTAAAGCTTATTACTTATTAAGGCTAAGGTAATCCTTTCCTTAAGAGTTAGCTTTCAGGTTTAAGTTAGGCCAAAGCCCAATTCTTTTGTGTCAGCAATAATTTGATTAAAGCCCTATCTGCAGCCATACATCACTTACAACAATCATAATAGAGTGATTCTGCAATGCTACAACCAAAAACCATCACATGATACAACATGCTTGCACAAAAACAACTAAAGAAGAAGGCAAAGGAATATAATAAACAATCCCTAAGCTCCATCGTAGACAAAGTTGTCTTCAAAATCAAAGATCTCCAACTCCAAAGCGAGCATTTAATTTTTCCCTTGTCTTTATCACTTCTTCTTTTTCAGCATAACTGGCTCTGCCAATGCTTCAGATCCACTTAAAGGTGAAGGGACAAGAGGAGGAGGAGATGAAGTTAGGGATGAGAAACAAGGTGGTGGTGGTTGTGTTAGGATTCAATAGCAATGTATGGGACGTGAGTCCCAAATTTAAAGAAAATGGGATTCTAGTTGAGATTTATAACACCATGTCTCTCAATAGTTAACAAGTGATGCGAGTGATGGCGTAGACATTGCAATGGTCCAGGACTAGTTAAGGGACTAATGCATAGCTAGCCTGCATGGACGCGATGGTTGTAGAGCGTGGTGGAATGTTAGAATTCAATTGCAAAGTATGAGACATGAGTCTCACATCAAAAGTATGGGACTAAGTGTGAGTTTTATAAAGCCTTGAGCTCTCTAATTACAATGGCTAATTTTTGTGATATGATTCTCCCAAGGTTCTTATTAGGTGGTGAAGGGAGAAGATGAAAAGAAAAAAAAAAAAAAAAAACACTCACATCAAATATAGAAGAAAACATACCTTAGAGGATAAAGATATCTCCCATGCAGGGAAGAAGCTGCCCAAGGGGAGGCTACATGGAGCTGCTCTTTCTAGGGCCAAAAGCCTAATTTTAAAATGGTATCAAAGCCTATTGTAGACCTAATATTAGGCCACTCTTAACTATAGGAAAAAAAATCAACTTAGCCCTCCATCTTTCCCAGTGCAATTACAAAAAAAAATAAAAAAATCAATCTTATTATGTTCACGCTTTAGATATCCAATCTTGAGCATCAATGAATGTGCTGAGATCACAGATTGACTACAGGTATGGTCAAAGTAGACTTATAAAAGCTAAGGCAATCCTCACTTTACTAGTTAGCTTTTAGAATTGAGTTAGGCCAAAGTCCAAATTTAAGATGAGGTAAAGCAGCAAAAATATATCCAATATAAGAACTTGTGAACAATATATGTTGCCAAGTGTTTTCTTAACTTATGCTTTAGCATAGATGTAAGCTTTGGTTCATCACGGTATTCAAACAAAATTGCTACATCCATAATGTATTCATTGGCTTCATTCTTTGGATGACACATAATCATAGCAAAATTTACAAAGCAGGAGAAACTGAAAAAAAAAGGAATATTTTAGGATTGAGAATGCACCTGGTCATAAATAAGGCAAGCCTTGTCAAAGCGTTTTCGTTCTTCCTGCAATGGGCAAAAATGAAAGGGTCCTTAGAACAGAAACTAAAAGTGGATAAGTATTCACAGAAATTTTTATTTTCAAAAGCAAACGTTAAATTCAATATCCAATCATTGTATGATTATGATCTTCAAACTTCAAAGTATACAATAGCAAATTACAATATTTACACAAGCAACTTTAAATCTTTAGAGAAAAAAGAATTTTTATTAGAGAGAAGGGAAATGTTTCCAACTGAGAAAGGAAATTGTATCCTCCAAAATGGTGCATGTGAAAAAAGGGGAAGACCAAAGGAAAGAAAGAACTAATAATACAGCTGCAAGTCTGAGGTGGATAACCCTATAAACAACCAAGAGTTGAGCACCCAAGAGAGGGTAAAAGAACAATCTTGTACCATTGTAGATTTAACATTAATGATACATCCTTAAAATACTTGAAATCTGCTCCAAACAGGTGCATCAAATTTCTGCAACATGAAGGGTACAAAGAGTGATGCTGAGGGTAAAATAGCAATGTGGAATATGAAGAAGGTAAGCAAACAGATTGCATGGTTTTTAAAACAAATCTAGAAATGTAAAATAAAACCTATATTTGAGTTGAAAGAGAAAGATGCCCACATTTTTCTTTGTTGCAAATCTTCACATAGCTAGTCCCAAGCCCAAAGAAAAGGTGAGGGTTGTGTTAGGTGATTGATAGCTAGCATAAAACTTTTTTTTGAATCTCTATGAAATGGATCAATGAGGAAATAATGTTTATGCTAATTCATTTCTAGAAGCCATGCACTGTATGGCTAGAGTACAGTGTCTAAAGAGTGAGCCATTGCATCGCTGCCCAGACGTAGTGGAAAAAAAAAGGGTTTCCACATCTCATGAATGGGTGTGGGTAAAGACAATAGTTGACTGGAGGAGGATTTGTTTTGGAACAAGGAATGTCCGGATAGAGGTTCATTTTATGTGACTACAAGAAACTAAGTTGCAGTACACTAGAACAATCAAATTTAGAAATGTGAAAGGTATAATTGTTGATGAGTATTGGAAGAGTCATATTGCAGACGTAGAAAGGTTATGAGATACAATCATATAGAAGTTTCTAGTAGAAGGGCAGTCTTTTAATGTGATAAAAACTTATGCACCTTAGGTAGGGTAGGGGTGTTCAAAATAACATTTAATTTTCTATTGTCCTAAAGATGATAATAGGATATTTTAATTAGCTGTTGATACTCGATAACAGTAAAATTCACAAAAAAGAAAAAGTCATGTGAGGCTCATTCATTGCTGCTGATTACTACTAAGAGGTTTGTTTACATTAATGAACTAAAGTGTACACAATTTTTTCTCTCAGGGGAGAGAAGCGTAGTTTTTCAAACAGAAAGAAAGGTAATGTAATGTAAGCATCTTTCAAGGGAAAGGAGTGTAATTTACCCAAGTATAATTTTTACACTTCCATCATCTTTCCCTCTCATCTTGCCTCTCAACAACATGCAGATAATTGATAAGAATCTTTAATGTTGAGAAGAAAAAAAAAGCACAATGTGTGTATGTATAAAGAACCAAAAATTTGACAAGCTTCTACAGTAGTGGCATTCATCTATTACTTTTTTCGCACATTCTAACAAAAATGGGAATACAATACCCTTTACACAAGGGTACCATTGATGTGTGTATATATAACATATTATTCAAAGAAAAACAATATCCAAATATTGCATAATCATGCATTTTATTTAGATTTTTTTTTTTAGTTCAGATAACTACTGTGTTTTATGGTTTAAATGTAAATTAACAGCTAGAAGTAAATTAAAAAGCAAATTGGAGCTTAAAAGAGAGGAATTTGAACTCCCAAAAGATTCTACTGGATGTCAATGGAGTTGCCCATGATTGTAAAATAAGCACATGAAGAGAGGAAATCATTATTGATGACCAAAAAGTTCCATTGACAACTAATGGAACTCACCACGAGTGTGGATCATGTTGTTAGGGACTAAAATTTAGGTTCTCAGTGGCAAAGAGTTCAGCTAGTGGAACTCCCCAAGCTCGTGGTTTGAGCCCCATGTATGCTGACCTCACATTTTATATCAATTTTAAGTGGTTTAAAAGGATTTTTAACACCTTTAGTGTAAATAGAAAAGTAAGGGCTGGAGAAGAATCATCCGAGAAACTTGAAAATGTCAATGCGACATTGAAGACTTCTTGGAGTGCGATTCTAAAAGGATCACTATGAGATTTACAAGAGCAGCATACTTCACAGAGCAAAGACTAAAATACTTCAAAAGGTTTGAGAGTAGCCCAAATTAGGATTAATGATGATGTAAGGAATCTATTATAATCTTTTGCTAATCTTAATTTCTTGGTTCAATACATAATGTTTTCAATGCTTGTGAAGTTGTTAAGCTCCTGATTTACATGATTTTAAGATATTAAAGGAAGAATTGAAAAGTGAACATTATCGTTAGAAACTCCAAAATTGAAGCTAAAATTGTAGACTATAAAAGTAGACTAGATTTCTTGAGAAATTATTGAATTATCATAAAATTTAGTGAGTTTAATTGGATATAATTTTTAGAAAAGTAGAAGTTAGTCTAATTAAATACAATATTGTATTCTTACAGGAAACAATCATCTCAAAGCTGTGAAGCACGGGTACAAAATTTTTTCTTGAGTACCGGGTATGCCGTAGGTGCATGTGGGTACTTACAAGGTACATACCCAAAAAATTTGCAAAAAACAAAAATTGGGGTACAAGAAGTGAATACAATGGGGTATGGCTTAGGTACAACCATTCAAAATTTTTAAACTAAAAATTATTGTTTCAGGTTTTCGCTTGGGCCCAAAATATCTAACCCAGTTGGGTCTATTCCTCCCCTCCACATACCCGTTCGGCCATGCCCTACCGGTCGTCCCTTAGTCCCACTCCCATTCACTAATGTGCTACTTCCCTCCTTCCATCTCAAACCTCAACCTTCATCCCCCATCGGCAAGCAGCGAATGACAACTACAACTTGGGCAGCAACAACTCCAGTGAGCGAAGGCTAGCAGCAGCAAGCAAGAGTAACTTTGAAGCGGCAACAACTGTGGTGGCGACCATCTCCGGCAAGCAACAAACAGCAGCTCACTCTTTGTGGACAAATTTATGCCCATTTTATGTTAAACCATATATGATATGATTAAATTTGTGTGCTAATTTTTTTATATTTTATTTTGTATAATTTTAGGTGTGTATATATATATATATATATATATATATATATAATTTTATTTTTTTAATCGACGTACCCGTCTCTTACCCAGTACAGGTACTGTACATGTATCCTTGCAACCCACCTTTAAAATAAATCAAGAATTAAAAAAAGAATTATCTCCATTAAGTTCATCAATTTTAATTTGCGGTGAAAGTAATCTCAATTTTTTTAGAATTTGAATTCATTAATTTTAGAGTAATTGCGTTTTAAATTTTTTTGCATTTCTCTATTTCATTTTATTAATTGGTTGTGTTTAAATAGTTATGTTGCAATTAATCGGAATTTAATTGCACAATCCTTGTGAAGTGATAACTCTTTATATAACTACACAATAATAGTGTACTTGCAGCTCTATCAACTATATACTCATAGAATTCTATTCCAATTCTCCCTTTCCAAAAAAAATAAAAATTAAAGGTTTATTAAAAGAAATCTGAAAAAGTAGTTTAAAACCATTGTTGATGCAAAGCCTATCATTTTAAAGATAAGCATGCATTATTTTTTAACACATCTAAATAGGGTAAAAAGAACATATCATGAGAAAGAAATAGTACCTTAACCTCTTGCAAATCAATATTGACAAACTGAAAAAATCTGTCATTTAACATATGCTCAACCTGAAAGGAAGAAAGCAATCTATCTATGTCAACAGTATAGCAGACTTTATTGTCTTTGAAAACAAATAGTAATTCAGCTGTCCCATTGAACTTATATAATGGGCAAAATCCAGAAAATTCAGGATGATTCTTCCAAATAGCAAATGGCTAAAAGTAATGATAGGAATCACTTCCAAACTTTAAGCTTTTACCTGTGGTGTTGGCAGTAGATCTTAATTACTTATGACTTAACCTTTTTTTCCCCTCTTTGAACTAAAAGTAATTTTAAAAGCAAAAAAGATAAAAGAAATATAGGAGTCTGGCAACAAAAAATAGATTAAGAAGCATTTACACCACAATCTTATACCTGGGAGCGAAGGACTTCCTTGTATGTCCCAATTTCTCTCAAGGCTATGGTGAATTTGGTCATAACAGGGCCTGAAGTATGGGAAGAAACACAATCAATAAAGCCTGAAATCATGTATTTTTTAGAAACAAATATAACATGCAAGATTAAAATAAAATCATGAAGTCAAATAATACCAACTCCCAAGTACAATACCCTTGAAATACGGATAAACCACGCAAGCATATTATCTCAAGAAGAATTTTAAATTGTTGAATTAAAGGGTAAAACATGATCAAGTTTTAAGAGCACAAATCAGTATTAATTACCAGAAGAAACAAAGAGCCTTTCCATATATGGTCAGAAGTTTGATGTCCCAAATATAAAAAAATTGACATACCCCCAAAAGCCACACTCATAGGGTCATTGTGCCCTCCACCAAATGTTTCCAGGGAACTAGCAGATGCGATGTCTCCATCATATGCCTCCCCAAGTCTTTCGCTGTAAGGTACAATAGTGCACGCAATTATTAGACTCAGTCACAAGAACAATATATAATATCTATCATCTTCAAAATCAATATGCAAGGCATTATCAATTTATCATGACCAGTGAAACTTTTAAAGAAAATTATGAAAATGGAAATAAACCCACTAACTCTTCTTTGGATGATGGATGAATACTGGTTGTTTTATCATAATAAAAGTGGCCCAACAAAAATAAAATAGAAATTTAAAGAGACACCCTCCTTGAGATATATAGTAACAGAACACTATTAAAACTTTTTTCCTTTTACTAAAAAACAAAATCATATTTATTTCATTTTAAATTTTCCAACATAATATTTCATCAATAATTTTGAAAAAAATCCTATAAGTTAGAAATGAGAGGGTATTTTTGAAAGGAAAAGCTCCAAAGAATAGTTAACAATTAATAAAATTAACTAACTAACAATGAGCAATTGGGGATAGGATTGTGTTAAGGGTTGCTATAATTAGCCTTAAGGTTAGCTTAAGCCTAACTCAACCTTAAAAGTTAACTCGCAAGGTGAAGATTGTCTTAATCTTATTAAACTTCAAGTTTTTTTGGCCTCTACCTCAGATTTTTTTTTCTTTTATTACCAGAGTTTGTGCTCCTTTTTTTACTTGAATTTTTTTGTAATGTAGTAGGTCCTTTTTTTTTTTCTTGACCATTTTTTTATTTTTTATTTCTTTGAGCTTTTTCATTTTTTTGTTCTTGGATCTGAGCTTTAATACCATATTAGGATTTCAATACAGAAGTGGATATGCTTAAGCTTGAGATGTCTACTTCTCTAAAATGCCTTAGGCAATTTTAAAGGTCCTCTAACTTATATACTATTTGATATGTTGTTAACCCATCAATGTAAGACTTTATGTCTTAACACCAGTATTTCAACACTGCATACTGCACATCATCAAAGACAACACCTCCTCTAGGGATTTGTGGGACGTCAACCCAACCAAGACTATACAGTTGTCAGAGAAGCTTACCGCTTGCAACTTCTTCTTGTCATGAGCTCCTTGCAGCAAATAAATCATTGTTGACAACTCACATTCGTCCAACTCTTGGCAGTATTTGGGAACATATAGCAATATTCTAATATCTCAGGTCATGGAGGCAGTTGTCATGCCCATGTCCTTTGGGTTAGGAGCCAGTGATTCAATTGAGGGCTTGGAGACTTGGAGGCAGTGGCACAGCTGCACAAGCCGCAGTCAAACTGTCGGTTTTTTTCTTTTTCTTTTATTTCTCCAATTTTTATGGTTCTTGACTCGTTTAGTTTTCTTCTTATTCTGAACCAAATATGACTCGTTCAGTTTTCTTCTTATTCTGAACCAAATAGTGGTCCAATTCCTGGTTGAGTTGGTTGAACTGGACTGTCCAGTCCAGTTTTGATAACCAACAACCAAGCTTTATCAAAATATATCTTTTAATAACTTCATCTAAAATTCTTTTGGGTCTCCCTTGACCCCTTTTTACCAGACTAAGAGTCATGCAATATACTCTCTTTAGTACCTCTAAAAGTCTTCTTTACATATGACCAAACCACCATGATTTTATTTTATTTTTTCAGATTAAATATTTTCTAATATTTTATGATTTGTTTCCTTATTTAATTAGGATCATTGGTACAAACCATGAATTGCAATATCATCACAAAGATGCTTCTTCAGAAACAAGCATAAGAGATATGAACATTTTCTCAAAGATTTATGGCTATTAATCAACAGTCATTGATAATAATGATATGAGTAAAGCAAAGTACATACGTGTATTTCTACACCCTTTGTAAAATTTTAAGCTTCTCTCTCTTAAAAATTCAGCACTTTCCTCCAGGCATTGTATCTGCTTCACCAAAGAATTCATAAGCCACAATGTTAGCATATATTAAGTTGATGAAGACAAAAAGACCTATCAAAGTGACAATCGAAGACAACAACTGCATTGCATAAAACTTCAGAAACAAAGTAGAAGAAGGATTTTATGACTGGATAGGTAGATAGAAGGCAAAAGGACAACTTTGTTGAATGTTGGGCAGCACAATGACAAAATATCAATATATCACACGAATCACGTCATATACCGAAAATTGTCTGAAAATAAGGAAGAAGCAAAAAAATATTTGAAGTCAGGTGAATAAAGATAGCAACGAAGTTGTGAAAATGGGATTAGAAATCACTCTTGAAGGTAAAACAAATAGAAAGCAATCGTTGTGCAAAGAAGTGGAAGTAGAGCGGAAGAGACCTGCTTGCTGAACATAGGAGAGTCATCAAGCTTTGTGAATGGCATTTTGATGGGAGACAAGGAAATTTGTGTGTTCTTTATGACTAGGTATGATTCAGCGATGCATCACTGTACCAAAATCAATTAAATGAAGTAACAACGAAGGAAGAATTCCTTGAACTGAGATCTCACATTTTACTCTTTTGTCCATTAATCAAGAATGAATCCAACACCATCAGCTCTGCTACAAGATTCTAGAATCATCGACAACGGAAGAGCATTTGTATAAATATCGCGGCCCTCGACCTCCCAAGTTTTCCTTTGCTTGTTTTTGCCTGTCTGCCTGATTTCCTCTCAAAACCCCGAGAAAGAAGACCAAAAACAAAAGCCCTGGGAACGAAGCCCAGCACCAGACACAGACAAAAATCTTTGATTATTTTACACCACATGGCTGGTCGCATTACCCCGATTCTTGTTTACTGTCTTGGGAAGGGCAGTGCATTTCTGTCTTGCTTTTTTTTTCTTTTCACTGTTGAAACTTGAAAGGACTGCTACTCGAGTCCCAAGGCTATTTATTTATGTACACGTGTGCCGATTAAATTTCACTTAGTGGACGAGGTCTATTTGTTTATATATATATATAGAGAGAGTAAAATCTTTGTTAGTGTGTTATCAAAATATTTTTTTTTATTTTATAATAATTATATAGTATTTTTTAAGACTTAGTTTATTTTTAATTTTCTAATTTTACTTTTTTTAAGTTTAATTATTCATATTTATTTTTATAATTTTTAATTATTTAAATTAAATTTCTAATTCTAAATTTTGTCTAAACAAAAAACATAATAAAATATAACTAGCATGAATTTTTTTATATTTTTTTCTAATCTTTTATATTTTTTTAAATTTTAAATATTAAATAATTTGTAATAAATTTTTATTAAAATTTAATTTCTCTCACGTATTAAGAAAGGTAATATTTACTCCTGTCATCAATTCTACTACTATTAAGTGCTGATCAGTTCAACACTTTTATGGGGTTGTTATATTATTTAATTTTATAATATTTTATTATTTATAAATAAGGCTTAAATATTATTAAATATTTTTTTAAAAAAAGTCTTATGTCTTCTCTTCCTCAACCTCTATGGCTCCACCTTCACTTCCCTCGATCTCAAACTCTCGTTTTTAGTTTTCAGTATCAAAAATCCTTTCTCCACTTTTATCCGACATATGAACAGTTTTCCCATTCAATAACTTGATCCACAAGTTCGTTCTTTTTTGTTTCTTAAAGTTCTTTTGATTTTTTCGTTTTTAATATGAATCCATAGATGTTGTGTGAGTTGGACTCTGCAATATATTTTTCACGTTTATATTTAGTTTTTTTTTTTTTTTCGTAATCATGGAAGATTCACGGTACGACTACTTGAAATTGTTAGGTTAGCCTCGAGTATCTTGCATGTTGCCACCTGATCTAGGATTGATGGGTCAAAGATGTCCCCTTCAGAACAACATTTTTTATTCTTTAATTAATAACAGCAGTACAATAGAAGTCACCTTTACTTAGCTTCCTAGTCCAAATATATTGCTGCAACTTACTTTTCAAACTGTTGTGATTTATGTGTTTACTTACCCTAACCCAGAATTTGTCCAATCCAAAAAGTAAACAGAAATGCACTTCACATGTTCGATGAAATGCAAAAGCTTGGTAGGAGCTTGAGTTTGAGGTCTTGCAACGCATCTTGCACATTGTTGTAAGGGGAGTGTGAATGCTGTTGTGGGGTTTGTCAAGAAGATGGAGAAAATGGGCTTTGAGATGGTGAGGGTGGGGTTGAAGATGAATGTGTTTCTTTATAATGGAGTTCGCAAGTGATGAAAGAGCGTATGGATATAGATTTGCAAGCAAAAAAAAGTAATGGACTTCTTTATTTTGAGAAAGATACTCTCTTCCTTGGTTGGAACCTGCATGCGAGTGGAGGAAGAAAAGTTGAAGTGGCGGTGGGAGTGGGTGGTGCGCAAAAGTGACTCTCTATCAAAGCACCTGCGGTGGGCTAAGCGCAAGGAGTCTTAGAGTCTCGATACTGGCTAACGGAAAAAGAACGGCGAACAAGTAGTTGTTCTACAACCCCCAGAACTGTACGCAGCGCTTTTCAAAACAAAAACAAGAAGTGGTTTGTTTTTTCTAAGTCGCTCTGCGAAAACGGTTTTCTGTCTACGAGCGCCTGTCTGCCTTCACGAACGTCTAGTAACTCACTAGCCCTAAACCGTAACTGAAACACTCTCTTCTCCAACCAAAGCCGCCATCCAGATTCAGAAGCGGAAGCGGAAAGAGTTTACTGAAGAGGCTTTCATCTACGGCCTCCCTAATTTATGCTATCTTCGTTTCATTAGGGAAGTAGCCTAGCTCAGCTGGAGGAACCTCCTAATGGAAATAGAGTACTCTCATTAAAGCAGGGTATGAACAAAGATTTTTATGCAAATAATTAAAGTCGTTATTTGACTTATTTATAAATATTTATTTAAAAAATAAAATATTATAAAATTAAATTATGTAGCCCTGATGTGAAAATATATATACACCTAGGTAAAAATATTTAAGAAATAAGTAAATTTTGTTATATTATTGCTGTATTTTACTAAATTTGTGTTATGTGTCATCTCTCTACAAGTTATGCTATTTTATGATAAAATTATAATAAAATTCATTCACAGTAACATTTGTTATCATCAAAAAGTTACGTGCTATTTACAATAACATGTGTCATTATTATAAAATTACGCGCGTTATTTATAGTGATATGTGTCAATTCTTTTTAAGTTATATCACTTTTATGACGTGTCACCATCATGTGACAAAATTATAAAAATGGTGACACGTGACAAGTTATGCTTATTTCATTTTTTTTTTGGCAAAATTTATTTTAAAAAAATTAAAATTCAACGATTTCGCACTCATATTAGCAAAAAAAAATTTTATTAGTACAAATTCACTCTAAAACAGATAAATAGTTAAAAAAACATTAAATAAAGAATTTATTTTTTAATTTAAATTATTTAAATAAGAAAGCCCAGCTAGAGAGAGGGAGATGGCATCATTACTCCCCATAGAAAGAAAGATTCGCATAACCCCATCCCCATGCACATTAATAATGGCAGTAAGACAGAGGGAGAGCAAGAGCCGCAGTCCAAATGTGTGTACAAAATCCTAAATTGGCAGCACAAAAATATGGCATGTCTAGAAAGGAAAACAAACGTGAAAAAAGTGTGAAGACATCCCGAGATAAATAACAGAAACCACTATTATCTACAGGATTCCAAATGTTATGTACACTGTATTCTGATTGTTCTTGCACTACAATTTATCAGCGATTCTCCCTAGAGCATCTGCAAGCTTATCAAGCACTGCAACCAAGTTACTTGCATGGTCTTTCCGCTGTTCGCGGTCCAGCTGGAAATTTATGTTTTGAGCTTCAAGTCGAGAACTTAGCATCTTGCCGTTTCTTTCTAAGACATCAATTAGCTGATATTGCAAAGTTTCCTCCTCTCCATCAGTTGCTAGCCGCTTCCTTTTCCGCTCTCCTTGAGATGTGGAACCCATTTCTGGATTTGAAGTAGGCTGTTTCTCGTTACTCACACCTATAGAATCAAAAGAATGTTTAAACAAGTTAAATGTCTAATCACCCATCACTTAAATCCTCAACACAGTAATTGTTAGACCAGCACCTTTGGTCATATGTCTACTACAAGAAGCCACAGTCACAGCTAAAGCTAAAAGTTTTAAATTGCATAATCAGTGCTTGTGGCTGAGAGGCAGTTATCTTAAAATCCCAATCTATTACATGGAGCTCTAAGAATGATTTTTATCGAATAATTTGCTGTTTATGAATAATATGCTCTTGAAACATGAATAGTAAAAGAGTTACTCATGCCGTGTGAAGTATGTGTCATGGCCAAATTTGTTATCCAATGACTTGTGGAGAATACAGAGAGCACGAGGACTTGTAAGTAGCATTACTTATCTGAATATACAAGGTATCATTTACTCACATGTAAGGAACTTCAATCTAATTCATATTTTACAGATGTATGATTTATACACGAACTTTCAAACAATTTCAAGTAAGCAGTCACACGGATGACCCTGTCCTTCAATCCGAATTCCCATAAACAGTGTGTCAAGGTGACACGGGTGATTGAAACTTAGTACAAGAAATATTTATACATTGGGAATATTGAAATTCCAAATACAATAACTGAAAATGGATGCAATGAGCAAACAATTTACCAACTTTACTCTCAGGCTGCAGCAGGACGCAGCAATAGAAACATAAGGTTTGATATAAATATTGAACAAGGTAGCATGCTGCCACCATAAGGATTTTGGGGATTAAAGGTCTAAAAGATCCATGTTCACCATATTTTGAATATAAGGAGCTTTCGTATTTTTGGGCTAGCCATCTTGTCATTAACTGCAGTTTAACTAAATAGAACAGGCATTATCATTAAGTTTAGAGCCCATTACATGAAAATTGGTGCAGTGTTACACGCTTCACTGGTACGGGGTTAGGGGCGAGGTTGAGATTTCACTGCCCTTTTTAGAATTTAAAAATTCCCAATTGGATATAGTTTCACACACTTTTATCTACCGTGCATCACCCACATTGTTCAACACTTCGACAAAAAAACACACATCTCCGACAGTATTTCTGGGGACACCATGACACCCGCCTTCCATTCTTTTCTCTACTTTGAAGTTTGAACTATGAAACACCATTATTCTTAACTGAGTCTCTGAAACCTCAATCTCCCCAGCTCTTTTCTCTGTAACACTACCCTCACTTTTTATTGAAAGTTTAAGATGTCTTGTTTTTGAAATATGAATATGCCTTTAAATTTTGTTTGTTAAATGTTTCCTTGACTTTTATTGTTATTACTTGTATGCTTTGTTTAAAATGTATGACCTTTTATAGTTAATTATGAATATGCCATGAATGCTTTTTTTTTTTTTTAGCTTTTTAGCATTTATATGTATACAGTGTTTCAGAATAAAAGTCATCGCACGTTACGCTGTACCACGATATGGTTAGGTGAGAAAGCTATCTTCCGAACAGAACAAAGGAGCTCAAGCGAATAAAAAAAAAAGTTTAATTGAATATAGTGGTAGAGCTATCAGCTATTACTAGGCATATGATTTGAGTATTAACTCTTGAGTGGACACGTGTGAAATTTGGCAGATGAATATTTTGTTGAGTTGAGCAATGAGCATTACCTTGACCTTGGCAGGCACGGAGGAGGGGTTGATATTGCTTCTCTGGAAATCAGAATAATGAGACAGACAATGTGGCAGAAACTAGACAGTAGTAGTAGTGCAGTGCAGAAAAGGCAGAAAGAATGAAATGGGAAAACAGTGAATGTCCTTGCATAGTGAAGAAAGCAATGAAAAATGAACCTGAGATAGGAATGGGAGAAGGAATAGGAATGTCCTTCTTATCGGGAGTGGCACCCACTTCTTCTTGTTCAAAGTCGGAGAACAAGCCATCGTCACCAGCGGTGTTGCGATTACTGTCGTAGAGGTGTGGCTCCTCAGCTTTGCTGTCCTTGTCTTTGATGTCCTTGTCTTTGTTGTCATTGGGCGATGAAAGAGATAGAGCTAAAGCGGGAAGTTGCGAGGCAGTGCCTGAGTCTAGAATATCATAGACCTCCTTGTCGAAAAATCCGGGCAATTTCCTCTCTCTCCTTAAATCGTTTCTCATGACCCAAAAGGATTCCGACTCCTCCCTTATGTGAGACTCCCATTCTTTGATCTTCTTGTAGTCTCCGGCCAAATTGCTCCACCTTTTCCGGCACTGAACTGGACCCCTGTTCACTCCGTGCTTTCTGCAGTAAGAAGAGACGGATGCCCATTTAGGCTCCACCTGACCCGACCCGAATGCCAATCCGGCTGTGCGACCCCTCCTAAACTTATTCTCTGCGTCTCTCTTTCCCTGTATCAGAACCAGAATCTCTTGTCTTGTCCACCGAGGCAGTCTCGGCGCTTTCCCTCCCTCATCTCCGCCCTCCGCCCTACCATCCACGCCGTTGCTCTTTCCGTCTGCTTCGCCCTCACCTGGGTTTCTATTCTGTCCCAACGATAATTGCTCCTCTATGCCCATCTTTTTCCAGCCAGGCCACGTGACTCCTACTCACGGCGCTTTTCGGATGTCCGTTACGCCGTTTAGGAGAGAGATGGTCACCTCATCTTTCTCCGTAAGCACCAGGCACAGAAATGGAGGAGAGAAACGGGTTTTGCTTTTCCGCCTTTTCTAATTATTATTTTCAATCTTTTACTGCCCTTATTATACACTAAACAGCTTATTCACCCTTAACCCCCAACTAGAAGCTTATTGACCCTTAACCCCTTAATAAGGCTTTCTGTTTATATTATTTATTGCGTTGTACTATAAATATTATTAAATTTGATTATTTTTAATAGAAAATGAACATTTATTGAATCATTTTCAAATTTAATAATTTTATAAATATTTTATATTAAATAAATAAAAATTATAGTTATAATTAAGATTGAAATATAAATATTTATAAAAAAATATTCAATAATATAATAAAACATTATTTAATATAAAAAATTTCAATTGTTTTAATTTAAGAATAAATGCTATATACATATATATAACTCCAAAGAACCTTCAAAATATTATTTTGTTTAATAATTTTTATTAATTTTAAAACTTATCAATTTAACCATTAAATAAAATTATACATTCATATTTATCATGTATATCGCGTTTTAAATAAATTAGATATGCAAATATATATAATTCGATAATAATAATAATTATTTTATTTTAAAGATTATATTAGACGTTGAAATAGATTTATTTAACTGTTAATTATTTTTTAATTTGATAATTATTTATACGTATTTTATTTATAAATAAATATTTGTAATGAGTTATTAAATAAAATAACTTTTGTTAAATTTTCATTTGATTTTATTAGATTTTGTCAAATTAACTTAATTATTAGTCAAACAACTACAAAATTAAATTTAATATGTAGAATCAAATCAGAAGTCAAGAATGAAATGTCAAAAGGAAAAAAAATTACATATCTTAATCTTAATATGTACGGAAGATTTATGAATTTTTTAAACAAATATTTAATTATCTGAAATCATAAAAAATTTAATCAATATAAATGTCACAGTCCAAAGCGACAAATTAAGAAAGAAAGAAAGAACTTATAATTTTGGTTTAAAATATTCTTCTTAATGTGTACGGTTCTTAATTATTGCCTTATAAAATAATTATTCCTCTCTGTCTCATGGTTAAAGGGCAAGTAGAATGTGTTCTTCGAAGTCTAAGCTTAATATCTGTTTAAGAAAATTTAAATTGATTCAAATAGGCAAATTTTTGCAAACTGTGTGCTTTCATGCCTTGGTTTATAAATCTTTGAATAATTACATGCTAGCTTTCTTGAATCGATGTCGTGACATGCAAGATTATGTGCCACAACGAGTTTCCTATAAAGTCATGTACTGATATGCTTGTTTCCATGCCTAGTATGCAAGATTGGGCGACGCAACATTAACTAATTCTCATGATTTCTGGCTTCAATTGCTGCTCTTACTTATTACTTCCTTGGACTTTTGAGATATTATTTAACATTTAAAAACAAATACAAAAAATATAAAAATTAACATTAATGATACAAATAAAATCTTGAATGAGTTTACATGAAATAAAATTATAATTTAAGAAAAAAAATGATTGGTGGTGGAAAAGATGATTCTTGGTCATTAAATGGTTCCAAAGGAGGTGTTATTGCAAAAAATATTCAAACGTCTAAATTATAATAAATCTAATCAAGGTGAATATACGAGTAAATTCTGCATACCTTTGTCCATTGGAATTCCTCCGTATATAGACGTTGATTATTTTTTGGTTTACACATTTGGCCTTATAATTGCTCAGTATGAAGTTGTGTTCTTAATTGATATAGAAGGTCACATGCGTCTGCAAAGGTCCGTTGTTTGCTAAAGATGTCAGAATATGATTTATATTGGCTCGAGTTGATGTGGAATTTGCGTTGGTTATCGGCGTGATTAGTTGGTTCTCACTCCGTGGTAGTTTCTAATAGGCATGAGTGGCTTTAATGATCTAACCACAATCATTCATTTTATTCCAGATAAGCCTAAATCGTTTATTATTTTAATATATGCTGTTTATGTTTATAAAGTGAAATTAAAATAATTATACCATAAGTAAATTGGAGAGATTCATAATAAAAAGTATGATTGTTTTAAAATATATTATGGAATAGTATTTTACATTAACTTTACCTAATACTAGTTACTATTTCATCTAGTGCACGTGTATTTTATTTTATATTTTTTAAATACAATTATACACGTATATATTAAGAGTTAAATAAAAAATAATTGTATATATATATATATATACATATTTATAAAAAATAAAAATTTAATACACTAACTTTATATTAATTTACTATTTTTTATTTAAAAAATATAAATACTAAAGAATATTATTTAGAAAATTGTTTTAAAAATTTCAAATATTGAAATATTTTTAGAATGTACTAATATTTATAAAAATTAAATTTAAAAATAGTTTATAAATACAAAAGCACGTATTTATGTCTTAAAGTTATTTTTAAAAAATATTAAATTATACGTTTAATTTTATAATATACACATATTTGCAAATTGGTTTATATATTTACAAAAGTTACATCAATCTTTATACAATTTTTTTTTACGTAGTTAAAAGGTTAGAAAATATGATAGTCGTTTTAAGTATAAGAATGAATATATAATTTTTTTAAAAAAATATATAAACTAAAATATTTTTTTAAAAGTATAAATATTAATTTGTAAATATGTCAGATATAAGAATTAAATATATATTTTAAATAATTATAATTTTTAAAAAAATATATAATTTAAACTTAAATATTATAATTAAGTGTTTATGTGAATTTTATAGAGATCAAACATTTAATTATTTTTTATGATATATTAATTTATATTTTAAAATTTTTTCATACGATAAATATTTATGATCTTTAAGTCATAAATTATATTTTATATTAATTTATTTTATTAGACTGAAAAATAATAAAATATTCCGAGTTTCAAGGACCACGTATAATTTAACTTCTTAAAAATAAAAAAGGTTACGAGGACCGCAAATAAAAACAATGTGAAGAGAGAAAAGGATGAGCGGAACATAGGCGTACCGTCATCTTTCTTTTATTGGACTTTCACAGCGTACTTGCTGAACCCGAGCCCAGCCCAAAGAAGGTATTATCCTTTTCTAATTTCTATGACCTAACAACTGGCGTGTTTTAGTTCCGACGCCGTTAGCTGCTCTAGCCTACCGTGATGCCGCTGCCGTAGTGTCAGTGAGAAACCTCTCGTAGTTGTCGGGTCCTTGAACCTTGCTCGCCTTTCCTACTAGCTGTGAAAGGTAAATTATCTCGCTCCTGGTCTGGTTCTGAAGTGTTTTACTATGAAATTTCATCCTTCGGTTTCGATAGGTCATATCCTACGTTCTCTCTCTCGCCGATCTTACTCCTGATTTCCAATTGGAAAGCAGCTAAAAGTCACTGTGCCGTGACCACTGGGTAATATTTTATTTTAGGTTATCTTACTTTCTCTTTTCTATTTCATGGAGAATCGGTGGCATCACTGCCGGCGACTTGCCCGTGCAATCTTCTAGCTAATGTTTGCTCCTACAGTGAAAATATGAAGCACTAATTCACCTCTACAATTTTCAATATAACTTATCAAGGGATTGCCTATCTTTCTGTGCTTTTTAAATTTTTTGGTTGTTCAAAGCAAACTTTGTAATTTCATCAAGCATGCACGTTCATCACCTGAGTCACCATTTTCACAGTAACTGCTAATATTCCGTTTTGACGTTGATTGGAAGAGATGGTGAGGCTCACCGCTGACTTGATCTGGAAAAGCCCTCATTTCTTCAATGCAATCAAAGAGCGCGAGTTAGATCTTCGGGGTATCCCTCTCTCCCTCACGGTTTCCATCTCTCTCTCTCTCTCTCTGAGAATAAGTGTGTCATATTGTTTGCAGGCAACAAGATAGCTGTAATTGAAAACTTGGGTGCTACTGAGGTGCGCAATTTAATCTTATTGCCGTCCTTTAAGTTTCCCTTAAGTTGTTGAGGGTTCTTTTGGTTCAAAAGGATTTATTGCTTTGATTTTATGTGTATGTGTTTCAATTAAAAACTTCGTACTGGTTCATCTTGATGATTATAAATTTGAGTTCCTTTGTAATTGATTTCTTGCAGGACCAATTTGACACCATAGATTTATCCGACAATGAGATTGTCAAACTGGAAAACTTACCATATCTTAACCGGTTGGGTACAATACTTATTAATAACAATAGAATTACTAGAATTAATCCTAACATTGGAGGTATGGTTTGAACTTTGGACTACATTAAATCATTTCTTTTTGTTGCATCAAGATATCTACCTCTTTCCTTATAGTTGTCAGCTATGCAGTATGTTGCTCTAACTGTGTTATTTGTATTTCAGAGTTCCTGCCACAGTTACACACGCTAGTTCTCACAAACAACAGGATTGCAAACTTAGTAGAAATTGATCCTTTAGCATCCCTTCCAAAGCTGCAGTTTCTTAGTCTGCTAGACAACAATATTACAAAGAAAGCAAATTACAGGCTCTATGTTATTAGTAAGCTGAAGTCCCTCCGGGTTTTAGATTTCAAGAAAGTGAAAAATAAGGTAAAGCTTTCTCTTTGACTTCCATTGCTTATCTTTACTTGGGCTTGAGTTTGAAATATGAACGATAGGATGTTCTGGGAATGTCTGCATTCAATGAATAAATCAACAACATAAGCTTGAAAAAAAGAACTACCACTGATTTCCAATTCACATACCCTTCAATTAGTATTTCCTTCTTTTGATAGTTTTTTTAAATTAATAGGAACTATTCTTGTAAAACAGAACTACCACTGATTTCCAATTCACAGACCCTTCAATTATATTTCCTTCTTTTAATAGTTTTATTAAATTAATAGGAACGGTTGGAAGCTAAAAGCTTGTTTGCATCAAAAGAAGTTATAGAAGAAGTTCAAAGGACACCAGTAAAAACGTTGTCACCTGGTGAAACTCCAAATGTTCCAGAAGCAACTGAGGAACAGCAGACCCCAAAAGTTGTTGCTCCCACAGCTGAGCAAATTATTGCTATTAAGGTATAATGATAAATGAGATTATCAAAATAGGCTTATCAATATATGGGTGAACATGTGACAGTGGCAAACCCATCATGCATTCATGTTCAATTCAGATCTATAATTAATGCATTCTCCGTTTTATGCATTTGATGCATTCTTCGCTTCTTGCTTTCACCCGTAACTTTACAGTAATTGAAAGCTACTCCAATGTCCAACAAAGTAGAGGGGCACATTCAGTGTTACAAAAAATCCCAAAGAAATTATTCTATCACCTTGTAGTCCAAAAATAAGTGGTCTGCAGGCTCTGCACGTGAATTTGTGATTGTGATGTTACCTTCAAATATGCAATATGTCAGTTTTATCAATCCGATTAAATACCATTGTCCAGACAAAATGCCTGGTTCACAGTACCTGTTGTTTGCTTCTTAAATTCTGCTCCTTTAATTTTTATGTCAGATGAATTGATTTTTAACAATTCATTAAACATGAAAGAAAAAGATTCCAAGTAATATTTCTGTGAATAAATCCGTCAGTCCTGATTCTAAGATAGTTATAATTAACCATTTGATAGTGCTATATTTTCAAAGTGGAACTCTTTATCCTATAAGTTGGAATTGTGCTGTAAGATGCTTTCTATGGGTTCATGTGATAAATTGTGTATTGGTAAAACATTTGCTAATAAATCACCTTGGATGCTCTTATGATTTTATCTTGAGCTAAAAATCATCTCCATTTAAATAAATAGCAAATGTCCATCTTCATAAATTATACAGTTGCCTTCTCTTAAAGGCTGGTATATCAAGCAGATAATTCTGGTTACCACTGGTTTCACATGTTTCTGATTTATGCAGGCTGCCATTGTGAATTCTCAGACTCTTGAAGAGGTTGCTAGACTTGAAAAGGTGCTTGCTTTTCTAAATTAGATAATTACTTCTTGGATTTTAAATTTAGTTTCCGTCATACTCATGGTTAGCATAATATTGAAATTATTGTACATAATATGATAAGATTGTTTATAACCAGTGACCTTTGATAAGAGTGATGAGCTGATAGGAGACTCTCGTATGGAATGTCTCATGTAATTGGAGCTCAGAAACATTGACACATTCTCATTCTTTCTGTCAGCATTTGCTAAATGCTGTCGTAGCCAATGTAAACTGGACTATTTGTCATGTGGGATGGGTACTGGGTGGATTGGTTTTGGTTAGTCATAAATTAAGGAATTCCTCTTGGTTATCTTTAGTGGTTTAGGACGAAATTGTTTGAGATACTTGCTATAATTCAGTGTCTTGGGAGCCTAGTCATGATATTTCTCTGGCTATTTTCTTGTTTCCTGATATCATATCTTCTAAGTTAAAACTCATGTCTTTCTAATTTAAATTTTGGAGAAATTGATTTTTAGAAGAAATAGCATTGTTACACCATTCAATAACTAGTATGGTTTTTATCAATCCAACAACTGAATTATGATCACCAATTACTTTGATACTTTGTGTCAAAGTGTGTGTGTGTGTGCTTGTATAAAATCTCGGATTGATGTATAAGATTTATAGATATGACCTATTAATAGAAAATTTCAATTCAGGTGTGTATTTTATGATAAAATTATCCAATAAAAAAGTTATTAAATATTGTAAGAATTATTTAACTTACAATGGTGTAAAACGGTCTCTCTGTAGTTAATTTCTTATCTATTATGAAAAGACTGTAATAATGCAGTACATCTAATCTGTGAACATGTTGCCAGGCATTGAAGTCTGGACAGCTTCCTGCAGATTTAGAAGGCTTGAATGAAAATATAATGTTGGATAATGTTAATGAAAAACTTGAGAATGCGATTCATGTTGATAAGGGTCAAGCTGATGGTGAATTTAATGATACACGAGCAGAAAAATATTGATTCTGCTTCCATGGAACAGGTATGTGTCCACTTTGTCGTGTCTGTCAAACTTTTCTTCTATATCTGTGACAAATCATTATTCCTCCATCATACATATTTATTGTTTGTTTACTGTATTTTTCTATTGACTATAACTTTTATCAGACTTTTTGGAACATGAAGCAATTGCTTCCCAATGTGCACAACAATTGTTTTATCATAATTTTAACTAATAGTGAAAATGTTTCCCGCCAGTCTGCAGACTTTTCCTTGTTTCTGATTCTTATTACACACCTTTCTTTTTGTTTGGACTGTGACTCGTTTGTCCTGCCATACCCCACCCACATTGCAGTGCGTGCCTGGTCACCACTGCCAACGACGATGACAGACTTGGGGCTGTTTCAAGCCATGCTTTCCACCTTTCACCTCAATCTTAGCACCCAAGGGGCTGTTTTGGGCCATATCCCTGTTTGAGTTCCCTTTTCTTTCTATTTCTTTTTGCTTGTCTTTGCTCTGTTTGGTTCCTGTTTTGACTTTTCATTGTCCTGTTTGGCATCGTAACGTAGTCTTATTTAAGGCTAAAATCCCCTTTGTCTGCTATCTTCCGTGATATAGTATATAATAATCAGTTAAGTGGAATTTAATGATAAAATTATGTATAAGAGCAGGCGTTGAAGTGTGCATTTGATGTTTGCTAATAGCATTTTTGTATGGACTTAATGAAGCACGGTGTGCAATATGCCAATATGACAGGTATAATATAAACGTCTTAAAATTCAGGGGAAAGGAAAACATATTATAACGAATTCATTAAAATATAAATATTTGATTGAACCATAAGGATAAGATTGAGTATGAAAGTATTACTCCTGTATACCTATAAATAGTGTACGAATCCTCTCCTAGCCTCCCATATATAGTGTCTTGTCTTATCCCTCTTGTTGATATGTTCGTAACTCACTCTGTTATTTTTTATGTTTTGTCTGATAGTGATATTGTAGGCGATGCTTCAATTTTCATTATATTTTTTTGCAGGATTAGAGTGATGATTTTGAAATAGTCATGGCACTGTGCACTCCTTTTATGCTGGGTGCTTGAGTCAAAATCTTGGAAATTTCCTATAAGTTGTACTTGCTGAGTCGTTTGAAGTGAACTATAGGCAGTATCTAGACTTTCTCTCAACGGGTTGAGAACCGAAGGTTTCATTTCTCGGTTTCATTTCTCTCTTGGTAAACCGCTGCTTTAGCATTTATATGTATTAAATTTCACTGTCTTTACACTTGAATGATTAGGGCATTTTTGCCCATAGCCATTAATTTGGTGGTTCAAGAAAATGATTTACTTTTTTTCCAGTCCAGCATTTAGTCGTACATAAAGATGTGTAACCTGAAACATTTAAGTAGGTTGAAATAACCATAATGATATTATCTGGCGGCACTAACCTGTACCTAACAAAAAAAGATGCATTGACCTTGAATCCTTACTGTTGGATGAATTGAAAGAGATCGATGGCAGAGTTTTCATCAGTAACGTGTTAACTAGGCAAAGTTGGATAAGGTTAAAATTCCAATACAGGTCCGAGTGGAAATTAATTCGTGCACCGGACAGCAGCGTCGCCGGCATTCAGCGCTGTTCAGGACTTCAGGAGCTACAGTTGTTGAATTTGGTTAAGCGAGACTAGAGTGGCAGATTGGGGATTTGGTTGTGTGGTGGTTGGGTGTGGACTCGATTGGGTGGAGATGCTGTTGCAGTTCAGGTTTTGCAGTGGTGGAGGATGTGGCAAAAGTCGGGTGCACCAGTAAGATGTAGTTCATTGCAAAATTTGGAGTTCTTGCCATTCTTTATTTTCCAATTTTATTTCCGACGAAAATATTGTTGAAAAGTTGTTTGATTAGATTTTTTTTAACATTTTCTTTAAAAATATTCTTAAATTTTGTTTGGAAATGAAAACATGAAAGTTCGGTGGTAGGGTCAATATATTTAATCATGCTTATGAAAAGGGCTCTTTTTTTTTTTTCTATATGGGAAAAAGAAAATTAAATTACCAAAATGATAGTTTGAAAAAAAAAAAATTCTCAGCACAAAAACTCAGCTAAAATTCTTCACAGTAATCTTCGCAACTATCAGACCGCCGTATAGAAATCCCATCATCGATAACACAGACGAAGACCATCATATAAAAAGTAAACGTATGCTTCAACTTGGAAGGAAGAAACGCAAGCACAAGCAAACCAAAGGTGGTGTTTTAATTGGAAAGGACTGTGTTAAGTGGGGTCTCCTAATCAGTTTAGCAAGATGACCAAGTCCGTGCCTCATATTGCATTAGGCTCAGTTGTATTGTAAGGATATCTCTTGGAAAATCCAATGTTTCCCATATTTCGGTACCTAGGTCACGCAACTTTTAACAAGTCATTCTTGTAAATTGGTGATACCACAACAAATGAACAAATAAACAATCTTGTCCCCCAACCAGTGCTAACAAAGCCTGAGAGGAACTACACCACTGTGCCAGAAACACCATCGTCTTTGGGCCACCATCACATCTACTGTGGCACCAAAACCCAACCCATGTTAAGTGTTGTTGTTAATGGATGTCATCAGAAAAGTCTTTGTCAAAGAAAGTCTTGTCATGACTATTAGAATATTAGAAAATATTATGGAATCCCGTACTAAGGAAATCCAACATGTAGTCCTAATGTTGCTGGAGTTTCAAATTGAAGTACGGTGATTTAATGTTATTTAGTAACACACGAACGAGGCAATAAAATTTTTTAATTAAGTAATATAATAAATTTGTTAAAATTTTGGTTGAATTTTCTATTTATTTTTATTATCTCAAAATATAATAATATGTTAAGATTAATTTATAACTCAACTAATCTCTAACATATTATAATATCAAAATTAGAATATTTAATATCGCACTATGTTACTTGATGATTTGTAAATGAATATGAGTATCAATAAACACTCACATAAAAAAATGAGGGAACTTACTAAGAACCAAGTTAAGAACGACGAAAAATGAACCATTGTGCATTATGCAATAAAAAGAAAGGGTTGAAGGGCCCTAGCAAAGGATGTGTGAATTAAAAAACTCTGCTCTCTTTTTAACTTACGCGATTGTGCCTTTTTTTTTTTTTTTTTTTTTTTATGAAAATGGTACCTTTCACACACCTTAAAAAAGAATTTAATCCCTACATTTGGTCCTATTTTTTATTTAGTCTTTTGACTTTTGCATGAAAAATTCTCTTCAATCAGTCCTTAAAATTGACTATATTTTTTTTATTTTATGTCTTGCAAACAAAAATAAAAATTATAATTCATTTTGGTTCTTTACATTTTAATTCCTATAATTGATCTATTATTTTTATTTTAGTTCTTATATAAAAAAATTATTGAATATGATAAATAATGTATTAACATTTAGAAATAACAACTTATATAATATATCAATAATTTTTTTCTTAAGAAAATATTATAATAAAAAATTTAGATTAATTTTTAAATTGAAAAATTATTTATTCATTAAAAAAATAGAAAGAATTATTTTTACTTTTTTTTATTTCTTTCTCTTATTTTAACTCATTCAAACAATAAATATTTTTACTCTACTTTTCAATTTTCTCTTTTCTATTTTTCCTCTTTGTAATTCATTCCTCGTCCAAACAAAACCGTTAAGAATAAAATAAAATACGGTGCCTACCAACAAATCAAATTTTTAACCTTTAATAAATTTAGATTTGCATGGTAAAAGAATATTAAAGAGACAAGTCAAGAATCCAAACCTTCAATTTCTTCTAAACAAATGAACCAAAATTAAGTACAAAAAAAGGATAGCAAATGTACCGCATTTCGACCGACAAGTCAGGTCACTAGAGAAATGGAAGATCCAAGAATCATCAGGACTTCAGTGTTGCAACAGTGACATGATAATAAATTTATGAAAATAAGAAACATGACAAAAGCAAAGAAAAACCTGTTAAAAAACCCAAGCAAAGATTTTTGGAAAAAAAAAATAGCACGACTAAAACATGAAAAGAATTGGAAGATCGAAGAAATATTAGAACCTCAGTTTTGTACAAAGACATGATGAGAAATTTATGAGGATAAGAAATGTGACAAACGCAAGGAAATACTTACCCCCTTTTCTAATTTGTAAGCTGTAGATTGAGTGGAAGATTAAATTGATGTCCCCTTTACCGCACCAGAAATAAACATATTTACAGTAGAGATATATTATTGTCAGTTCAATATTTTAATATACTAGGAATAAAATGAGACACAAGTCAGTCGCGTGATGGATTTTGTTACCTTTTAATAAGAAAAAAAAAAAACATTTTATCCAGAAAAGAGAAACATATAAGCTTTGTAAGGTTGTCATAATCGAGAGTTTATTACTACCATGCAAAAAATATGTAGAAACACCTTGTAGTCTTACCCCCCGTAAAAAAAAACGACATTCCATTGACACAATAATTGTTCATTCATCATTAAAAGACTTGATTTCACATAAGCATTAGGATCCTCACAAAAACAAAGATATGACTTCCAGTTTTCCACAACACTAAACGTACTTCATGAGTACCTGGCAGCCACCTATTGTCTACTAATATTCACATGAATGAGTAGAAACCAATACAACATCGCATCAACCCAAAACTTTTTTTGGAAGCTTAAATACTGGCCATTTGATCTTCATGATACAAATACAAGCCTAGACCAAACCGGGCACAAGCTTTGCAGAAAGCAATTTCCTCGGCTGCTGAAACTGGATCACCGATGGAGCCATCACAAGGTGATATTGTCCCAGTTGACTCACGATATGCCTGTCATCAAGAGAGAGAAAATACAATCTTAGACACTTCAGATGTTACTAATTGTGCAGCAAATGGAATTGAGAAACTCTCACTTTGACCTACACGAAGCAAGACCCACCTGCCAGACAAAATGAGTTATAGCATCAACGAAACCTAAGTTTACCAATAAATTGACACAATTTTCCTTTCTTTACGAGGGTGATTGTAGCATTTTAAAAGTGAAAGGTCATCTTATAATTTTGGACATTCTGGATTAGGAAGCTATTCTCTAGTTCATCTTATAATTTAAGCTGTGAAGGTATTCTAGTAATTATGTATTTCAACATCATGAGTTGAATTTGGGCTTGGTTTTGTGGTATTTAGTATTGTGTAGTTATTACTTTGTGTTGCATTTTCCAAGATCAAGATTTCCCTTATTGCTTAGGAAATACAAGAAAGTATCAATTCTAATTTGATAATCAGCATTCTGAACTATGGCAGCAACTTGTTCATTAGTTGGTTGTGTGATAAAGGGAAAACCTACATGTGATGCCTAAGTTACTTTTACTTCTTCAGACTACAAATATATTCTCTAACTTTGTTAATTGCCTAAACATGCAACAGCAATAGACTGAGTTTAACCGCTAGAGATGATAATCAAAATTGAGAAGTGCTAGGAGCACACTCTTTAACACACTCCTAATTATTGACTAAAATTTATTTAAAACTACAACAATCATGTGAAATCCTATAAAGATGCTCTTATTGCCAGTATATTTATGTTCTTAAGTTTTCATTGCATTATGCTTTCCTTTTGTGGCGTATTCATATCAAATTGTAACATCATGTTATAGTTTGCGCTTTCTAGAGCTCATAAGAGTATGATACTAACAATAACCTGTAATGATGTCATACATTTTGTCAAATTCATTTTGCAAAGATAACCGACACTTAATATGGGCACATTGTCCTCTCTCACTCAACTTGGCTCTATCAATCCTCTGTCAGTATAACAATTCTGGTCTGCATCAACATCATCTCTCACACCAGTGTCCAAGCCTCAGTTCTTCACTATTTTCTGTAAAGATTTCAGGTGTTTGAGTGGTTCTCTCAAACTATGTTTAGGAAGGGTTTGAAATTTTTCTAAACCCTCCAAAGCTCTCTTAACACTAGTTTGTTGAGGTCCCAATCCGGAATTTTCTGGAGTGTGTCTCTCTCTCACTCTTTGTACTCTTTTACAACAAGAATTTTAATATATATTTTTAAATGTTAGTTTTTCAAATAAAAATATTTTAAAAATTTATAAAAATAAAAATAAAAATATTAAAATTATTAATTTTTAGAGAAAGAAAAATATCAAATTTTTTATTTTTAAAAAAATAAAAAAATATAATAATATCATTTATATAAATAAGCACTTTGTTATCCTTTCTTCTCAATATTAAACTTCCAAATAAGGAAGAAGTTTAACCTCCTTCCCCTCCTTTCCTTCTCCCTCCAAACCCTTTCCCTCTAAACTCTCAAACAAAACATTAGTCTCTATGCCAAACTTAAGTTTTTGAGTCACCCCACTGTTTTATGTGGAGCAATTAGACATAAATTTATACCGACTCCTCAGAATTTGGTGACTTCAAGTTTGTGAGTATCTTATACACTATGAGTTGTTAACTTGTAACTTTGGCCAAAGCTGTGACTTGTTAGTTCTATGCAGCCTTCTTCTTATGCATTTTTAATTAATGTTTAATTAAATGTCAGTAGTAACTTAGAGGTTATTTTTCTTATCTACGTTATTATATCCATATGTATATGTTTAAATATAATTCTATATTTTCGATAGGATTTTACAATGTGTTACAATCACACAATTTATCTGTTTTATCCCCCTTCCAATCCTAGGCAGAACCTTGATTTCGACAACCTTACCTAGGATGATCCTGGAGAATATTGTTAAATTGTTAGTAACCAAAAGAAGAAAAAGAACAATCAAATGTGACAAAGTCAAAGAGAGCAACGAGTAATATAGGAGAAAATTCACAATTTTTAATACAGTATACAGACTAGAGGCTCACCTCCCCATCAGATCCCCGTACAGTAAGACGATATACCACAGTTACACTGCCGTTGTCAGAGAAAATGACATCACGAGAAGTTTCATAGCTATGAGATTCAAAAATCCAAATTTGTTATAACAATGAAGCTCATTTGAACCGTAAAGGATCTTTATTTGGTTTAAAGCTTTAAAGCTATATTAAGTAGCATAACATCAAAGAAACAATGGTCATCACCGTAGAGGTGATGCGTGGGAGTTGCCATTGTTGGCAAAACCACTCGACATTAGCCCTGTGCGTGTCTAATTAAGAAGCAAGAAAATAGGGGGGGAAATTTAAAGACTATTTGGTTTCTCAAAATATTTTATATTTTCTGTTTTTATTTTTCTTTTACTTTTAATCATAAAATCGTCACTTTACTTAATTTTGCTTTTTATTTTTCTAAAATTTATACATAATACAGTAAAAATTTTAAAAAAAAATGTGTTTTTTTTTCAAATTTATTAAAATTAAAAACAGAATAAAAATTAAAAAATATTTTTTAAACCAAACAGCCCTTAGGTCAGATTGATTTTAGGGGGAAAAAATTATTTTCACTTTTCATTGCAAAATGGTCACATTATTTTCACTTTATTTTTTTTTAAATTAAACAAAAATAGTGAAAAAGAAAAATATATTTTTTTATTTTACCTGTACAAATATTTGAAAACAGAAAATAAAATTAAACTTCTTACCTTGTTTTATTTATTTTAATTCAATACTTAAAACAAATTCTAAAGTTATTATTATTATTATTTATATAGTATTACAAAAACTCGTATTATTAATAAAATTCATTAGTATTTCTTATGTGTATTTCATAAGTTAATATCTATAAATGTTAAATTGAAATACTTACATTACTTAATATTTTTTTTATAAAATATAAAATTAAATGATTTAACTGTTAGTTTAAAAAATTTATTAAATAAATTAATTTTATAAAATTAACACTAAATTTAAAAAAAATAAAATATTTTAAAATTTTTAATTTAATAACATTCGTATAATACAAAAGTACTAATTTTACTAAAATGTTTTGAAAAATAAAAAAGATAATAAAAATTTCATTGACTTTTATTATATATTTTTATAAGATCATCAATAAATAAATAGTTTTAAAAAGTTACAGATATAAATTAAATTGTTTTAATGTACATTTAATAATTTTTTATTAAAATTATATAATATTATTAAATTTAATTATAATATTAAAAATTATAAATTATAATAAAAGTATTTATTTATTATATATTTTTGTACTTTTTAAAAAAACTGACATGACTTAATTAAAACAAAATAATTTTTACGGTTTTCTTATAAGAGGACATTGTATGTATTTTTAAGTAGAATAATTACCATTAATTTTACATTTATAATAATAAAATTAATAATTTGTTTTTAAAAAACATAAATAATTTTTAATATTATTTAAAAAAATTCTCTACTTCACAAGACCTTAAAATAATACCTGTGTGTCGAGTAGGTAAGCCAGCATAAATATCCTCACTTTCCGAGTTCTGAAACTCTTGGGTTAGTTATTGTCAGATTTGATATAAACTTGGTCTTAGACTGTCTCAATGCAGCAATTGGGGATCTGATCTGAGACTGAGGTGGGTGAGGTCGGGCGATGGCTTTCGCGGTTATGCCTAAGATGATTTTGGGCTCATTCTACAGCCAAAACCGGAAGGAAGGTTTTGAACCAGGGTTGAGGAAAAGGAATATTGGGATAACGGATCGCCTGTGTACCCTGTCCCTCAAGTGTGCTCTCGAGCGAAGCAGCAGCAGCAGCGATGGAAAGAAAGGAGGCGTATCGAATTCCAATTACGTGGTGCCGCTGGACAATTCATCTCCTTTCTCAAACTCATCCTGCATAACTCGTCCTTTAGCCGAGATACTCCGAGACCTCAATAAAAGAATCCCCGATAATATCGTCAAATCTCATGTCCCAGGCGATCCTTCGGCTTCTACCTTTATCCCCTGGTACTTTGCTTCATTTTGTTTCTATATTTTTTTCTTCCTTGCTCTCCAAAGAACTCTGTTCACAGACAGATTAAACGGATAGATCTTCTAAACTCTGCTAATTAAAACAGGAGATGATTGCTCACTGAATGACGTATCAATTCAATGAAAATATGTCAGACTGGCATATGATTTTCCTTGTCAGAAATCTGACACGTTTTGACAATGTCTCTGGATTCCATGCATTATTAGTAACTATTGCCTGTTATGCCAAACACCCTGACATATATTAACTAACAATAAAAATGCCGAGGGAAAAAGCAGATAAAGAATAACACAGCAGAGTTCTTTTCCTGAATTTATCATGATCTAATCAAATTTTGCTATTTGCTGCTGTTCTTTTTTAGGTATCATGCCAACAGGATGTTGAGCTTTTACGCCCCAGGTGCATGGAACTATCCCTTTATTGGAATTAGTATTTTTCTAATTAATTATTGTGTGTACTGTCTAATGTTGCATGTTTGGGTCTAGGATCGAAAAATGCTACCTATCCTCGATCATTCTAAATGTAAATTGGATCCTATTATGTCCAATAAAACTTTCAAATTTCGAAACTATTTGGCAGGATGGTGTGGAGAGATAC